AGCGTGACAAGGGGGCCGGCGTCCTTTTTCGTTTCGGAGTGTTCCTTTGGTTGATTCGATGTATTCCTTCCATGGGCATGGGTTTTCTTGGAATGGAATGTCTCAGTTCTGGTGTACCTACAGCGGCAAGTCACAGCATGTTTCGAAGACCACTCCCGGGTGGCCCTCCAAAGGACCCTCGAGGGTTCCTTCAGCATGACCAAGACGTATCAGCGTATCGAAACGTCGAGGAGATTGCGATTCCGTGATTTGAATTCGCCATCTCCTGCCCCCTTGTTCCCAGGAGCGTAGCAAAATAGCGGGTGCGAGCGGGAATGAGGTCTCTCCAGTCAGAGCCGTCGTGCAGCAGCCTAGGGGAGCCCCGAGAGGGGAGGGGGTATGGGGCGCATGTCATGGACCAAAAGTGCCTTGACATGCTGGGACGGGCCTGACATTGGGGATGGTGCTCGGTGAGTTGCTGGGAAGAGACTGTTGAGGATGTAACTCTGCGATGTTGGAAGTCGTCTGGTGGCAGGTTCGATTGAGGTTGAACGGGAATGCAAGGTTGTGAGTGAGTGGAGGAAGGTTGTCAGCTTTGGAGATTGAAGATGACCCGTGCACCCGTAAGCTCCAGAATTAATTCCCTTGACATGTGTGAGAGGGAAAGAAGCGGTACGTACCGCCAGTACCCACTCGAGCTAAGCTTCATGCTCCTTCCTGTCTTGCAGAATGAGGTAGTTTAGGTACCTACCGGTGGAGCAGTGTAACACTACAAGCCAGCACCAGCAAAAGTAGGACAGCCTCAATGTGCACAGTACTTTGCCTTAGTCGGCAGGCTAGTTACGGAATAGTGGCCCTGGTCCGGTTCCCATCCCCATCGCATCTCAATGACAAACGGGGAGTCTCCGAAGAAGAAAGAGTAACATGTCACGGCGGGCCTTTGGGGGTTCAAGGTTGTCTCCAGGCCCTGCTGCAGTGATTCTCGATAGTCGATGTCCAAGGGGCATGGGGCATGGCCGCATGGGGCAGCGAGGTCAAGGGCAACGTCGGGTGTCATCAGGGAAGGGGAACGGGGGGAGGGAAAGAAAAGGAGCCAAGTGGGGAATGATCCGGTTGAGGCTGCCAGAACCCCAGCGCCCCGATTTCCGCCTATCAATCCTCCATTTCCTTACAGATGATCGCCCTGTCCCCCGTCGCTCATCTGGCAGCCATCCTGGGCTGCCCTGGACTAAATCGAGCCTGACTTCCAGGTCGACAAGGAGGAGCCGGGTGCCAGTGTGGTGTACGATGTAATCGGGATACGTACCCTGCCTCGCCCTGCTCTACTCTGCTCTGCCCCTGCCCGGATCGGCTTTCTCGACGTCAGATATCGCAGCACTCCATCTCCAAGATGAAAAGAGTACCTCGTACGGATACTACAGGTGGTGCACTCCGGATACGTTGTGGCCAAGGGGCGGATATTCGAGCCCAAAACTATTAGTGTACAAGCAACTTCCTCGGTCCATCTCGTGCATCACGACATTGTGTTTCTTCGGGATATTTTCTGAACCGCCCGCCCCAGGGTACCCGGCCCGTCCTTCTCCGGCAAGGAACACGTCTGCAACCAACCACGACTTGCACACACACACACAAGAGTCTGTATTAATACAGGTATCGAGGTGTATTCGCGCAAACGCACAACCTTGCGTGCGGATAACTGGGCAGATGAGGTCCCTCTTCAACCGAATCCCCCAGTGCTGGCAGCTGCATTCTGTGCTTCTTAGCTCAAGGCACATTGTGTATCCGAGACTAGTTGCAGCTCCATTTGCAGACGCCTCTCATCACTGGATTACCGAAGGCTTCAGAACAACCCCTCCCCCCAGCCTGCCACGCACCGCGACCCAAAAGGTCAGTTCGATACGAGGGGTGAGCCCAGGGCTGCCGGACAATGCAGCGCAATGCAGCCTGGCGCGAGCTTCCTGCCAATCACAAACTGGGCGCCCCGTCTGCCAGCTAGCTGTAGCTGTGCGTGCTATGTGCGCTCCCTGCAGTACTTTGGCTCCTCGATGCATAAGTCGACCCCAAACCATCGTCAAAGTCTCCCCACCCGTCTTGCGTTTCCGTCGTTTCCGTCATGACAACGAGAACACGCCCGGACCTTGACCCGACTCCGATGCCAAGTGGCGTCCCCCCACCACCATTGCCGCTTGGCTGCTTCTTCGGCACAATCTTCGTGTGCCCTCCATCGCCTATCACAGTTTGCCTCCTTGGGATCACTTTTGTCTGCGGGCTGGACGGGCATGGCTGCCATGGCCTAGTCTGCCAAAGGCCAAGGTGCCCAGGTGCGTGTCACACTTCCAAAACCCGTCCGCGGAGTTGTCCCCGGTCTCCCCTCCCTTTCAATTCATGGTTTGCTCTGACGTTTCTCCCGATTCACACCTGCCAGCCGCTTGGTCCCACTCGACTGGCATCCACCGCCGGTCATGCTTCCCCAGTCTAACCCGCGCCAGCTCGTCTCTCATCCTCAAAACCTAGTGCATTGAGAGGGGCTGTCCTGAATCGCAACGGCCGATGATCCCCGTTGCGTGACTGTCTGTTCCCGCACCAGGTGGCTGTCGTCCCTCAACCTCTCACTGGACGCCGTTTTGATCCGATGAGTGGCAGGAGGGAGGTTGTGCGGAACACGAGGACGCTCAGGATGACAAGTCTGAAGGAAGCACATTTGCAGCAGGCCAGACAGCATATTTTTTGGGCGAAGCCACCTAACAGAGGCCACCCGTGCCCCTCTCATTCCACCGAGAGGCACACTCGTCCCCATGGTTGGTTGTCGGCCTGGTGTTGGCTGCACACAACTCTATCAATAAAACATTGCAAGCATTGCAGGACTCTCTGTATCCATACCGTCAATCTTCGAGAATGATGGGGCCCGCGGCTTGTCTGCTGACTCAAGGATGGGAAGACCTTGGAGCCTGGGCCGCTGTCGATCCTGATCAGTCAAGCGGTGCACACAACACCGAAATCCTCGGGTCCGTTCGGCTTGTCAAGCTTAGCGAGCTTCAACTCCCTGTCAAACAATCCAGTCTGGGTTTCCTTTTCTGGATTTCCCGAGATGCCATCCAAGCTTACTTTTTTATCTCCATCAAAACAAAAGCTCTCCAGAAGTTAACCCAACTTCCATGGCCGCTTCGACGCCGCGAAAAAGTTGGCCAAGTCTACGAGTGGTGGCAGCCAAGGTTATGTCTGTACAGAAGCTAGCCGACCTTGGCGGGCGTTTCCCTTAGTGATAGTCTTCAACGCTGTCCCGTGTCAGATTTTCACCCGGCGCTGTGCTGAAATCCAGACTCTGTATGATCCACAGCCCTTGGGCCCGGCTCGAAACACGTCGTCTGACGATTGACGCTAGGCGGGGATATCGTCCGCAGCTGTCAAGAGGCAGTGGCTGCGAGTCTTCTTTCCGGTTGTCTCGCTCGCTAGTCGGACTCCTCAAACTCGTTGGATGGCGCAGCGTTTGGTCTCAAACTAAACCAAGAGACATTGTCCGAAGCATGGCAACATAGTGGACAGTGGCGTTTGTTGCACGTCAATCGTCCACCCTCGTCCGTGTCTTGACCAAAGAGGCACTTGGGCAAGACTAGTGGCAATCCCTCGCGCCGCCACATCGACTGATAATTGCCCGACTCCGTTGCGAATCACTTCATGGGCGCGGTGGCTGCCGTTCCTGAAGCGCTTCGCCAATGTGGTCGCCGGATCTTCTGCCTTCCTTCGAAGAACAAAGTTTCAGACTGCGAGACGTGACGAATGAGAGCAGACGCCGTTCCATGGATGGTCCTACCAAAGAGCGAGAACAGTCCATCTGACCGCTGGGATACTCGCCAAAGTCACTTTGATGCTGGTTGCTTTGACAGTGGAAATGGGATGGCAGTCGGCGAGCATCTTGGCCTGCTCGAGGGCGCAGCAAGGTGCAGCAACTTTGTCCGGCCCAGCGGTATCGGTATCGGTTCACGAGGGTACCTCGGAGAATTACTAGTCTTTTGACGACGCAAACTCAAAAACCTCGTCATCGTGAATGCAAACACTTCTTCGGCTGTCACACACACCTGATACGTTAGCACTGAGGACACTGACAAGGCATACAGACGGCGCGTGATTAGCTTCGGCCTGTCGTGGCAAATCTTGGACAGGCAGCGAGACAATGTCGTCAATTCAGTGAGCATTCGCCTTCGTGCCCGAGCTGTCCGTGGACCGGCGGCGTTGCGGTCGGCCCAGTGTGCCTGGTAATGATCATCAGCTAACAGCCACCAGCAAGGCCGCGTGGGCGCTTTGTGGGGGGGATGAACAGTCTGTTCGGCCGAGCCGGAGCCGGCTGCCAAGAAATCGATCGGGGAGCGTCGCCGTCTCTCGGCCAAACAGTGTGGACTCGTTTGGAGCTGGCGCGGACCCACAGAAGGCGGACGGAAGAGCGGAAGAATAAATGGGCGGGAACCGGCGGCGGATCCGAAGATCGTCGCCAAAGGGTCCATCAAGGACCGCTGGGGAACTTGGCGTACGTGATACCTATGTCTTTCACGTGGACGTAGTGAGAGGATGTTGCTGACCGCGACTGTTGTCAAGGCTCGACCTCATTGGGTGAGTCATTATGGCCTCGTCATAGATGACAGTCAAGGCCAATCATGTCAAGGCACTAGACCCATCTCGGACATCGGACAACGGTGCAAAACCCGTCCGCAACACCAAGACTGGAGCCGACGCGCACTTTGTCGATAGGCGCGTATCTGCTACGGCATCCGCTCCCAATAGTACTGCATAGAAAGCGTTACAGAGAGACTTTGTTGCCCAGTCTCAGCGGCTTTGTGTAACTTTGTTTATTCATAACTTGATTACGTGCCGAGGTCACTCAAGTCACGCTGCAGCCTCCCGAGCCTCCCACTCCGCCGAGCCACTGTGAAATTCGGCATCGGCCTTTGGGCCCACTTGCGGCTCTCTCTCTCTCTCTCTCAGTATTTCCCTTGCCGAAGTCTCGGAAGAGATTTTCGCCGCTCATCATGGATACCGACGGCGGCGTGCAAGCCGAGCTTCCGGGCTCTGCCGGTAGTGGCTCCGAGCCCCTGGCGTGTGTTACCTGCCGGTTCCGAAAGCTAAAGTGTGACCGAGTGAGGCCGGCCTGCAGTCGCTGTTTGAAAGTCAAGGGCGAGTGTGTGTATCCTGAATCGAGAAGAAAACCCGCCTTCAAGCGGAAGAATGTAAAGGAACTCGAGGAGAGGCTAGGTAAGAGTATCGTGCACGCACCCGGTCGTTCCTTTGCTCACTAAGCCCTGTAGCTCAGGTGGAAGATCTTCTCAAGGAAGCCGGCAAGGCCAAGGGAGAAGCGCCAACCGAAGGAGACTTGGATAGCCGAGTCAACGTTGGCATGGATGACTTCCATGTTGATCTCGAGACGCTCATGGCAATGCAGAACGGGACGTTTGGTGACAAGACGGACTTTTTCACTGGACCCCCGGGGGATGGACCCCAGGGACCTAGCTTCGCCGCATCATCAGGAGAGCTCATGGGGCTTGGGCTTTCGGAGGCTCTGCCCCCTTTCGAGATGATGGAAGAGCTGTATGTCCCATCTGACGTTTACCCGCTTCGCAGCACATGTCTAACCCGAGCAGCAACAAGTGCTTTTTCGAACGCCAACAGCATTTCATCCCCATCATCCACCCTGGTCGATACCTGCAGTCCTTCTACTCCGCGCCTCACAAGCGCCCGCCTATGTGTCTGCAATATGCAGTCTGGTCGATGGCCTCCAATGGGCATGAGAAGTATTCGCAGTACCACGAAATCTTCTACAAGCGAGCTCGCCAGTACGCCGATGCTGATGAGATGAGGGTGAGTTTGGTCGTAACCTCGGGGGTAGCAGCGATACTTACTCTAGGCGTTAGGGATTCGGAGAGCACTTCCTGACGGTGCAACACGCTCAAGCATGGGCACTCATCGCGACAGATGAAGCAAGGTCCTTGTTCTTCACGAGGGCAGCCATGAGCTCGGCCAAGTGCGTTCGTCTGGTGGAAATGATGGGCCTGCACCGCGTGGATGGGGATGGTCAGGAGATGGCACCTACACTCGCACCGCCCACCTCGTGGGTTGACCTGGAGGAGCGAAGACGAGCCTTTTGGGGCGCCTACTGCATCGACTGCCACGCAAGTATCGCTACCGGGTGGCCAACGCTGATTGACCCCAACGAGGTAAGACTCTGGCTCATCCTACGATGCGAAGATGGTTTTGACACGGGTAGATCTCGACGCATCTCCCCTCCTCCGAGGAGGCCTTCAACTCAGCCCGCGAAGAGACCACGTCCACCCTATCAGAGGCATTCAAAGGTGCCTCGTACTCGACATTTGCGGGCGCTGTCGTGACCTGCCACATATTCAACAAGCTCCTGAAACACGTTCACTGGGAGAGGCCAAACGATCGGCCCATGGACGTCGAGTACGGCGAGTTCTGGAACCGACATAGGGACATTGACAACATGCTCTCGAGTGCCTTCATGTTCCTCCCGGAACGGTTCCGCCTGCCCCAGAGCATGCGTGATCCCACGGCCGTCCACATGAACCTCAACCTTCACGCTTCTGTCATCTGTCTACACCACGCGGCGATTGACAGGATCGAGAAGCACAAGCTCCCGGACAACCTGAAGGCGGCGTCGCAACTGAGACTGCGGACAGCAGCGGAAGAGGTGGTGAGCATTGTCAAGTTGACGAGTCACATGAACTCGGGCTACGTAAGTAACAGTCTCGGGCCTGAATCCCGTTTCGCAATGTCTGACATCGTCTACAGAAAAGTCCCATGGTCGCCTTATCGCTGTATTCGGCTGCGTCGGTGTATGTCTACTCAGCCAAGTGCGACCCAGAGGCCGGAATATCACCAGTAGACCTGCAGAACCTCAACTTCATCATCACTGCAATGGAGGCGATCGGACGGAAGCACGTCATTACGCAGGCCTTCCTACAGCAAATCTTTATGGATGTTGAGCGGAACGGCCTCTCGGGCGTCATTGACCTGCCCAACCTGACCAACTACAAAAACCTGTTTGGCTGGACGTACTCAAACATCCCCCTCCTTGCCAGAAGCTCCATATCAAAACACACTGAAATCCAGCCTCCTCTTCCCGGCCGGCTGCCACTCGGCAACCCCAAGGGCACAGCCTACGACAACAGCCTTACGGCAGAGAGCTACGAACACAACATCACGATGGAGGGCGGGTGCAACCCCCTGGGACCAAATCCAGCCAACACGTACCGCGGACTCAAGAGCGCTGACGCCGCCGGTGCACCACTCGGAAGGTTTGACAGATATATGGGCCCGATCCCCACAGCGAATAAACCCAGCGACAACGGCTCCAACAAGCGAAGGCGGACGTCACCGACAATCAGCCCGGAAGAAGCCACTCACGTCAAGAACGGGGTGTTCAGCGGCACCTTTACGTCCAACACGAATGGGCGAGCCGCGGCGCCCGCCTCGAGCAACGGAATCGACGGCGTGGGCGGGTTCGGGATGGGCCTCCTGCGCGGGACGGGCATGATGAAGTCGGCGCCCAGCGCGCAGATGAACCTGCCGCACCGGACTCCGCCAGCATCGGCGCCGTCGCCTTCGCCGGGGTTCAACAAGAACACGCCTTCGCAGTCCACGGGCAGCAGTACCGACAACACGCCACCGGGCTTCGGGCGCGACAGCACGTCGCCCGATGACGGGAGCACGCAGAGCAGTTACAACGGCGGTGGCAACGCCAACGAGATCATTGACATTACGAGCATCCAGAACGCCATGATGGGCGGTGCAGGGGTGGGGGCGCCCACGTCGTCCTCGTCGACGTGGGATTCGAGGGGGCTGCAGTACGCGCCGAGCACGGATCCGGGCTCGTTCATGAACATGAATTTTGACTCGATGCCCCCGGGGTTGGGGATCGACCCGTGGACAATGCTGGCGAACATGGAGGAGCTGACGTGGATCGAGTCCGGGGAAGTGACGACAACGGCGGCGGCGACGGCGGCTGCTGCGGCAGGGGACTTGAACGGCACTGGAGGTGTGTGATGGGAAACAACAGACGACTTGGGCACGTGAGGCGCGTACGTTGCTTCTCGAACAGGATGACGTTGGACGAGGCTATGGGTTAGTGTGTAGCCGGGTCTTGGTTCGTGGTTTTTTTGCTGCAAAACTAGCGAGTCATTCTGAACCCTCACCGGGTTCTTTACGATCATGAGGGACGGTTCTAGTCTAAGATATCCAGGGTGTGGGGCAACGTGTGCGATGGCCAAGTAGAAGATGGAAACCGGAGCATTTGAACAGGTGGGAGGGATGGCATAGAGCGGTAATCAATGTCTCAGCAACTGGTGGCGCACAAAGAGAGGGTATAGACGGTCAAGGTACGGATAGATAGTTGGTTTGTGCGACGACGACGACGACGACGCATCTCACTCACATGAAAAAACTCCATTCTCACCACACACCCTACCCATCACGGCTTCACCGTCAGGTTTGCGCAGACGACGGCGCAACCGACGGGGTCTTGGATTGATGGGGTCTTGACTTAAGAACTGTGAGAATCGGGCTCCCTGACGTTTGGTTATCTCCAAACTCCCCGATAAGACGGGCTGGCTCAGAATCCTTCGCAAAGTCAGCGCACGTGATCCATGACACTCGTCTCTTCCGCCCGCCCGCCCCCCCCCCCCCCCAAAGAGAAAACCGCGTGCACCACATCGTTATTTATCGCAGCGCGCGCGCGCCCATTTGCCGAAACCGCGCCGAGTTCCCCCCCTCTCCACTTGCCATCAACAAACCCATCGCAAACAGCACCGGCGGCAGCTCACACCCAGCCAGCCAAGGAAGCCTCGGAGTGGCAGAGAGTCAGGCTCATTTGCACAAACGAGCGATTGACCCCGAGGGGTTGGGCAGAGGGTTTTCTGGACAGCGCGCGCGCGCACGCACGCGAGCGCGCACCCTACTCACATACCGCCCCCAAATGGACCCGCCTCTCAAGAGCCCCGCGTCGGCACAGAGGGACACCTCGCCGAGCCCCCCGTGCCGAACCGGATCCGGCGCAACACAGCCTGCACGAGCTGTCGCGACTCCAAGGTGGGTGCCCGTCCTCTCTCTACCATCTCTCCTTGAGTTGAGGCCCGTCTTGTACCTTGACCAGTTCATCTCTTGGCTATCGGATATTCACATACATCCGCCGCTACGTGCCACATGTCCCGTGCCCACCCAACGCTTGAACCTCCCCCGGGTCATGTTCCAATTGGCCGTGTGTGCTCTCACCGAAGGGGGAGGGGGTTCAGGGTCAGGTACCGTGGGTGGCACATTATGCATCGTCAGCAAACAGATGTTCAGCTGAGAGCTGTGTTCCAATGCTTCCCTCTTCTTTTGTTTGTTTCTTTTCCTTTTGCTTCTGATTGTTCCGTCATGCTATACCACATGAGCACCAGATGCTAATGAGGCGGCCTTTGGACCGACTGCAACAGGTGAAATGCAATGCAAGCTTGACGCCCAACAAGCCTTGTCAGCGTTGCTCCAAGCTCGGGATCCAATGTGTCATTGACAAATCCCACAAGCGCATGACGAGAAGAAGGTGGCGTTCCCTTTTTTCCTTTTTGTGCTGGTCTCCGTGAGCCCCTTGCATCGGCCTTCACCCCCCTCCCCCTGACTGAGGAACCCTCCATCTGATACGTTCGTGTGTGCCGACGACAGCAAGCTGGAACAGCTGGAGAAGGAAGTCCAGACCATCAAGAATGCCGTCAACCCGAGCCCAGTCTCCGCCGCCGGCGTCCTGCCCGCCGCGGCCCTGCCGCTTCCGAGTCCGAGCACGGCGTACCCCGCCGTCGGCGTCTTTTCGGACCACACCCGCCCGACCCCGTCCGCGTCACGGGTGAGCCTGCCAGCCCTGTCCCCCGTACCGCAGACGCGGCCGACGGAGCAGGTCCCGACGCCGACGCTCACGTCGCACACGACGCCGACAGGGCCCACGAGGCAGACCGCGCAGCCGCGGGCGCTGGGCTCCAAGGTGCTGTCCGGGGAAGACATTGATTTCTACTTTGACCAGTACGTCCGTTCCGCGCCCCCCCCCCCTATGTATGTGAAGCCCGCACACCCCCGGACTGACACTCTTTGCCAGCTACTTTGAGCACTTCCACCCATACTTCCCCATCGTCCGCTCCCAGGATCCGGACCGGCTGTACAAGCAGAGCCCGATCCTCTTCTGGACGCTCATCGCCATCTCGTCGCGGCGGTACACGAGGGATGCCGGGCTCTTCCCGTTCCTCGTCGAGAACCTGCCCCGCGAGGTCTGGGCCGCCGTGTCGACGCCGCCCATCAGCATGTCGACCGTCAACGCGCTGCTGGTGCTGTGCACGTGGCCGCTGCCGACGATCCGCTTCCTCAGCGACCCGAGCTCGTCGTACATCGCCATCGCGCAGAACGCCGCGCTGATGCTGGGCCTGCACACGGGCCGCGGCACCCATCCCGAGTTCTGCATCGGGCCGAACAGGCAGACAGACATCACGGACGAGGAGGCCTGCTTTACGTGGATGGGGTACAACATCCAGGCCCAGAGGTAAGGCTCCCCGGAGTCGGGGGCGGGGTTGTCGTTTCGGCTGACGTGTGTATAGGGTTGCCGCGAGCAACGGGTACCCGCCACCGGCCGGGTTCTTTAACGAGGCAGTGAACAGGGCTGCCGCCGGGAGATCGCTCCCCGACGCCCTGGGGTACTTTGGGGTGTTGTACGAGATGCAAAAGTTCTCCAACAGACTGAGCCGCACCATGTTCTCCGTCGCCGAGGAAGGCGAGGGCGTGCCCGATACCGTGATCCAGCTGCTGGAGGACGAGCTGAACAAGCTGAGGCAACTCCAATCCCGACACAACTCAGGTCCGTCCACAGTTGGTCTCTTATCACCCCGCCGATCCCGCTAACCCGCCTCCCCCGTCTCCGTAGATCTTGACCTCTTCGCCATCCTCGCGGTCCAGTTCGAGCTGCAGTCGTACTACTTCACCCCGCTCTCGACCGTCGACAAGTCCACGTTCCAGCACAACGTCAACCGCGCCTACAGCACGGCCCAGGCCCTCATCAACCTGAGCCTGCGCCTCGACGCCTCCCACCGCTTCCTCTTCCACGCGCCGCAGCACGTCTTCCGCACCATCCTCGACGCCGTTGCCGTCGTCTTTGACGTCTTGATCTCCGGCCACGCGACCGAGGTCGAGCTCGCCAACGCCGAGGTGTCGATCAAGAACTCCCAGGAGGCGCTGCGCCGGTGTTCCGTGCAGGAGGGGGACTTTGCGATGCGCGTGCTGCGCATGTCGGAGAGCTACTGGAGCCTGCGGCACATGATGCCCGCGCTCGAGGCGCCCATCTCGCAGTACCCGCACCGCACCGGCGCCGTGATTGCCTTTGGCACCCTGAGGCGCTGGAAGAAGGACCTGGACCAGGCCCGGGTCGGTCACGGCGGGCAGGGAGCAGGAGCAGCAGCCGCCGGCGGGGTCGGGGGCGCGGCGGGGACGGCAGCGGCGGGGGCGGCGTCGATCCGTGAGTGTAGGGCGCGCGGGTCCGGTGTGAGCGTTGCTGACCTTGTGGTAGCGGCGGCAGGGGCGGCGGACGCGAGCGGCAACGGAGCGGGCGGCGTGGTGCCGGCGAGCGACCTACTGCAGGACATTGATTGGTCGATGCTGATGGACGATTTCGACTGGACGGCGGGCGGCGTGGGAGAGCCGAACTTCCTCGGGCTTTCGTAGGGGCGGCGGGGCCGGTAGGTATAGGATTGAGGGACTTTTCGTCATTTCTGCGACCAAGATCGGTGCATTCTCGGGCGTATTTGCATTGTTGATTGCTTTCCTCCATCTTTTTTCTCCCTCGTTTTCTGTTTGTTTGTTTCTTTATATACTTTACGCAGGAGACTGAAAAGAGATGGGAGAGAGGGAAACCGGGTGTGTATGTTTGCGTTCTCATACCAAAGGACAGACTGAGTAAACTTTAATGCAAATATTCTTGAGCACAAGGCTGATTGATAGCTTTCCGCAACAACTATTCGATATACCGAAAACCGCCTCTTTTTGAGTAACGCCCCAAGACCGTTTCAAGTCTCGGCTCATTGCCACCGCCTCTCGCAGCTCCCGACCCACATGCCCCAACCGAGTACCTTTCCCACGATGGCTTCGGCCACCTGCTCTTTCGTGGCTCGGGCCTCGAGCATCTGCTTATCCAGGGGTTCACTCAGCGCCACGACCTCAAAGAAATCTGCTCATTGATTAAGGACGGTCTACTGCGTGTGGTTGAGCCCAACACTCACATCTGTGGGGGCCGTGGTTCAGAAGCGGCCGCGGGGGGAGGTAAACGACATCCCGTCTTCCCTTGCCCCAATGAAACCCTCCTTTCAGAAGGGATATATTTTCGTCTTCGACCTCAAAGTCCTGGGCGTTGACCTGCCTTGTCTCAGACGCGATCCCGCCATAGATCCTGGCGCAAACGTCAGTCCATCCTCCGCGTCAGGGAGAAATGGGGTTGGACCCACCCGTGGCAGATGGGCGTCGGCAAGGGAGCATCCGGGTCCTCGACGACGATGAGCCACTGCTTCACTTTCGGCTCGAGATCGCTCGGAGCCGTCCAGGAGAGCCCCGGGATCCGGCCGCCGCCTTCGTGGATGTACTCTGGGCCCAGGGTCGCAGGGGACGCGCCGCAGTCTGGCGACGTGACAGTGATGGTTTGCTCGGCGTGCGAGGCGAAGGCGGGCAACGTGTAGAACGACTTGTCGTCGCGGCCACGGGCGTTCTTGAAGAGCCAGCTGAGAGTGACTTCGATGTAGGGTACTATACCTGCCATGATTACACTGGCAATAATCGGCTAGTCTAACTGTCGGCGTGATATAAGCAGGTAACCGGAGTAGACGGGCGGCGAGACGGCGCTGACCGCATCATTTAAATAAAATACCCGACGTCTTTCGACGTCTTTTTGTTAAGCTTGTTTCCGTTCCACACAAACGAGCTTCGGACGTTAATGCTTATCTCCAGCCACGTTGAGGTGATCGGATGGTCTTACAAGCCCCATATCCGGGCAGGATCAGTGTAACGAATCGGTGCCGAATCGGCCCGTGACTCGGCCGATCAGCCTGGCCCTTTGATTGTTGCTTCTTGTTTTCTGTCTATTTCTTCACCGACGAATTTTCTTTTCTGTCCTCTATAGTTACACTCAATTACGGAAATGCTATGGGTCTTGAATCGATCCGAACCAGGTTCGTGGCAGTATTTCGTTGATTCATGTCAAACGTCATGTAGTGGCTGTCAGTGGCTAGACCGTTTGTCCGAGGGACCTTTTCAGCATACCGAAATTCCTCACCTCAGCCTATCGCGTCGAACGGAGAAACTAGTGTTGTAAGGAGATCAGCCACCGTGCCAGAGTCCTATTCGCTTCCGCTCCGAGCCTTATTCGGGGACGTGACCGGCTGGAGTCGGTACTGCGGCGGGGGCTGATCCGTACAGATCTCCGTCTTGATGTGGTCCTGTCATCACCCTCTGTTTGTGCGTACAGGCCTACGCAGAAGATGGAGGCCTTGTAAGACTTGACGACGCAAGCACTCATACTCTTCTTGCTTCAACACGGACAGACCATCCCTGCCAGTTTTAGTACCGATTAATGTACTCTCAGCTGTGTAAGTTTGTAGCAATCGACTAAGGGATCTCCAAGGGGTTTGTGACTAAGCCTCGCGCCTGTCGAGGTAAGGAAGATTTGTCACAACGCGCATTTTGGCGAGACGCTTCAAAATAGTGGTGAGGTTCATGAGGTCGCCCATCTCGTCAAGCAAGCGCGCCATGTCGATGCTAATTCCAAGATCGATTCTCCAGTCTTCACCTCCGAGTTGTTCGAACCAAAACTAATTTTTGCCAGTTCGTCACCTGCGTCCCGTGGTTATTGAAGACTGAAATTCAGGGCCCAGGTAGGAAGGCATACCTGAGTGAGATAGATTGATGGACGCTCCGCAAGTAGCGATTTCACGATGTCCCGATCATCAATTCTACATGTTTATCCTGCAACTTGACTCTGCGTCTGAAATTCGGTCTGGAGGGAAATATATTCAATCTAGAGAAGGCACCGTTGAAGGGTTGAAAGCATCACATTCCGAGGTGGTAGCAAGGATCACGATGCGGATGCTCCCGCCTTGACAATGCCTGGGGAACTAGTGGCTACGGGGCATTCCTTCCCTATTTTTCCTACGAAGACCCTAGAATGCCGCTTGTGGCTCTTGTCATAGTGGCCCCGACCAAAATAGGAGTCGGCCATCTTCCAACCACCATTCATTTCAATTGCTACCATCTCATATCCTACAACAATCTGCCCTTCTGCATTCCTCACTAGGGAAAATGCTATCACAAACCCATCACAGCATTCTGACGCATCTCATCAGGCCCCGGTCTTCTATCGGATTGGCGAGACTCTTCAATAACACAACGCCGTCGCGTTGGTACTCGTCACGCTCATTTCCCGCCATCTTCGTACGCGGCGGCACCTCCAACGGCCTCGTCATCCACAGACGCGACCTCCCTCCAGAAAATGAATGGCACAAAGCTCTGCCGGCCGCCATGGGCTCTCCAGACCCATACGGTCGCCAATTGAATGGCATGGGGTCAGGCATCTCGTCAACGTCAAAAATTATTGTGCTGTCTCCGCCATCGCGGCCTGATGTCGACGTAGACTATACGTTCGTGCAAGTCGGGATCGAGGATGGGAGCCTCGACATGGCCGGAAACTGCGGCAACATGTCATCAGCTGTTGGGCCAATGAGTCTGGACGAAGGTCTCGTCACGAACCCGCGGATCGAAGAAGTCGACGGCCATCAGTTTGCTGTCGTGCGCATTTTCAACACAAACACATCCAAGGTCATCTCGGCGCGCTTCAGCGTCAGTGGGAGCCCGCCAAAGTACTCTCCCGACGGCGACTATACGATGGATGGTGTACCCGGCACCAACTCGCCCATCACGCTCAGCTTCCTGGACCCAGCCGGAGCCAAGACAGGCAAAGCACTTCCCACTGGCAATGCTTGCGATTGGCTGCTCCTCCCAGACGCGAGTACCATACAGGCGTCCCTGGTAGATGTTAGCAACCCCGGTGTCTTTGTACGGGCTACAGACTTGGGCATCCCTTCGCCAGAGGACTTGACACCACAAGCTGTTGAGGCAGACGCTGCTTTGAAGGCGAGGCTGGACGGAATCCGACGTGCGGGCGCTTCTCTTATGGGACTGAACCCCGACGTGGAGAGCGTTCCCAAGATTGTATTGCTTTTCTCGGACAACCGTTCACCCGACGTTGACATTCGATGTCTGGCATTATCTATGGGACAGGCACATAAAGCTGTTCCGCTGACGCTTGCGCTGTGTCTTGGTGCCGCCAGCCAGCTACCGGGCACCATCCCGGCCCAACTGGCCGGTAATCGGTCAAAGAGCTCAATTATCATTGGGCATCCAAGCGGCAAGGTAGATATTGGTGCCACTTTCGAGGACGGGAAGATCAAGTCGGCAGATCTTCACCGCACTGCACGAGTGCTGATGAAGGGCCATGTGTATTACTAGCCCCTGGGCCGGGGCTGCCTGAGCAACGTAACCGCATGTGCCCCGGCGCGATTATATACTTTCGTTCCATCTCGCACTCCAGAGAATGAACGTCGGGTCCTTTGTTGTCGGGCGGAGGTGCAATTGCAGTCCCGGAAGTCGTATGCCCATCCGAAACATGACACGCGTCGTTTCGTTATTCCTATTTGGTACCCTCGTCGCTACGATCCAGCCGGTCGTGGCCATGACGCAGGATTTACGTTGTGCCAAGGCCGACCGGAACAAACTCCGGTGACATACTCGATTTACCTTTGAGTCGGGAATCATAAGACAGCTCATATTCCGCCCACGTGTGGCATGCGCCAATCCCCTCTGAAGACGAGGGTCAATTAGCTTCCTTCTGCACGGCACTTTTCGACGTGCAATCTGATTCCCCTACGGACTGTGGGCAGCTCTGAGATGAGGCTGTATTGAGTGGGGTTTCCATACCGGCCATGCCTGTATTCGGGGTCCAACCTTGTTTAGGACTGGAGACCTCAAGCAGGCAACAACATAATTACCATCAATCGGCCAACCACTCGCCGCAATATTTCCAGTTTGACCTCCCCGCCTAGCACATGCACCCGCAGACGTAACGGTCTTTTGCCGTGAATCCTCCGCAGACAAGCCGCGTTGGGAAACATTACCAATCTGGGTCTAGTCGCGGCTTTCCATACAATATACATGATAGCCCAGGCCAATCCGTAAATCTTCACCTATTGCCTGAACAAATGGGGAACCTTAGTACGTCGTCACTACCAGCCAGACAATACTGAACGTCCTGAACCCCAAGTTGAATCCATCTTGCGCAAATGCTACTGAAATTGACAAGTTGCCAGTGTCGGCAATTGACCATAGTGTTCGGTAGTAACACCCATTCGACACTGGAACATGGATCATTTCAACGCGACTATTCAAAACGGTAACTTGATTTCAATACGTAGAGGACTACAAGTCTCCAAGACGAAACACCAAGGCATACAGTTCATCAACGCTTCCGCGGCTTCAGAAGATGCTTCTGGCCAGAGAAAGGAACCCACGTCCCTGGAACAGTCCAGAGTTAAAAAACAGCGATACAAGTTCTTCGATCCGCTCAAAGAGCACAGAAGAACCAACACCAACCCACGCAGCAGGGACCGTTCCCAATCATCGTCAGATGAAGGGCAGAAGCGTGGTCGAGGTAGTAAACAGTCGGCAGGACAGCAGCAAACGACTAGCTGCCAACGGCACAGCACTAGGAAGAGCCACCAATACGATGTGCATCAGCTCGTAAGCGGAGCTGATGAGTCCCGTCTCGGGACTCCAAGTCCAGTATCACGGCTAAGATCCTGGGATGCAAACCTTTCCGACAACGACAAGCGCCTCGTCCAAACATTCCTCAAGTATATGCCAACAAAGATGTACCCCTACGAGCAGATACTAAAGCACAATCCGGTTCGAGGTGTACCTTTCATAGAGAAGATCAAAACCAGCGTAACCCGGCTCAACTACGTTCTCATGAGTGCGAGCGGCATCGAGATTTTCTTGTCTGGCAAGTGGACTTCTCCAGAAGTCGTTTTCCATCTTTCAAATGTCTGCAGCATCGTCAACGATCATCTTTCGGACCGAAGAGTGAACAAGGAGTTCGATCAAGGCATCCTCGAGTGCGTGGCAATGATGGCCATATTTGGATATAGTGTAGGCAGAACCGATCATTGGCATGTCCATATGAAGGGTCTTAAACAGTTGACTGAACTTCATGGGGGGATCCAAGAAAGCTGGGGCTATCTCTTGAACAACATCCGAAGGCAAGTTAACGATATCTCACTGAATGCGACGAAGTTGACTGACATCTTTCTACAGAGCCGATGTTAAAGGGGCTGCCGCGTTGGGTCTTACACCCTACCTCGACTATCCTATGTTTTTCGAGCCGCCAAGCAACAGCTTATCTCTGCATCTTCGTACAAATATCGCAAAGGAGGTTTCGGGGATTCTTTCTCGGTGTCGTATTCAAACAGCCATCATTGACGCCATGACTTCAATGTCACTTTTCGCTGGCACCCTCCGGAGGGCTTTTGACAGCCCAAGCCGCGAGATGTTGTTTGACCCCGAAGCCTTCATCGAGGAGTGGCTCTGGTGTGAGTATCAGTTGGTCAGATATCCTGGTCCGCTGCGTTCAGACTGCTTGAGCGCCTGCCGAGGGTTACCCGACAGGCTGTTCATTGCCGCCGATCTCGGTAGCTCTGAAGCAGTCGCCGAAGCGATGATAAGGTGCCGGCACGTACAGCCTACGCCGTCACATGTGGGCAATCCCTTGGAGCCTGCGACACGTACTGCGGCCATTGTGTACATAGAAGCACTTGTGCCGGACGAGCCTGGCAACCCTCTCGTTCATGCGGTTCTCCTGAACCTTCTGTCCACTTCGGTCCGGAACATCATTCGAAGTCTCCAGGAGCGACAGTCTGAGACGCGAAACGAGAATCAATGGACGCAAAGCGGCGACGAGGGCTACGGCGACAAATTACCAACTGTAGCGGCGTCTAAACCACTGCTGATATGGGTTTGTCTTGTTGGATCTGTTGTCGCGAAACTCTACGAAACGAAGTTGATCACATTGGGCATAACGTTCGACCGTGACTGTTACGGACAGTGTTTTTCTATGGTTGTAGGTTCGGAGCCTGAGAACGTCGACCAGCTCCAGGACGAAGACCTTACACTTTGCAAGATGCTTGATGTAAGGGGCTTGCGTATCAAACCGTATGACGAGAGGGTTCTTCTGAAAGCCCTGCTGAGGGAGCATGTCTACGGTGTCCCAATGCTTGACTTGGCGTATGTGTAATGTAGTACATGGGACGAGAGTGCATATTTCGGCGCAACGGCATCAGGGGTTTGAATCAATCACTCAGACGTGCGAAAATGGGTTGGGTGTTGCGGTACAGCATCACATATTAGAGTGAACAGGTTTACATCCGACAACAACCTAAAGGTGCGGTCCGCGAACCTCCCGTGGAAGCTCCATGGAAGCAGTCGCTCATTCACCAACCCGACAAAACGTGTATGTCGCAGAACAGTATCGGCATTCAGTATATTTTGAAACGGTGTACGCTGTGTCCATGCAAAAGGCCTCATAAGAGCATCACTAGGATCTCAGCCCAGATTGCTCAGTCGACCTGCAACTAACAATGCCGCTTGCTGATCGCGGCTGTTGGCACGCAGACTGTTATGTTGGTACTGCCACCGAAACCTTGGCTATTTCTCTTAGACGTGCCGTCAGGCACTGGGCAAAACGTCCTGTCAGCTCGTGCAGTTTTGTTCTGTTTCTTGTAACATCTAGTCGCGCGGTGAACCACTGTACCGTTTTGCGGCGCGCAAGTGCGGGAGAGAAGCTGAAATCGAAACGCGACAGTAGTAAACTTGCGTAATTTGTTTTCTAACATCAGACCAATTTGCAGAAGCGCCGAACACGTCGTCAGCCGACCCTTTTGCGGTGCCAAGACATAGAGGGGCGTTCTACACCGAGCCAAGGACTCCGTTGCTCTAAGCTTTTGACGCATGTGGGTCCCGTGTCGTGCCGGTCGAGGACAGGAGTCTGCCGAACCCGAGGGGCTCGGTGGACGGCCAGAACTGGAAAGTGGAGAAACGGATGCCGGACGCTAGGAAGAAATCCTTTCGGAGTTCCGCGTGCTTGACTTCACCTCTGGGTTCATGCTTCACGTTGAAATACATATACCGCTGAGGCTCCGGAGCATGTGCTGGTTGTGTTGTAAAAGGGAAGCTTGGCACAAATGGTGCTTGGTCTATCAATGCTGGCAGGTCTGCTGGCCAGCGGGCGGTGGTATACATGACGCGGCTTTCAATATCGCCGCCCGCTACGACATCACTCCTTTCTACTTTGCCAGATCTGTCGGATCTTACCATTATCGCTCACTGGTCTCTGTTGCTCCAAAAGTATCAGGTTTCAGTATTGCCAGATTTAAGGTTATCGAGGTAGACTCGATTACCAGGGTAACTCTAGACTCTGCTTATAGCTACCAGAAGCTGTAAGTATGCCACTGAATGAGAGTACCTGAGGCTAGTATGCGTTATCACTGAATGTAGTTCAACCGACACATTCGCAATTTACAGTGCCTTGCCCCTCTCCTCGCTGATAACACTCGTCCTGTTCGTCACCAAAATCCCAACGTCTGAACCGGACGCATCGTCCCCCTTAGCCTTGAAATCTCTTACCATACTCTCCTCCGATTGGTTTCCCTGGGCTACTACAACTGCGACGTTGTGTCTCTTCTCTCGCAGTCTATCCAGCTCCAAGTCCTCGTCGCTGTGCGTCGAGTGCATCTGACTGAACCTCCCTCCCCCGCCACCGCCCGCAGCTCGAGAGAGTTTGGACCCAAGAAGCCCAGACTGACCGATAGTCTGGAGTGTGGTGGGTTTCGCAGCGCCTCCTCCCGTAGTGGATTTCGCTGTCGAGCCGCGGAGGGACCAGAAGCGGCCGATGGTGGCGTCGAATACTGGCTTCAGAAGCGGGCTGCTCGAGACGATGATGGCGACGCCGGGCTCCAGAGTTCCCATAAAAACCACGCCTACTTGAGAGTAGGTCACGTCGGTGAAGTCCATGGTCAGGACGTTTTTGAGGCGAAGGGCGCCGAATACCATGGTCCTGCATGGTGGGGGGTTGATGTTAGTTTCAGGAAGATGGAGCTTCCGTGAGGAAAGACGGGGAGGGTGTGTCTCTTACAACGCGCCAGCTCCGAAGATGAAATACAGAGCTACCTTGTACGGCCATCGCAAGTGCAGCTTGTATACCATTGGGACTGGGAGTATGAGAATGATCAGGTCCGTTGCGAGGTCGAAATAGCCCACCGCCGCGAAGGCGGCGTTTTGATCGCCGCACTTGCCGCCGGGAGTAGCTGGGTTCCAGTTCATGGCCACAGGTTGGCAGATGAAGATGCCAATAAGTATGGTAAAGAGCATCCAGCAAACGCAAAGGCCCGTTGTAATCCTTGCAGCTATCTTGAAGGTTCGTACGAAGAAGACGCGCTGAAGCATGAGGGTGATGCCAATCTTGATGAAGCCGAGGCAGATGGCGAAGAGAGTCTGGACACCGTAGGCGGCCTGATGGATACGAGAGTTAGCCAAATTCAGCAGACAGATAGCGTCAACAGAAGTCGGCTTCAAACAGGGGCAGGCTGACCTTTGACATGCGCTCGATATGGAACGGTTGAAGGGTCAAGTAATGATGCCCAGTTCCGCCAAGGTAGACCACTGCTCCGGCTCGTTAGACCATCTAAGCTTGTAACGTATCGAAATTTGACTTACTGACAAAGTTGCACGCAACCAAGCCATAGAAGGCGATCTAGTGGAATGTCAGCAGAGGTATTAGAGTATGTTTTCGCGTTCTCCTTACCAGTGCAACAACAGTAAGGATGTCTTCAACCGTAAACGACTGCCCCTTCTTCCGCCGACTGTAAAGCCGCATACCAGTCCATAGCGTTGTAACAACTGTCAATAACACGTTGGCTACAATGATTGGGATGGCCCGGTCGGCAAGAGGCACAATCTCGGTCTGGATGACGTCCTCTGGCCTCACGGTGCCATTCGAAGGAATAGCCAAACGAGCAAAGAGCTCACGACTGATTACCATTTTTTTTGAAGACTTCGGCGGCGTTCGATGGCTCAGATCAACCAACTAAACGCGGAGACAAAGGGGGAGAGAGGATGCAAACGACCTTAACAACACTACCATTATTATCTCTCATTGTGCCGGAGGATCCACACTCTTCAGGAGAATGCATGAAGTGAAGCGAGGAAACAGAAAAAATCAAAGGAAACCAACGGTCACGACAGGGGATGTTCCAACAGGCTCATGTCATGACTAGCCAACCTGTAGACCGACAACTCTCCCTGCCCCAAGTAGGCTAAAGTTCCGTCTCGACGGCGATGGTTGGGAGCCTGGTTTACCGCGTAGCAGTCACGGAACGACCAAAAAATCTTTCGGGAACAGATCCAGAAGATTTCATATTATCATACCACTATACGGTGAAATGGATGAGGTTCCCTACGCTCTACGCGATGCCAGGATGTCGAAACAGGGCCCGCTCCGAAAGTGCTATGGGGTCGCGCTAGTCCCAGGGGAGCAGCTGAAATCGTTCGATAGAACTCGGCCGAGGACCAACGGCAAGACAATAAGAAGAGGCGACCGTCTATGGGCTTGCACGTGCTTCTTCGTCAGTGCGGTAATTCTGCATCCGTGTAATCTGTGATCAGTTCTCTTACCGAATATCTGTAGGATTGCCGATCAGGATCTTGTGACGGTAACCGTCTGTGTAGACGGGCAAGGGGAGATGACTGGGCAAGGGACGACGAACTGAAGAACGAGTGGCCTCTGCTTTCGGAAAGCTGGTCCGACAGAACTCCACAACTCAAATCCCTGACTACATAGTACTATCGAGTCATGAATCCACCTAAAGTTGTTTTCAGCCCAGTCAGGTCAAGAAACTTGCTCGCCTGGCCACGTTCCCCGTGAGGGGAGTCAAGTTGCAAAGGGCCGGCCCTCTTGATCTGTCAGTGTCGCCCCGTCGTTGCACCCGTGCCGCTTCCCGAACCTGACCTTTAGGAAATTAATACTACAATAGCGCCGAGTTCCACTTGGGAGATAGTCCCGCATTGCCCGCCTTTAGCGGGCGGCGCTGATGATGTTATACCTCGCTGAGTCTGCTTTAAAGAGAGGCGGCATCTGGTTGGCTTCCATGTGAGGTTTCTGCCTTTTTTCCCACGCCCTATCCTCTGCATTGCATCCTGCACAGGACGTCACGTCTTGCCTTTCTAGCCTCCCGGTTCCCGGTTCTCGGTTCTGCATTACCACGCGTGTCAGTTTTCTTCAGCGTACTGCAATCAAGCCGATCCGCGCCGCTACCCTGCATATCGCTGGCATCATGCTTCCAACCGACGTCTGGGACTACATCGTCGTTGGCGGTGGCCTTGCCGGCTCGGTCCTTTCCAACCGGTTGTTGGCGCTGAACAACACAGCCAAGATCCTCGTCATCGAGGCGGGCCGGAGCGCTGCTGGTCGCACTGATATCCTCTACGTCAACTCCACCAACTTGATCCAGGGTGAATTTGACTGGAACTACTTCTCCACACCTCAGGCCCAGCTCAACAACCGTGTTATCCAGAGTGCCGCCGGGAAGGGTCTGGGCGGTGGCTCCCTCATCAACACTTGTAAGTTGTTATGATTCACGTATCTCACAGGTAACAGGTGTTGACCCAGTCAGGTGGTTGGATGCGCGGTGCCCGTGTTGACTACGACGAATGGGCTCAGCTGGTCAACGATTCACGATGGAGCTACGACAGCCAGCTGCCGTACTTCAAACGCTCTGAGGAGTACTGGACAGACGATGTCAACCCGGACGAGCATGGGCACGATGGACCCCTGAAGATCGAGGTCCCCTCGGTCACGGGCCGTGTTTACCCATTGCGGGATGCCGTATATGAGTCGTACGAGGCTGTCGGTATCAAGCCTCTACCAGGGCTGGATGCCAATGCTGGTCAAAACATTGGTTTTGGCGAGATCTCAGAGAACCGCCGGAATGGTGTTCGCCAGATCGCCTCCGAGTACTACCCCTTGGACGGCGTGACCGTCTTGACAGACACTCTCGTCGAGAAGATCCTTTTGCAAAGTGATAACAGCTCCGATGCGGACAATCTTGTTGCAACGGGTGTCCGCCTCGCTAATGGCACCGAGATCCTTGGCAAGGAGATTATCGCTGCCGCCGGCGCCTACCGCACCCCACAGCTGCTGATGCTGTCTGGAATCGGTCCAGCCGACGAGCTTAAGCAGCATGGAATCGAGCAAAAGCTTGAGTCTCCCGAGGTTGGTAAGAACTTTGCCGACCATGCTTTCTTCACGGCGAATTGGAGACTCTCCCCCGAATACCGTAACTCGACCGTCGACTCTGGAAACCCTTTGTTCTTCCAGCAGCAGTACGGCCTTGGGCAGCCGAACAACTTTGTCGCATCTTTCAACGTAGAAGACAAGGATGGCCTCGTCGAGGCCATTGCCAAAGAAGAGGGCAAGACGCCTGACCCTGCCACGCACCCCCTCCTCAAGAACGAGCGCACTCTCATGGAGGGTTTCGTGCTGTACGTGAACACCAATCCCAGCCTGCCGTCCAACAGTACGTATTTGACCACCGCCAACGTCGGCCTACACCCTACCTCCCGCGGTTCCGTGACGCTCGGCTCGTCGAATCCTTACACGCCCCCTATGATCAACCCCAACTTCTTCGGCTCCGAAGTTGACCGGTTTGTGTGGCGCGACTCGATCCGCCGCATGACGCGGATGATGATTGGCGGTGACTCGCCGCTCAGCCAGGGCATTGTCGAGGCGGAGGCTGCGCCGGCCGGTCTGAAGCCGTTGACGCTTGAGTCCACAGATGAAGAAATTGAAGAGCGCATACGCGCTAGTGTCATGTAAGTGACATTCTTTAACTCACAATAGCTGCCCACTGACATGTGATTGAAATAGCGGTACATATCACCCCATGGGCACTTGTGCTATGGGAAAGGTTGTCGACAGCGATCTGCGTGTCAAGGGTGTTGGCAATCTCCGTGTCGTAGACGCATCCGTGTTCCCGACTCTTATCACGGCTCATATCCAAGCGGCGGTTTACGCTCTTGCTCAGCAGGCTGCTGAAATCATTGCGTCCACGTAAACCAGGGCCTTACTTGGTTGGAGGCGTCACTACGATGCTAGAGAAAGAAACGCGAATGTTATGATGAGTGAATAAGCGGGTGTATCACATGTAATACGTAATTCAGAAGTGTACTGTTCAAGCTGTGCCCTCCTCATAGCTCATCATGGCGCTGGCAAGCACTACTCCAGTGGCTCAGCCCCCGTCAGCCCCTTGTACAACTCGATAGCTTCTATCTATGAAAACCAAATCAGACAAGGCTCTCAGTGAGGAATCCCATTAAAATGTGGGAACATGGTGTTGGCCTGACCAGATGGCGGCACAGAATGCAACCTAAACTTCACCCGTACACTCTCTGTATACGGCAATGTCGGTAACTAGGTCATCAAGACAGGTTTGCAGAAAAGACGGCAGAACTGAAGTCTAGTATGATGCAGATAAATTCCACAGCAAAGCAACAAGAACAAACGGGAAGATCTGGAAGCATCATGTCTTGGAAAAGGCGAGCTTAGAGTACAAGTAGAAGATGCCTGTTCCCATCTTTGGCCGAAGACCGATCTCTATCCCAGTTTCTTCATGCTGACTTTTTAGAACTTTTAATCTATCTTCTTATCGATAGACGGACTTAGACCAAAAGGATAGCAACGCGGTTTGCCGGAAGTGGTCTTGTCGGAGACACGGCCCCACTTTCGGTCAACTCCTCACGGGCTGCTGAGCGAGGTGAAGTAGTGATGTAGCTTCATGTCCGTCCCTGTCATTCCTTGGAGCAAGCTACATACTGTGCCTCAATCAATACTGTTGCATGCCATAGCTGACATCCTCTTGTTCAAAGGCCAAAGATGCAATGAAAGGAGTGGAACAAAGGTGAGTTCGTCGGGCGTTGCTACGAAAAGTGGACCTCGCCGGAATCCCCGCATGAGCTCATCGGCCTGCGGAGGCCTTACTTTCCAATCACTTCACCTTGCATCTAGACCTGTATCTCTCCCCTTTCAGAACTGATCGATATCCACGGCAATCTGCTCGATTTCCAATCATATTACAAGACCAAGAAGTGGGACAGAAAACCTCAGCTGCGAAAACTCTTCGGAAACCAGAACACCCAAGCTGCACTTTCAGCACCATCGCCATAAGAGTCAACTATCACCAGCTTCACAATTCACAACACTACTAATACTCACCTCCACACGAGCTCGGCCGCAATGACCACCACCGCGGCGCCTCGTCTCTACTTCGCCTACGGCTCCAACCTCTCACCAACTCAGATGGCCCTCCGCTGTCCCTCCTCCGTCCCCGTCGGCCTGGCTCACCTCCCGGATTACACCTTCATCATCAACTCCCGCGGATACGCCAACGTCGTCCGCAAAGCCCCTCCTCCCGTCGCCCTGGATGCCGGCCGCTCCGTATCCGCACCCGAAAACAACGCCTCCTCCACGCCGCTCCCGGGCCCCACCAACCCTGGCGTCTACGGCCTCCTCTACACCCTTCCACCTGCCGACGAAGCCACCCTCGACAAGTGTGAAGGCGTGCCCCACGCGTACCAAAAGCAAGACCTCCTTGTCAAAGTTGTCTCCTCGGCCGCGTCTTCGGATCCTTCAACCGCCCCATCCGCATCTTGGCCTTCGTCCGACGGCGGCATCCACTTACAAGAGAGTGCAAACGTCACCGCTCTTGTCTACGTGGACAACGAGCGGACCGAGCCTTCGTCTCCGCGGACCGAATACATTGACCGCATGAACCGCGGCGTCGACGAGGCGACCATGCTCTTCAACCTCCCGGCAGAGTACGTGGACCGTGTCATCCGGCCGTACATCCCCGCCCCGGAGACGCCCATCGTGGATACCACGGCCATTGCGGACCCCTTTCTCGAGCGTGCTTGAGACGGAGCCAGACTTAATTCTTATGGTGCCCCCTCCTCCTCCTCTTTTCAGCATATAGCTGATCAGCAACTTCCTAACGGAGTCTCTCGAGGCCGAGGCATCTCGATCCCTTGACTTCATACACACCATCTCCATCTCTACCTTCAAGTGTCTGACGGCCATGGGTCTTTCCTTTCATGCCTGTCGATAATGCAGCCGCAAAACGCATGAATGCCAGAGGCGACCCAGGAAACAGTCAAACATCTTGGCGCAGCAAGAAAAGAAGCCCTCTTGGCCACGCTTCTTCGCCCACAAGCTTTCATGAAACCTGTGATCTTCGTCAGGGGTTAGATCCGTTGCCGTAAACCGACACAGCAGCTGGAACCGGAACCGGAAGCCCGTCTGGGAACCCCCTTCTTTTCGGGCCTAAGGGGGGACGGATATCTTTAGACGAAAACCTGTGGCTGGTGCTCATTGGAGCCCTTGGCAGACACACGAAAGGGACTAGAGAGTGCGCAAGGTTGACTAGAGCAGTAGCATCGCACCGTGGAATATTGGACTGGTTAGTAATGAAATGTTCCAGCATTAGCCAATGCTCGCAAAACGAAGCTGGCTCTAGGTATCTCGTTAACCTAACAAATTTCTGCATCGTCGCCGCCTTTGCGGTCGTTCGTTTCTTAATCCCCCAAACACCCTCCGAGGGAATGAGTGCTGTGTAAATAAATATCATCAAGTCTTGAAGCCCCCAACGCCATGCTCGTTGCAGTCCACATCGGCCATACTTGACTCTTCTTAATTCCCAAACGCCGTCGCAATGCAATGCTCAGAAAATCCCCGCGCTTTCCACTCATTAAGGACTCCCAGAGTCGACCAAATGCTTTTAGACAAAGTAAAGAGAGAAACCAGCCGCAAATGCAACTGATCCCGCAAGTAATGACGCCGCCAATGGCGTCATTGAAGGGGCCGCGTTTTGTGATGATGATCCGCTTCCACTTCCTACCCCTCCTCCTCCTCGCACGAGACCGTCGGTGGCAGTTACGGGGCTTGCGACGGCAACGGCGGATGGTACGGATCCGCTACCCTTGCCGATTTCGAGTACATTGGAGCTCGTGGCGTTGTACTTCGTCTGCGCCAGGGAGACTTCGTTGTTGTCAATGTCATAGACCACGTATGCGGAGCGCAGGAACGTGTCGCCGAGAACGTTGGTGCCATCGCCGGCCGGAGCAATACCGAAAAGGCAAGCCTGCACACCATTGGAGAACGAAGTACGCTTGCCTGTGATAGCAACGAGATCGAGAACCAGTTCGTCGATGGGTACCGTGATGGTGGCTTCTGAAAAGGTAAATGTCATGTTGGCGCCAGTGTTAGCAGTGGAGCAGGGGATAAAGGCGACGCCTTCTTCTTGCTGGTAAACGGCGCCGACCATGGAAAAAATAGTCGTAACCATGTCGTCGGGAAGGTAGGTGAGGGAAGAGCCTGAGTCGAGCAGCACAGCCAGAGCCATGTTGTCTTCCAAAGTTTTTGAGCCAAGCGTCACCTTCGTCAGGGTGATGAGAAACTCGGCAAAGGTGCCAGACTCCTTCTGGATGGGCACCGTCTTCAGCTCGCCCTCGAAATGATCGGTGTCGACTCCCCCAAAGAGGATGCTCCCCTTACTAGCATCCAGATCGTTCAGCCACAGGCTGAAGGCGCTTGACTGGATGAGGCCCTCGGACACCATTTTCGCAGGGAGGTTGTCGTAGGCTGCCATACCGGCACGTCCGACCTGTACTTCGTTGACCTTGTAGCCCACACCCAAGATACCCTGAGCTGAGGAGCTCGTGTAGCCGATACCAAACTGGAAGTCGGTCAAGGTGGATCCGCCGATGGTGAACGTGTCGGTCACGTAGTCTCCGCTCGCTCCCGACCCGTCGACGTACGAGATGTTGAACCAGCTTCCGACATATTTGTAAGTTGACGAATCGTTGGCTGAGTAAGTTCCCGACACCGAACACGGCGAGCCTTGGCCTTGGCAGAGGCTCGAGCTGGCGGTGTTAACCCAAAGATCACTGCTGCCCGTGTCGAGGTGTAACCTCATTGGTTGCGCTGGTGTTCCGAGGGAGCCATTGACGAAGTACAAAGTTTCCTTGGAGAAATTAGTAAAAGCCATGAAGTGTTACGCTGACGACTTACTAAGTTGTCCATAGTGGCTAATACAGAACCTCTCTTCCGCAGCACATCTCTTTTGTTGCGGGTGTACGGTATTGTCGCTCTGTGCAGATCCAGACCTACTACCTTCGGTGCACTACTCTCGCTCTTCCTGAGTACCAGTCCGTCGACGGACAGAAGCGAAGCCGCCAAGGCGAGTAATATTGTCGACTTCATCGTGTATGGGTGCATGTGTATAGCAAGTTGCAGAGCTTAAGCTTGAATCGAATTTGACTCCAGGTCGGCCGGCTGCCAAGAATACGGGGCCGGAGGGTCCAAGATATAGCAAAAGGGCGTCGTGTTATGAAGTCATTGATGGCGCAGGCAGACAAGAAGAAAGGCGAATAGTCCAGTGAAAACTCCGGAGTTCGGTGAAGGCGGTCGGGGAAATCGGCAAACGGCACGGTGGGGGAGGATTCGTCACCCGTGATGGTGGCGGAGCTTGCGTTGTGCTGATGAAGACGGTTGGGGGCGGAAAGGTGAGCTGGCACCGAACCACCGAGCTAAAGAGGCGAAAAGAAAGACTTCGTCGCGCGGGAGCGAGAAAACCCACGGCAGTTCGGAGACTTAAAGAAAGCGAGGACTAGTACGAGCTGACTTGTCCTTCAGGCCGATGAGTAATATGCGAATGCACAATGCAGGTATTATCAGAGAGGTAAGTAGAGATGAAGCCAAAAGATCGAGAGCGGTTGGGACTGACGCAGAAGATGAGATGCAAGTCTCCTATGTATCAAAAGTCAAAATTCTGGCCCCGTTCTTAGAATAGGTACAGCGCGGACCATGGGCGAGGCGGGAACTGACACTGCCAAGCGCCACAGCTTGTCCAGAAGGTCTCATCCAGTCGCAGACTTGACATCGTCGTCATGCTTGGCGGGGCATTGGGACGGTTGACCGGGGGGTTGGGACAGGGTCCGGGGCTTTTGGTGTTTGGACGAGGCCGCGAGTAGCGAGTGACAGAGCCAGAGAAGAGAATCGACTGAGCGGGAAGCTTGCTTTGCCTCAGCGAACAGCCCCCCACTCAGTCACTTGCAGCGGGAAGGCAAAAGGACAAGAGGGAAAATAGCAACACTGACGGACGGAGTAGCGAATAGGTACAGGAGGATTGGGTGAGAAAGGGGAAGGCCGAGGCAGTCCGGCCGGGACGACCCTGGAGAAGCCCTTCGCGGATGACAAGGTTGGGGTTGTGCAACACGGCGATTGGCAACGGGGAAGAAGCTAGTCCTCTGCAATCCGATGCATCTTGCCTAGGCGGAGTCGAGAGACGCGTGGACATGCTTGCCATTCTGAGCGCCGTCTCCCTGTCTGCACTTGCTTTGCCTCTTCCCTAATCCCAGCTGCGTGTGTGACTTGCGCGGGGAAAGCATCCCTTTCGGTCTGGTAGAGAGACGGAATTGCACTTGGCTAACCCCCAAGTGAGGGTGCGTTGCTGCGGTTGTTGGTCGTTTGCAGGCCCGAACAGGGATGCTGAAACGAGGGCACGTCCCATGCGGCTTCTTCAGACAGCTATGGAACCAACGACAACGCGCATCGCTCGCCCAGAAACCCTCGCTGCAATCGTTAAGTCCGATGCGATACCAGCCAGTCGGTAGGGGGAGGGAAGAGGGAGGTGTTCTCTCTGTCTGACAAGCCAGGAGGTCGTCTTCAGCACGGAAGACGGGGAACCAACAAACGAGACGCGGCCCCTATGATTGGCGACACTCGACGCGCTTCACCAACACGACGACGACGATGCCGCCCCAGCCGCATTGCCGTCACTCGAACAGGCTGGCAGATCCCGTTTGCGTTTGCGAGCGTCGCGGTACCGTAGCATCACACGCTCATGGATTGCGCAACACGGTGAGGAATCACCAGCATCAATGAAGCCGATCGCTCTGTCAATTCGGAAGAACGGCGAACCAGGCCATCCGTGTTGTGAAGAACATTTGGAAAGACAAAGAAGAAAACCAAAGTGCTCGCCGTCCACCCCCCCCCCCCCCCCCCCCCATAATCCTCCGATGCCGATATCCGACAGCCGGGATGTGGCGTGTCCGGACCAAGAGGCCAGGTCCCGGCGCTAAATGAAGGCTCCAGCGGGCGAAGGTGATGACGAGGCACGGCTCTTTCGGCCTAGTCATCTTTCACATTTTTCTGTTGACTCTTTCGCGCCTAGCGGAAGTGGATGGATGCGTGGATGAAGAAGGTGGTCCATTAGCCTCAAGGTGTTTGCAGCCTGACACGAGGCAAGGCAATGGTGGTAGGTCATATAAGGACCCAGAACGAGCAGTTTATCTGCCACGGGCGCCCCTGACTCGCCGGGATTTTCGTTTCCAACGATGGGTGTCCGGAGTCCTGCAGGCGATCTCCTAAAGAGAAATCCGCTGCAACGGCACCCCTTTCTCTGGACGTTGAACAGTGCACGGCGGCAAACCTGATCACGTGAGAGCTCGCATCTTGTCCCAGCCGGGTTGCGGATTATCACAACCCCGAAGACGACGGACAGACTCGCTATCCAACGCCGCCGGGTGGGCCCGGACGTCCATGCCAGCCCGTGCCGCAAACCCACAGCGGTCCGTTCCCCTCATCGCCGTCACGAACCAATCACCACATCATCCCGCGCCGGCCGCCTGTAGTCCCAAGACCAGCTCCTTCATCGAGGAGCACTGCACGCTGCGGCTCTGTAAACAGTAAGGCGCGCCCCCCGCACGTTGCCCGACGGCTAGATATCAAGAAGTAAGATCGGGTCAGCATCAACCCATCCATACAACCCCAACCCGCCGGGCCACCCGGTGGAGATAAAGTAGCCGCTACCACGCGTGGCAGGCGCACCGAGTCGTATTCTTTCGTAGCAGTGACGCACCAAGAAGGGCAGTCGAGCATGGTTACGGCGTCTGCGTCCAGGCAACCACAATAAGCATCTTGGCGTGCCATGTGTAGTTGTAGGCCTCCCGTGGAGTGCTTGGAGTTAAATAGGATGGACCGTTTGGGATGAACGGGTTCTGATGAGGCATCACGCCAATACCGTCTACGATTCTGATCAAATCGAATATCGCTTTGGTGCAGCAACCTTTCCAAGTCAGCCGTTTGCAAATGCAGTCTGTTCTCGCATCGCCCGCCGCCAAGATGGACGACATCGTTTTCGCAAGCATGGACCGTTGGTACGCTGCCGAGCCTCATCCCGCCGCGACTCCCATACTGACCCTGTCCCTCCCTTAGCCCAAGCTACTCCGTAAGGCAGCCCACCCCCCCCTTTTGGCGGAAGCAGGACTTGTTGGGTGATCGTGGAGGACCCCTAGGCGACGAGTAAACTGACCCCGTCCGCTCCCTCAAAAAAGTCCTTCTTCGGCGCGTTGGGTTGCGCGGCAGCCATGGTCTTCACCGTCTTCGGCGCCTCCTACGGCACCGCAAAGTCCTCGGGCGCCATCTTCGCCGCCGGCGTCCTCCACCCGGAACGCCTGATGCAGAACACGCTCTGCGCCATCATGGCCCAGATCCTCTCCATCTACGGCCTCGTCGCCGCCGTCATCATCGCCAACGACCTCAAAGAGAAGCAGGCCCTGCACACGAGCTTCCTTCAGCTCGGCGCCGGCATCAGCGTCGGCATGTGCGGGCTCGCGGCCGGGTTCGCCATCGGCATCGTCGGGGACGCGGGTGGTATGTAGAGCTTTTCTGCGCGCCGTGGCGCCGGTGCCGTTCCAGGGACTCGTGGTTTTCGCTGACACTCTGTGGGATAGTGAGAGCTACCAACCAGCAGCCTCGCCTGTACGTCGGCATGGTCCTGATCCTCATCTTTGCCGAGGTGCTGGGCCTCTACGGCCTTATTGTCGCCATCCTTTTGCAATCAAAGTCGACGGACCAGGTGACTAACTGCGAGTTCTGAGGGATGGGATACCCCTCACGGCGGCCGATGTCTTTTCACTCCTGTAGTTAGGAGGCCTTGGCGTTGCCAACAACGGTCGTCCGAATACTGATTGAATGAGTTCCCGCATGCAGTCTTTCGTTCCTTTGCTTCGTTGACATCGTACCACCCTCATGCGGTACATCTGGTTCCATGTAGAGCATTACATCACGTTTTGTCATCCGTTAATAGACTTTTGTCTAAACTTGTTAAAATCCCTTCACCACCACAACGGACGGCAGTTTGGCCTGCTTACCGTTGGTTCGACCAAACGGTCGTTCGCATGCCCGACCTATGCCCGACTCCATTCGAGCAAACGGAAAGTTTCGCGGTTGACATGACAGGTCGTTGAGGTGGCCTCGGACACCCCGAGAAAGAAACAATGCCTACCTGTAATCCTTTCTCAGTCGGACTGGGAGCATTTCAAGGGAAAGTTCCTGGTGTCTGCTCCTTGCCTTCAAATATAAACCCAATGTCAATGTCAACGCCTCATCGGTGCGGGCTTATATCGCAACGTGCCAGGGTATCAGCCATGCCAGCTGGGGCACAGCACTCTGCACCGCGCCGCATGCAGGCTCCATGATGCGGATATGTGCGCGATGTAACGGGAGGAAGAAGGAAAGCAAACAACGAGGCTGCCCAGACAGTGGCGCAGAAACCAACAGGTGGCGAACCTGAAAGAAACGCCAAGCGGGCTGGACGACCAGAGGACCGTTGGTGGTGGTAGCCGTTACCTACTTCGGGTTGGGGAGAGTTCAAACCTTGCGATGTGATTAGACGAGCTTCTTGCGCCCCACGCCTCCCCAAGACTCAGCCGTGCTTGTGAGCTGTCAATTCCCCTTACGGCCTCTCTGCGCTTCTGCTCGAGTGTGTAGACTGTTAAAGGTGAAGCCGCGGAGAAGTGGGAAATCTCGGGAGATTTGTCGCGGTGGTGGGAGACCCCATGGTTTCAAACCCCTGGGCAATACTAGTGTCATGTACCTTTAGTGTCCGCCTCGGGCCACATTCGACGGTCCATTAAGCCTCGCTAAGCAAGCCGCGCAGCAAGCCACCAAGGTTGCCGAGGGCGCCCATCAAATGGACATGTCGCCATAGTCCCACCGTGGCCTTTTCGTACGGGGGGCACAAAACGCGTGGATGACTGCCGCCGCGTCGCCCGCGCCGGGTGGACAGCAGCACCAACGGCTCGAATGCATTTCACCGTCGTCTCCCACTCAAGACACTCATGTTTGGTGCAAGGAAGTCTTGTTCATATACACATCGGAAGACATATAGACATGGAAAATATCATACACATCCCCCATTCCCACTTTTTCCCCAGCATATACACAGGCACACACGCAGGCACGCAGGCACGCACATCCACACACACACACACACAAACACACACATACGCACACACACAGAAACCAAAAGACCACCGCCATCGCTGTCGCCATCACCACCTCAGGGGGGCACCCACCCCAGCTCCTCGATAGGCCACTGGATCCAGAGCCGGTGGTCTTGATCCAGCAGCGACCACGCCCGGCTGATGAGATGCGTAGCCCACCCCTGTAGCCACCACTCGTTCTCCAGCCTCTTGAGCAGTATACAGAAATGCGAAAAGATCGCCACGGCCTCCTGCGTCGCCCCCGGGACCTTGAGCAGTGGCAGGAAGTCCTCCGCCATGAGATACTTCCACAGAAAAGCGTCCGTAATGTCCATCCCCCGCCCGCCGTCCCACAGGAACACAGACAGCGTCCGCCGTAGCTCGTCAATGGCACGGTTGTAGATCGGCAGCAGGACCGGATCGGCGCACGTCTTATTCACGAGCCGCTGCAGGTCCGCCAGCAGCTCCGGTTGGGCTCTGGACTCGTCGCGCGAGTGAAGGAAGCGCTCGCGGCCATGGTTGAACATGGGCAGCAAGGGGCCGGTGTAGGCCTGTGGTTGGAGCAGCTTGAGAAGGGACTTTGTGCCCCGAAGGAGGAACATCCAGTCCGGGAAGGAGGACTCGCCCATGATGAGAGAGTCTGAGGATTTGCGCGGGCATGCGAGGGCTGTCTTGGTGTTAGTCTCACGATCCAAAACCCGCCGTGGCTCACTTCTTTCATCGTGAAGAGCGCGTGTACATGCTGAGGCAGGAGAAGGGGAACCACGGGGCGCGACTTACCAAAGAAAATGGTCAACACGGAAAACAAGTATAGCTTTTCACAGTTCTCCCCATCCAGCGCTCCCATCAGTCCCATGGCCGTCCGGCTGGCCATCTGATGGTATGTTAACGCGCGGCTGATGAAGAAATCCCGCCTTTCGGGCCGGTTGTGCGCAAGGTGCAGTGCCGACACGCTCAGCAGCGCGCGCATCACGTAGTCACACTCGAGCGCCAGCTTCACGACGGGCACCTTCCACATCTGCCGCACGACGGGGTCGGTTGAGAGCGTGTTGAAGGCGAATGTCGTGAAGTTGTGCATGAGCTCCAGGTCGATGAGGTTCAGCGAGAGGTCGCTCATACCTCCGCCACCGCCGCCGGCGCCGACGCCGAGGCCATCGCCGAAGCTATGGCCGTTGTCGGGCCGCCGGAGGAAAGGATGCTGTCCGGGGACCGCGGGATCGAGGACGACGAGTGGCGTTGGGACTGAAGAAAGTCGCAGGGAACGGCGTGTTTGATGCAGTTCCGGCAGGAGGGCTTGTGTTCGTCGCACTAGCAATCATCTTAGTTCTAGGTTCTGTGTGGCAGGCGGCAACACGTATGAGAAAGAGGGGGGGAGGGGTGAGTGTCGATAACACGGGGATCCAATGTGGTTGCAAGATTGGTATCAGAATGTCAGGTGACATGAGCAAGAGGGAAGGGCGCTACTTTCACTCGACTCTGGTATGTCTTACACCGGCTCATATCATACCACACCACGGACTCATGGCAAAAGACGAAACCCTGCCAAGGAAAAGAAAGAAAGGGAAAAAAAAAGGCTTCTCACCTTGATCTTCCGATTTTTACACGTCCTGCACCCCGTCCTCGATTTAGGGTGAGACCGCCGCGAGACAACAGCCGCCCCGGTGTTGGCAATCGCGGCGCCAGGCGTACTTACACCCCCACCAGCCGTCGCCGCGGCCGTGATGGTCGACGACGAAGCCACCGAGGCGGCCGAAATCGACCCTCGAGGCATTGCAACGCTAAGAGTCGTACCGGCGCCGGGCGTCGTTGCCGTCGCCGTCGGCGTCGACCCCGGTGCGGACGACGAGCCGCCGGACCCATCCATCGGGCTGTCCATGCCGGGCGGTCTAATCAGAGGGTCCCGTAGCGAGGGGGCCGTAAGTCCCGAGCCTAGAGGATCGGCCCTGCAAAATAACCTTGGTAAACCAAAATTCTCGTACCTTCGGTTGAATGCAACTGGGCGCACTTGGAGGCGTAAGGGCACAGTAATCGGGGCCCGCGGGGGGTTGTGGTGCAGGAAGGAAATGATACGAGGAACGTGGTTGGCGGCGGCCTCGTTTTTCTCGGATGCAAGGGGCGGCGGGAACCCGAATACGAGAACGACGGGTTCGGATGCTGAAATCAAGAGAGGGGAAAGCACTCGCATTTGCTCGTGGCCATGCGGGCCGAGTCTTTGCCGCAATGAAAGTGTGGAGGTGTCCACTCCAGCCCAGCTTTAAATGCACATGGTGCGACAAGCCGAGAAATCGCCAGCTTGTGCGAACAGGAGCCGAGATATATATTCACTCAGGTCCTCTCGCAGTGACCGCAAACATTTACCGAGAACTTTCGACTAGAGTTCATCTGAGTTCACCTGGGTTCAATTTGACAAGGTTCTTGTCTTCGTTGATCCTTTCCATTGATACTAATCTATCAGCGCTGCCTGGCTCTTCCTTCTACTTATGCTTCTGGTGAGACTTGGTCAGCACGCTCGTCTCCCTGTCTCTTAGATCCTACCCTCCGCCTTTTCCCCTCTGCTCAGTATTGGTGAACCACGGACTTGTCGCGGGCGATTCGTTTCCCTCTCTATTACCATTCTCTCCTTCCATTGACTAAACTAGTATGCAATGTGACCGAGACCATTCGCAAAAAAAACCAAGAAAGAAAAAAAAAAGAATTCCCGTGCCGCCGTGATGATGGAATGAACGAAGCATTTCTCGTCCCGCATGAGTCAGAAGGGTGTCAAGGATATCCGCGTCGATTGAAATAAAAGTTTTCTCATGAGTAAGTCGTGTGAATGGGTGGTTGTGAGGTGCGGAAATTCGTGCGAGGTCGAATGGTCAAGTTTCTTACTTTTGGCGTGGGTCGGCAAGTGTTGCACCATGTCACCGCTTTGGACAGAAAGCCACAGGTCGTCAGAGGCAGCCACTGTCTCTACACCGCTCGCTGCGCCTCGGCGGCTTGCGCTCGCCCAATCTATTTGGCGTGCTTCTTGAAAGCAAGGAGCTCAGACAGGCTGCCCAGCGGACATCCGTGCTTCAGGAAGTCGTGCTGGAGAAGCTCATCGGCAGAAGCTCTGCTCTTGACATCTACGCACAGGCAGACCGACAGGAAGGCCTTGAGCTCTTTGCTTAGCTTCTCGGGCTTCTTGAGGCGCGGTGTACCGTTGGTGGCAATCAGGTACAGGGCCTTGAGGGGCTCCTCGTTCAGGTAGGGCGGCTCAGACTCGATCATCTCAATAGCCATGATACCCAGTGACCAGATATCGACCTTGGGGCCGTACTCCTTCTGCTTAACAACCTCGGGCGCCATCCAGTAGGGTGTTCCGACCATCGTCGCGCGCTTCGACTTGGACTCGGTAAGCTTGGCACAGAATCCGAAATCGGCTAAGGCTGGTCAGTAGCTGCACGTCATACTAGCTTGTGATCCACTCACTAATCTTAACGTTTCCTCGAGCGTCCAGAAGCACGTTGTCACTCTTGATATCACGGTGAATAATGTTTTGGGAGTGTAGATGTTGCAGGCCACGGCACGTCTGTATCGAGTCAGTATTGACCAGGTATTGCGACGGGGCAGGCCTCTTACTTCCAGGCAGATTGTGGAAATCTGCTCCTCTGTGATGCTGGGGTTGTTATCAATGACATCCGTCAGAGCACCACCCTCCATGTACTCCATGACGACCCAGAGCTCGGCGTTGTTGTTGCGCAAGAAGGCGTCCAAAAAGTTGACAATGTTGCGATGTCTGCTGTCCTTCATGACCATGATCTCGTTCACGATCAGCTCTTTCCTGGGCTGGTGCGCGAGGTCCATCTGCTTGATAGCAACCTGAGCCTTGATGCCCTGAGCACGCAAGACGTCACGAGCAATGGGCGAAACTGCGCCCTCCTTGACCTTGGCAACGTAGACGGAACCCGAAGCACCTTGTCCAATCTTCTTTTGCTTGGAGTAGGAGAGATTCGGGTCATCCTTGGAAACGGCTTCCTTGAGCTTGGCCATGACTTCGCTCTCGGACATTGTGGACATGCGCACATCCTGCTTACGTTCTTGCGCAGGCGGCTTGGCAGTGAGAGCTGCTTCCGCGGCCTTGACGGCATCGCTCTGCGGCGAGGGCTGGGCCTTTGACACATTCAAGGGCTTAACAGGAGCGGGCAAGCGAGACGGTGGCGCGGCCTGCGCCTGAGGGGGCTGTCTGGGCTGTTGGGGGCTGCCGTTGGGATAGCGCTGCTGCTGGCTAGACGGCTGGTCCGGCCGGGGCATGCGTTGGGCTTGGTTGGGATCCCGCATGGAGCTCGAGCTCTGTTGCGAAGTCATGGGAGGACGGTTGGGACCGCCGGCGGTCGGCGGTGAAGGCGCGGGGCGCTGCGCACGAAGTCCGTTGACCTGTTGCTGCTGTGACGGCTTGGGCGCCGGGGGAGCTGCTCTTGAAGGGTTGTACCTGTCTGTCTGAGGGATGGACGAGCTGCCACTGAAGCCGCCGATCTCTTGCTGAGCCATGGGCGTCTTGGTCTTGGGGATGGACGAGTTGAAAACTTCCAAATCCCGACGGTTCTGTTCCTCGATTTCCCTCTCGCGGGCACGCTGCGCCTCGAGCTGTTTCAAGCGCTGTTCTTCACGAGGATCCGCCTGGTAGTTGGTGGCCATGCCCTGCATCTGGTTGCGTTGCTGCTGCTGCTCCGTGGGCGACGGCCGCCGTTGCTGGCCCTGCGACGAGGGCTGCGTGTTGTAGCTGGGTTGACGCTGAGCCTGCGACGGCGGCATAGGCCTGGGGGGTGCGACTGAAGAGCCGCCACCGCTATAGCCGAGCTGCTTGTTCTGCTGGCTGCCGGCAGGGGGTGTAGGCGTGAGGCTGGAGTATTGCTGGGGGTTCTCAGCCCGCTTGGTCAGGTCCGAGTAGAAGTCAAGGACCTCGAAGACGGCCTGGGGGTTACGCTCGTAGTCCTCCTTTGTGATGGCCGATGAGTTGAGGAGCTTCGACCATTCGGGGGCAGGCCGACGAACTCGCCGGTCTGGGGGTCAAAGCCAACGTGGACGGCGTGGGAGAAGTTTGTGGGGTTGCTGACACCGCCCATTCCAGGGCAGGCGCCGTAGATGAGATCAATCCATTCGTACAAATCGTCGTCGCTCTTGACGCGAATCTGTAGCGTCTTGGTCTGGCCGTCATCTTCGCCAGGGCTGTTGGACGATCCGCTAGGGTTTCTCTTAATCTCGAAGATGGTGCCGGCGGCCTCGACCCGACCAACGTTGACGACGTCCTTCAGGTAGAGGGTGTACGAGACCTTGCCACCCTCGGTCTTGTGAAAGTCGAGCGACTCTTTCCGCAGGATAAGGTATTTCTGCTTCCATGGATTGATGAAGTTCTTGGACTCCTTCACCGAGGCCCATCCCTCCTTCTTGACGGCTACGCCTCCCAGGCCATCATTCTGGTTGGATTGCTGGCGGGCGATTGGGAGAGAGATGGTGGAGCCGGTGTAGGTCGAGGTCGCCGTGCTCCTGATGGGGGAAATGGCCATGTTGGCCATGTTGCCGGGAAGGTTATTGTTGGGCGTGAGGGCGAGACGAGGACGATCGGTCGGGGGCCGTGGCGCCGGACCTGGGTTCATGAACTGGCCGGACGAATACACACTGCGTTCGTTAGCCATGATTGCTGCGCAGCGTGGGCGACGACGGCAAGCGAGATCTGCATGCGACGACGACGAAGAAATCGAAAGGGTCGGTGGTGACGGTGGCGAGAATCAAAAGAAGGGCGACGAGGATGCGAGATGGGCGACGCCGGCCGACTGATGGCGATTACGGGGAAAAGGGGGACTTTCGGGAAACGAGGCGCAGGATGGAGGGGAATGGGATGTGGAATGGGAAGGACAGCGCAATTAGGAGGCTGTTGGCGGTTGACAACCGGTGAAGTGCGCCATGACAGATCGAGACGAAATTAACCCCACTTCTAGCCTCGCTGAAGGACTCGACACTCCAGTTCGCTTGGGGCTGCTGGGCGCTGGTGCTAGCAATTGCTGTCTCGCCGCCGCCGCTGCGTCTGCGTTTGCATCTGCGTCCCGCTTACTGCGAATTGCCTGCACAGGAGCTGATTGCGGGTGCAGGAGAGTGGAGGGGGGGGATGGGACGGATGGGGGATGAGCGTGCGGTGCAGTAGTACAGGAACACACGTACATAATTTACGTTCGATGCAAGGCAAAAACTACTACGAACGATGAAAGGGAAAGAGGGGAAAAATAAACAAAAGAGGAGGGATCAAGGAAGCTGAGAGGAAGATGCTTACCGATTCTGCGTCGCCATTTCTCTCCTTCGCTCTTCTTCCAGCGTCGGACACGGGGGAAGAAAAGGCAAGAGGGTATACAGTTTTAATAAGAGAGGCAAGTGTTCCCTGTGGCTGTTCTCGGATGCGAAGCCCCGGGGCAATGGCTTAATGTATGGAACACGCGATGTTTCGTAGCTTTTGGGCGGTACACTGTACTCGCGCCTCCTGGGGATCCGCTACTCGAAGACGTGGGGTGTTGCTGCTGGCCGCTGGCGCTAGGGACTGGGTGGGCTGCTTGCAGGCTTGCTTGCTTGCTTGCTTGCTTGCTTGCTTGCTTGGGCTGCTTGGGTCGTGTGAGATTGGGTTGGGTTTGGTTCGGGTTTGGACGTCCAGCACCTGGGTATCTTTGGGATCGAGTATGTAACAAGGGGGCATGTAAGCAGGCAAGGCGTAGAAGAACCGGGAAAGCTTCCAGAAGTCTCGTCGGCTTGTTGTCGTGCTGCTACGGCGGAGTTATGCTTTTCGTCGTGATGGCTGAACACGGCGTGGAATTGGGAGGGCAAAGGGGACAGGAGAGAGGAGAAGGAGGGAGCGGACGAGCAAAAAGAGAGAGAGATTCAAGTACAAAAGTCCGGATGGGGGTGAAGTTTCCCCTCGGCCTCCCGTCTGGAGTGAGTCGGGTGGTTTTTGGGAGGGGGTGGGCGGATTTCCGTTGGTTGAGGCGAGGGGACTGGCTTGACTGGGAACTAGGCCTGCGACTGGGATGGTGGACTGGCGGGAAAGGGGGCGACACGCCTTGGACGCTCTTGGTCACGGTCGATCAGCCGAAAGGAGGGAGGGGGAGGGGAAGGGGAGCGAGATGAAGAGAGCAGCATGTGCCAGAGACTCGGAGCTGGGCTGGGGCACAAATGCCAGTTGAAGCGAAAGTGTCAATAGAGATCAATCCACAGCCGGTGATGGAGATGGATATTCGTTCTTCTTTCAGAGCCTGTCGGCCAGTGGGGGGAGGGGGCTGAGATGAGTCTGATGGAGTTGAACATGGCCCTCGACGAGGATTAGGGAAAAGCCTTCGACTGCGAGAAGGAGGAGGAGGAGGGGAGTAACCAGAGCAGGATACCTACCTAGATAGCAGTACCTATGGGCCGGGGGCTGGACGAGGCTGACCCGACGTGGTGTTGAATGTCTGTGTGTGTGTGCGTGTGTACTACAGTATGTATGGTACGTGTGCCAGTTCAGGGACCCCAAGGGCCAAGACTTGACGCGTCGATGCTATTCGGAGAAAATAGACGCAGGGCACCAAGGGGGCGTTTCTGGTTCCCGATGTTTCGAACTATTCTCACCAGGCACGCGATTCTCCAGTCTCGTCTTGTTGCGGGCCATTCGGAGAAACCCAATGTATGTAGTGTAGGTACACTGCAAATGCACTTCACCAGAAACGAACGATGCTGAGAGGAAAGGACCGGAGAACATCGGTTGCAAGCAGCGGGACGCCGAGGAGAATTCAGGATCTCTGCATCTCTGTCGTTCTGCAGCAACCGGAAGCACACCGGCAGCGGGTACCTATGTATCACGTCCCTCCTTCCTCGAACTGGGAAACTGGGCCCTCGAATGCGGCACCTTTCTTCCATCCACACGCACACACACACCTGAGATGGCGGCAAGCCAGTCTCCTCAAGATATCTACCACTACCTACATCGTACCTACCTTACCTTACCTGGCCTTCTATGTACGTAGATGGAGGGAGGGGGGGGGGAGGAGGGGAGGGGATGCAGGGGGGAGTCGACCTATTCTAGACGAAGGGGGAAAGGAGGGCAAGGGTGAGGTGAGGACAGAAACGACACGGCCCCAACCTGTGACCTGGAGAGGAAGTGGAGGCGATGCTCGGAAGGAGGTTGCACTGAGGAGGGAAAAAACACCCTAAAACCACACCAACTCACTCAGGCCCAGCTTCCCGCTCGCGCCGGCGAATGGGGTGTCGAGACGAGACGGCGGGTCGCGCGCTGGTGGAGAAGGGGACTGCCGTAGCTAGGTTCGCGTGGATGGATTGCAGACAGGCCCTGCGACGCCGTCCTTCGCATTTTTCTTCTTTTTCCTTTGCCATCCATGGCTGGCCCTGCTTTGGCTTCGGTTCTCTGCATGCTAGCCAGGTCTTGCTGAGCACTGCTCTCGCTCTGGTTGGGTACAGACCGCTCTGCCTGTTGGTTTTCCCCTGAGCTAATGCGACGCTTCTTCTTTCTGCTCAGACCAGACTGCACCGCCATCTTGATGATCCTCCCCAACTCACCAGGCATCGCAGATTGCGACGTCAGCCACTCGATTACTTCACCGCACGTGACGTGCGCTGCCTGTCGCCCGTAGTGTAGTGGCAGAGGCAGAGGGAGCGGCCCAGGGACAGGCACAGGCGGCCGTGAGAGTAACACAAGTAGATACCTACCAATTGGGCACAGTGAGAACCATGGCCGACACGGTCGACTCGCGTCGAACAGGTGAGACGTCATAACGGGGAAAGCTGCCCCCCCTCCAGCCAAGGTCCTCCAAGTTGCCCTCTGGTCGTTTCCGATAAAGAGACACTGTGGATGGACCGCGAGCTCCAGCCCACCCACACCTGGTGTCGCCTGGCCCTGCTACAGTAAAGCACTACATAATATGTAAGGTACGATATCGCACAACAAGGCAGGGCCCGAAGACCGTAGGGAAATGGAGGACTGACTGCAGTTGCTGGCGCGCATATTGGAAACCTCTTCTCCTGGTTGGAAACGGGGGGCCGCCTGCGAAATTCAAGCCAAGCCCAGCCATAACCACCGACTCGTCCGCTTTGCGTCAAATACCCTCTGCTGTTCCTCTCAGACACCGACAGCCGCAGCAGCCGTTCTTCACTCTCGCCCGCCCGTTTCCATGGCCCACAACGAACGCGATCCACCCTTCTGAGGACGACACTCGTACTGATGCAACTTCATCCCTTCTCGTTTCCCACAGCACTGCGGTTCCTACGACAGCCTTCCATGCTGCTGGTCCGCCGTCCGCCCTCCTCCTTTCGGCCTTGCGGTCTGTGGTTTGTGCTTACAAACGCAATCGATAGGGGTCTCCTCCGACTTCCCAACTGCCCAAGACATGCTCATCCCGTCTGATCTCGACGAACATCAGCACCTATGTAGGTACTTCTGCACACCTGCGTGGGCCTGAACCCCTCGCCTCGTCTCGGTTCTTGGTGCTCGCATTGCACCTCAATGGCAATTCGCCGACGCGTCATGCAAAACACAACGTCAAGACCCGACGACTCTGTCGACAGATCCAAGCCTTCAATGTCCACTTGCGGAAACAAGAGATAACCACGGCGATACGGCCCCGCCCACTGCGGGTAACCGCAGGACTAGCCCCTGACTCTTGAGACTTGGAAAAAAAGACCATTTCATGTCACCTGCAACCTATTCTTGTTTTGTTGCAGGAGTCTATGTCTTCACATACCCGTGGCAGGCGAAAAGGTCACGGCCGCTTGCACTGGGTGTGCGATTGGGGTACGCCGAAAAGATCCATGGCACGGGCTTGTCATCCGTTAGGACTCGGACTGACACCTGGCTGATCATCAGTCTGAAAGTTACCTCTCGCTGTTCTGATTCAGCGAGGAAAGTAGCAGTTTGACTAAGATGCCTACAAAGGTGTAGTGGCCAGCTGCAGCCAACAACCTTCAGCCATGGATTGCAACCTCAAAAGTTGACAGGCCTCAGGCGCAACTTGTTACCCATACTTAATCCATGCTTGACACTCTTCTTTGAAGAAGTATTCAACGATGAGGTGTTTCTCGACGGGCAACCAATTTGTGCTGGATGGACCTTGCCAGGCCTTGGTTCCAGAATGCCAACTGCCTAGCAACGCTCTTCCCATGCCAGTTGTTTGTCCTCTAAACGTACTGCCTGCAAACAAAGCATTCAACCGATACAAGTTCTGGGGCCTGTTGGGTCCTGGATCCCTGCGTCAACAAACATCACCCTCTGCGTCTACCGATACATGTTCTATACCGCAACAGCAGCAGCTCGAATCGCACAGCTTGATGGATCTCCTTTGTCCCAAAAATGTCACCCAATGAGACTAAAGGAGTAGACCGAAGACGTCTCGAATTCAGGCCCAAAAACTCTACATCTAGAAGTTAGACTTGATTCGTTCAAACCTCGGTCTTTGACCAAGAATATGGCCACATCTAGCCCGCGGAGCAGCCGCAGAACAATTCCAGCACTTGTTAACACGCACGAGAGTTGTCTGCTACAGTGCGGGATCTCGAACCTCGTTACACACCTCCTCCTCTCATCGGCATCGCCCGAGTCGAAGCAGCCAAGAACCCTGTTCCCAAGCGCTCAAGCCTGGCCCCCCCTACAGCCGCTCAAAGCCAAAATCTAGTAACCCACCGGCCGGAGCATGCTCAAGAGCGGCTGCTGCCACCCTTGTTTGAGGGACTTGCCATGGGTCTACGCTAGCGTCTCCTGTCGTCCGTCTCACTCCTGGATCGCCGTGTTTCATATCTTCTACTCCGTTTTCTGTCCCAGCATCGCAGAGCAGGCAGAGCTGGACGAGGTACGGGAGGGCGCCTACAATTTTCTGCATACGACACAAACATGTCCATCATACCCGCTCAATACTCCAAGGTCACAACCACGGTTCGCATTACCAGCATTGATGTTTCTAGACCAGAGGCCTGATTGCCACGTCGCCATGCCAATCATCCGTCGAGTCGTGCTACTAGGAATAGCACTTATCTTTGACATGCATCGCACTGTCGCATCTCATCACCGAGAGACGGATTGGTATGCAGCCTACCAAGACGGAAATGCCTCCGACGGCCGACCATCGTTGCTATGCTTTCACCGATTAGACGCTGGAACGCTTCACCCAATGGCTGGGCTAGCTGACAGCAGCAATTTGGGGACAAGTTGCCATACCCAGTACGCGTCTACCGTTACTTCTCAGCCTACAGCGCAAAAGATCAAGCGAAACAGAGCGTGGACAGGACAGACTGCCCAGTTTTGTTTCCAATCCGCGGATCTGTTGCAGATTTAATGCCACCGACTCACACCCCTTGGGCCGACTTCCTGAGTCGGAATGGCAGCCCCTTTGACCTATTCCGTCGCTGCCGAGACGGAAAATAAAAAGATATCCGACGGAGAAGAGTGCCATTCGAGCTTGCAACTCGACACCCATTGGTGCCTTTCTTTCTGGGCTATCGGCCCCATGAGATGGGACGGGAGAGCCGCGCCGCCCGTAGCCGCATCGCCATGGTAATGTGGCCCGGCGTTCGCCCTGCGCAACGTCCGATCTCACACAAGCGTGCGTTCGCAGAGGCCGTTGCTACGGCCAGCAATCCTCTCCCATTCCAGGGCCGGGTTGCGATTTACAATGCATTACCTAGTCCTAGGCCGGCTGTCTGGCTACCTACCCCGCAGCACCACTATGCATGCACGCCGACACGGCGTTGACTTTACAGCTGTGTATGACGCGGGACCATCGCCACCTGGTCGTTCGTCCACTCAGCCAACCGTCGGCATGAACGTTCCTCATCTCTACTTTTAGGGTTTGGATAACGGCGCAACGTATGGCCTCGTCAAACAGTATTTCCGGTAGGCGAGGTCACTTGGCGCCGTGCAGAATCTTGTCCATTCCGGCATTCTTCCAGCAGCCTGGCCTTGGCTGAAGCATCTGAAAGCTCTCATGCACACACAAGTACATACGCCTTGACGACGCGTGATAATGGTCAAATTCACAAGGCTCAGTTGAGATGTCTACAGATGCCGCACTTGGGCGGCTTTTTCCCCCACCACCTTTCTCTCTTTCTCTCTCTCTCTCTCTCTCTCTTTTTAGAATCCATTACAGTAAAAGGAAAATGGTATCCGTATAGAAGAAATGCTTTTAACGGACGGTGACGTCGACCTCCTGTCCCTCGAATGCCGGGAGATCGGCCGCAACGTCCTTCCACTCCTTGGCGCCAGTGACGAGGCTCTGGATGGCCGCGACGATGGTGTCCTCGTCCGCACGGACCTGCTTGGTTGAGTCACGATCTCTGAGGGTAATGGTGCTGTCCTGGACGGTCTGGAAGTCAATGGTGATACCCAGGGGTGTGCCGAGCTCGTCGTTACGGCTGTAACGCTTGCCAATCGTGGCCGAGGACGAATCCACGCGGGCCGAGATGCCAATCTTGCGCAGCTTCTGTGAGATCTTGTTGATGAAGGGCTGGAACTGCTTGTTGGCCGACAGGGGCACAATCAGGACCTTGGTCGGGGCGACCGTCGGGGGGAAGGAGAGAACCTAGTCGTTCAGTCAGTGATGTGCTCCTGCTTCTGCTTGTACATTTTAAAGGAGACTTACTCCGCGGGCCTCGTCGCCGCCGTCCTCGGTGGCGCGGTTCCAGTAGACGTGCTCGATCAGCGAGTAGAGAATACGGCCGATACCGAAGGACGGCTCGATGACGTTGGGGGTGTACTCCCTAGTGTTCTCGACGCGCTTCCTGAACTCGACCTTGACAAGGTCCTTGCTGACCTTGACGGTGCCGTTGCCGACGCCGGCAACCTCGAGCTCGAGCTCGCCGTTGTCGGTGAGCTGCTTGGCGAGCTTCTCGCGCTGCTCCTGTGTGGTGGCCTCGAGGGCAGCCTCGACCGTCTTGCCGTCCTTCTTGAACTGGGGACCAAATTTCTTCTTGTCAATCTCGACCTGCCACTCCTCGAAGACGCGGGGCTCGTCGAGGCGCTCGCGCACGACCAGAGGGGCGCCCGTCTTCTTGGCGTGGACGGACAGGTCGTAGGCGCTGCGGTCTGCGCAGCCGACACACTCGATCCAGCCGGAGGAGGTGAGGAGCTCGGCGTCCCAGCAGTCGGCGGCGTAGTGGGCCATCTCGTTCTGCATGTGCTGGCGGAAGCGGACCTTGGACATGTCGACACCAATCTTCTGCAGGAAGAGGTGGATGCGGGCGATGAAGTAGCCAAGCGTCTCGTTGTCGACGACCTTATTGCGCACGGCGTCGCCAATCGTCATCTTCTTGACGTCCGTCTTGCCGGCGAGCTGGGTGTGGCGGTCCAGCAGGGTGAGCTCGACGGCCTCGACCTCGTGGAAGCGGTGGTGCTTCTTGCCGCCCTCGGGGTCGACAAAGTGCTCGATCTCGGCCATGAGGAACTCGCGGACTCTCAGGAGGCCGGCGCGCGGGGAGATCTCGTTGCGGTAGGAGCGGCCAATGGAGGCGGAGGCGAAGGGCATCTGCTGCATGTTGAAGTCGAGGAGCTTGGCAAAGTTGAGGAACTGGCCCTGGGCAGTCTCGGGGCGCAGGTAGCCGGGCAGGTTGCTGCTGGGGCCAATGGCGGTCTGGAACATGAGGTTGAAGGCGACGGGGGGCGAGGGCTGGACGCCGGTGGCCGGGTTCTTGAGGTCGTACTTCTTAATGAGCTCGCCGAGTTCCGCGCCGTTGTAGTTGTCGATCTTGGCCAGAACCTCCTCGTACTCCTGGACGACGGCGTCGTCGAGCTTGACGGCCTCAGCCTTTGTCTTTCTCTTCTTCTTCTTCTTGGGGTCGTCCTCCTCCTCAACCTTTTCGCCGCGGGCCTCCTTGTCGCCCTTGAGGCGGGACTCGAGTACGTCCTCGACGAAGTGGTCGGCACGCAGGATGTCGCCGTTCTTGGGATCCTTGCACATCCAGTCGGCGAACTTGTCGACGTGGCCCGAGGTCTTGAGGACCTCGTGCGGGGTCAGGACGGTGGTGTCGATCTCGAGCATGTCCTCCTCGAGGATGAAGTGCTTGCGCCAGAGGTCGACGATGTTAGCCTGCAGGGAGCAGCCGGGGGGGCCGTAGTCGAAGAGGCCGGCGACGCCGCCGTAGATCTCGAAGGCCGGCGTGAAGAACAGGCGCCGGCGTAGCATGGCGTCGAGCGTCTGCCGGTCGAGGGGCTGACCCTTCAGGGTCGTCGCGGTGGTCGTCATCTTGGAGACGGCGGCGTTGGGCTTGTTCTTTTTCGAGGTGACGAGGACTTGGGCCCGGGAGAGGTTACGGGTGGTGGTGATGGTGCGGTGTTGGAAGTGGTGGTGGTGGGAGTGGGAGCGGGAGGGCAAGGAGGGGGAGGGGTAACGGTAATGGCAGTGGAAAAAAACGGCCGGCCGAACTGCACAGAAGCTAGCTGTGGAACGAATTGAAGGTGATTGGTGTGGGAAAGAGCGAAAAGGCTTCATCTACTTGATCGTTTGGTGGGGTTGTTTTTTCGAGAGCGTGAGTCATCTGGGGGGGGGCCTTGGCCTGGCTGTTGCAGCCGCAGTTCCCCGTACCTACGCGTGCAGTTAGGGGGGCAAAGGGTTGGCTAGCTAGCTGTAGGTAGGTTCAATTGAGAGATGCTAGGTAGAGAGAGCCGCGTGCAGTGTGCAGAGTGCGGTTGGATAGGCGTGGAGGGGGGGGTCGGTTTGTGTGTGTGTGTGTGTGTGTGCGGTGGTAGTCGAGGTCGTTCTTCCTGGAAAGTGTCGTCTGCCCTTCCTCACCTTTTTTTTCTTTCTCTCCTACGCCCCTCATTGGCGAGGTGGTCTGTCATTGCCCTGTCGTGCGATCAGCGCCGGGCCAGGCTCAGGTACCGGACGGGCCCCTCTGCCCCGCAGCCTGTCGTTGTCGTCGGCCGCGCGACAGAGAAAAACTAAACAAAAAAGGGCGCGGTCGATGGACGACGGAATTTCAATCCGCCGACGAGCCAACGGCCCAGCGCCAGATGCAAAAGACCCCTGGCCCCCCCCCCCCGCGACCCAAGCGGCGGGGCCCATCTGAAATGCATCTGCTACAGGGATTGGTCGGCGCCCCGCCAAAATTTCTCCAAAGCTGATTTTCACCTAGACTTTTCGGGACCAGAACTTTTTTTTTTTTTTTTGGGTTGGTTGAACTGAGAACTTGCAGAGCAGGCATTGAGTTACGACAACTACTCAACCACATTCCCCCTTTTCGAAAGTCCGACCACGAGGCACCGGCACATTCCCCAGCCGGACGAGAGTCGTACCTACAACAGCCACCCAGGGGCCAACCGAGCGAAGAAAACAAGGCTCAACATGGGCTTCTCCAAGCCGGGCAAGTCCATGGGGGCTTCGCTCACCAACAAGACGTCCAACAAGCTCAAGCGCAAGGAGCTCTATGTTTTGCAGAAGAAGGAGAAGGACAAGACGCAGCGCGAGATGCGCTTCCGCCGGAAGAAGGAGGAGGACAAGGACCCGGAGCTGCGGGCCGCGCGCCTCGCCAAGAACAAGCCCAAGACGCTCGACAGCAAGCGCGTGTGGGACGACGTCGACGACGACGCCCTGGGGAACGTGGTGGACGTCGAGAAACTCAAGAGGAGGAGGATAGAGGAGGAGGAGAACGCAGCACTGGAGAAGGAGCTCGACGACGAGGATGACCTGGCGGACGAGGACGAGTCGGACAACGACAGCATGCTCGCGTCGGACGACGAGGAGGCCGAGGAGAAGAAGGCTGAGCGGGAGCGGCGGCGCGAGGAGAAGCGCCGCGCGCGGCGGGACAGCTCGGCGGCGCCGTCGACGACGAGCACGAACCTCGACCTCACGCCGTCGTCGCTCGCCCTCAAGTTCCCCTCCCTCTTCACCGAGGACGCGCCCCCGCCGCCCAAGATCCTCATCACCACCTCGCTTAACTCGACGCTTCACTACGAGGCCAACATCTTCCGCACCGTCTTCCCCAACTCCACCTACGTGCCGCGCTCCGCCCACCGCTACGGCCACAAGTACTCCCTCCGCGAGATCTCAAAGTTCGCCTCGAACCGCGACTACACCGCAGTCGTCCTGCTCAAGGAGGACCAGAAGAAGCTGACGGGCATGTCCATCGTCCACCTCCCCACCGGCCCAACCTTTACCTTCTCCATCACCAACTTCATGGAGGGCAAGAAGCTCCCCGGCCACGGCAACCCCACGAACCACTACCCGGAGCTCCTCCTCAACAACTTCAAGACGCCCCTGGGCCTGCTGACAGCCGCCCTCTTCCAGCGCTTGTTCCCGCCGCAGCCCGAGCTCGAGGGCCGCCAGGTGCTGACCGTGCACAACCAGCGCGACTACCTCTTCTTCCGACGCCACCGCTACGTTTTCCGCGAGAAGCGTGAAACGGAGAAGAACATCACCACGGCCGAGGGCGCCGAGATGAAGGGCGTCGAGGGCATCCGCGTCGGCCTGCAGGAGGTTGGCCCCCGCTTCACAGCCAAGCTGAGGAGGGTCGACAAGGGCATCGGCCGCGCCGGCAGCGAAGGCGAGGACTCGCAGCCCTGGGAGTGGAAGGCCAAGATGGAGAAAGACAGGAAGCGGTTCAACCTGTAAGGGGGGGCTGCTGTTGCGGAGAGAAACAAAGAGAGAGAAACCCTATACTATGCTCGTGGTTGGTTGGTCCATCCGCGCAAGTCTCGATTGCTCGGTTGGGTGTCGTATTCAGTGATGCATTGTGTTATTGGTCAGGAACTACCCCGTACGGCGTTTTTTATGGCTGGCTTCATGGACCGGACCAGGCGTGCCGGGCCACTTATCAGGTCCCAGAATAAAAGACGCAACAGGTCATGGATGAAGAAAAAAATGCTTTGGTTTTGTTTTATTGATCCCTGGCTGAGACTCAGTTGCCTTATTCCCCAGACGCCGAACCATGACATTAAGAGGTATCATCAATGTAGACTCTCTCTAATCCCGACGGGTCTACTCAACGCCAGCATGATCCTTATGCTCCCAAAAGAACCGTTCCCGAAATGTCATAAGAGCTGACCGTACGCCCATGTTGCCCGCTTACCTGTTTCGCTCCTTCTGATGCTGGAGCATGACGACCGAGTACCTGGATGAAGGTTAGTCGTGGATTAGTGCACAGCTCAGTGAACCCCGACTTACCCGACGATACCACCAATGGCAACGAAGACTCCGAGGACTGACTTATCACCAATGGCTCGTCCAGAGACCATCCAGCCAAGCGCAACAATGGTGCAGGTCTTGAGGTGGCCAACCACAGTACTGGACACAGGTCCGGTCTGGGCGATGATGAAGAATTGGGAAATGTTAATCAGCGAGGCGAAGACGCCGGACTATGCCCAGTGTTAGCCAAAGAACCCGAGTGCGGCAAAGACTAAGCAAAACCAACCATGCCAATCATAAGCCAGCGGTTGCCAGGCACATGAACCCAGTCCGGGAAAGTGTCGACGAAGGGGATGACGTAAAGCAGCATGAACGAGGCAATAGGCGCCTGGTTGTACAAAAGCTGCATACTCGACATCTGGAGCTTGCGGTGGTAGCTGGCAATCCAGACAGTGTAGAGAGAAGAGGCAAAAATGCCGGCAAAGGCAAAGAAGACGCCCAGGGTGGAGGTGGTCTTGATATTCTCATCCTTGGTGGGCAGAGAGTCATAATAAGATACCATTCCGACGCCCAAGCATGCCGGGATAAGAGCCAAGACGGCGGTCCGGGGCAGGGTCGCCTTGTAGAGAACAAAGTTCATCAGGGCAACGGTTGGCGTCAGTAGGATGCGCGCGATCTGATAGAAGGTGACCGACGAGAACGCCAGCGATAGGTTCGGCAAGATGACGTTGAGGCACATAGCGATGGACAGCGGCAGCAGGTCCTTGATGGCGGCGCGGCGTGGCGTGAAATAGGCAAAGGTCGGCCGCGACAGGATATGCAGCGTGAGAAACGTCACTAAGAAGTGGAAGCTGGCGAACGTGAGCTGGCACAGTTTCCACTGAGGATCAGAGAAGATGGCCTTGTTCGTGAATACCTACAGCGTAGCAACGTTAGTCTGCGCATTCGACAGAAGGACCGAGCACGCCGGCACAAAACTCACAATTCCGATAGTCGCTAGGGTGTTGACTGTCATCCAGACAATGGCTGAGGCGAGGCTGGCCTTCGGGGGTTCTTCCTTTTCATTCACAGTGAGAGCAGGCAGGAGCTTCTCGTCTTCCTCAGCGCCCACTTCTTCATCGACCCGCGACTTGAGGTTCTGCAGGCTGTCCTCCATCGGATCCAACTTGGTCAGCTCGTGCAGAGTGGCAGCGTCGGTGGAAGACGAGGCGAAAGAGCCCGTCCGCTCGGATCGGTTATCAGCCATGGTGCGATGTGTGTTTGTTTGTGAGAAAGAGACAAGCGGGACTGTCGAAAGAAGGTCGTGGAGTAGTCTGATACTCGGGGGAGGGAGTCGAGAGAGCGGGTATGAATAAGAAGAGAGCGACTTGGCGCGGTGATGGGTGGCTTGCGGCGTGAGCGGTACGAGTGGTTGTTGGTCACTTGACGGACTTAAGGGTCCTATTTCAGAGAACCATGGGAAACTTGGTTGCGAGTGTCACCAAGGGAGTCAGGCTTCGGGTCCTTTGGAATGCTAGGAAGGGAGGCGCCTCGTATTGTCAGATTCCGGCGGTCAACTGGCGGAATCGAAGGGGAGAAAAGGGCTGACAGGTGCAGATATAATTGAGGTTCTGGGTAAAAAAGGTCCGAGGCGGCGCGTCTTTCTTCAAGTTCGGCTTGTTTGGGCCAGGCAGGAGGTACGCAGCCAGTCAAGCAGTCGGGCTCCCTAGCCGCACTTGCTAGTTGTACTACCTGGGTAGTGACCACACCTACCCGGGGTGAAAGCACGCAGGGGCCAGGGATGGGAAGGAGGGAGGGAGACGCAAGGAGGGGCAGGGGAAGGTGAAGAAGGTGCGGGTGCGGGTGCGGGTACGACTGGAATTGGGGATTTTGGACTGGCATACTCGGGACTCCCTCGCGACTGCACTGTACTCCCTCTCTAAACATGCTCGACTGCGACTGCGACGGCGGCTCTGGCACGGGTGGACTGGAGGAACGTGGACGGTTTGATAGTTTGGACAGTGGACGTATGTTGGCATGCAAGCTCAAGCACATCCGCGGCGTCCCAAAGATCAGCCCAGCATTCTTGTTCTCTCTCTTTCTCTCCCTCTCACTTACTGTCCCTCTCTCAGGGCTTAGCAGACATTGGTTGGAGTGCGAGACAAGGCATCCAATCCGACCCAGTCCAATCTCATATCAAGAGCCATCCCGTCTGCTTGTAGCCCAGAGTCCAGACCAAACCAGGCGCTGCCCTACTCGCCCTGCCTTTCCTGGGACGGACAGTGCCTACAGGTCATCAGTCGGCTATCGACTCAGGCTTCGTCGATTCGGTAGTGTGGCGGACAGGAAGCACAAGGCTCGCCAACGCCGCCTTCAAGCGTATGGGTTACACAATCACAAAAGCGCGGTTCGGGATCGAGATGCGGCGGCCGCAAGCCTCTTTCTTCCTCTTAACTCAACTGGTTAGACCCCGAGACCTAGGGTCCCTCGCAGCTTGCACTCGCTGAGTACCGGTAGCCTGTTTCTTCTTTTCCGCTTCATCTACCCTACCTCCACTTGCACTTGTTTCTGTCCGTGGCTTCACCTTCCTTCTTCCCCAAAACAGATTCCCGCAGCGCACGTCTGCTTTGTACTATACGTAGGTCAGCGCCAAGCCACTAACACTTCGTAAGCTTCAGCCCCACCCAAGATCCAATTAGGCCCGCGATTCGACAATCTGCAAGTCTCTCCCCTTCACGAACCACGGCAGACAGCATGGCTGCCCGCTCCGTCAAACCCTTAAGCCCGCGTGCAGCGACCCGGCACCGACAGCATGCCCGACTATCACTGTCCCGTCTCCTGGCGTTCTGTAGTAGCGCCGTAGGAGCACGAACATCATGACGAGGGGCTGACCTTGTCACATCTGGTGGCAGTCACTTAAAGTTGCCAAAGCCTTCAACGACGACGAACCCAGCCTCGTTGATCGTCCACCGCCCTGGCCGCACATCCTCCACGCGCAACAGACAGCCCAAAGGTGTGCCTAAACTCTCCCACAGCCGCCCCAACTTTGTCTAATTATCTCCCTTCTCGTTCTCACTGTCATCCCAGCGTGAACCTCCTGTGATCAACCCCAGTTTGTACACACGTCACCCTGTGGACCGTGGTCGATGGCCTTGACACAGAAAGGGTTTCGACGCAGCGACAGCGCCTGGGATGGCGGCTTCTCTGACAGCGCCGTACCCGTGGAGATTCTGACTTGCTCGGTTCCTTCGGACTGGACGTTCCCAGCAACATGGACAGCTGTCCCATTGTTCAACGACCGTCGACGACTACGCGTGATAGAGTTTGACAGAGAACATTGGACGCTTAGATTGGAAGGTTTATTCCCTGAGACACCGGAGTCTCCATTTGCATTTGCGAACCACCGCCAACACCGCCAAGGAACCTTGGTGCATCCTCAGTCCTTGTTGCCAATCTTTGCATGTCTCTCAGCCCAAGAAAGAATGAAGATTGTCTTGGCCACCACCGGTCGCACCTCTCGCCAGCCGCCTGCGGTGGGTGGCGCACCGACAGTGTGTTGCATTGCAACGGCATCTTCTTCCGTCCGTCTGCCTTTTGCTCCACCGTCCGGCGCAATGCCTGCCACGGTCAACCGCAGACGAGACTCGAGACTGTCTAGGACATGGGCAGTTGAAACGTGCGAACTACAAATCATGTGTCGTGGGTGGGCAGCACAGGCAGCGTACAGCATGGAGCAGGTACAAGACATCCGTCTCTTGAGAAACCGTCCATGGTCCTGACCCAAGATCGACATGGCCCCTGCGCCAATCTCATCTGAAGACGCAAGCATGCAAGCCCGTCTGGCCGGGAGGACGGGGATTCGGTGGACTTGCTGGCTCCTTTGGCCACCAAAATTAGCCCCGGTTGTCAACCAGACTGTGCGACTGTCAGGGACCGGCAGTCCCCGTTACTGGCAATCAATCGTCGGATCATCTGGTACAATATGCTCCGCGTCCAACATGCCAGTAGTTACATGCCATTTGGTGCCGTTCGCTCCGTGCCAGCATGGAAATGTGCCAATGTTTCCTCACCCCTCTGATACTTGGCTATTGGGCGTTTCAGCATTCCCCGGGCCACGAGGTTGTGCGGTGGTGCGATGGCGAGTCTGACCTGTCGAAGGGGTGCGGGAGGATGGGGGAAAAGAAGAGCACCAATACCCCCACATGGGCCACGATAAGCCACAGCAGACGCGCGCGCCCGACCTCCTCCCCAGTTCTCGCCGGAGCAGGCCAAGTTCATGCCCATCACGCTTCCACGTCCAAAAAGGCGGGCGAGTGGGAGAGGCCCGGACTAGCACGCTCCGCTGTCGCCATTTTCGTCAGCAAATGGAGCATCATGGGCCCAATACCTGTACACAATCAAGAGTCTGTCCGTGAACGTCAGGCTGAAGTGGTTCGTATTGGGTGTTTACAGCGTCGATGGCTGCATTTGTGGCGCCCGTCACGGGCCGGTCGCGACCAAGCCATTCGTGTTCCGTTTACCTGCAGACTAGCTGCATTGCCGATGACGACTGTGATGATGATGATGATGGCGGCCAGCAATAAAATCTCGACAAGCAGACCGCTGTAAATGGCCTGACGAGGGGTGGGAGGGTGGATTGACCTGTGTCCCCTCGAAGTTTTGTTAACATCTAACAAATATATTTTTGGACAGAAACGTATGGGATTGCTCTAATCCTAGCAGTATCATATTGCACATTCCAGGTAAGTTTGTGGCCCCTCAACATCAGTTTGCCTTTTCTCTGCGTCCTCCCTGGCGGAGACGAATTGGTTGTCATTAGGAGGCTAGGACATCAATGCAGGGACTGGTCGCGACTTGATCCCTTTGATCGCAGAAGCAAGAAAGTCGTATAGGCGGACGGGCTCCCGTAGAAGCTAGCGGCCGGCCCAGAGGCGTTGGCTGAAGGCGACATTACACGGCTGAGGCAGGCTGAGAAGAGATCCTCAGAAGAGGGACTAGCAACGTCCTGCTACCGGTAGAATCCAGAGTCGACGCCTCGTGGTCAGCCGTGGCGCAATGGCACCCGTCGAAAGCGTGTCTTGAACGTACGTAGTCTCTCTCCTAGTTTTCGTTAGCTTGTGTGGAAAGAAGGGGTCCCATTCCATTGGGAGGTCTCGGTTAGATTGGGGTTGCATCTGTCAAGTAGCTGCACGGCATCCCAAGATAGAAGACAGACGAGAATCGTCTGAGTACCGAGGACGTACCCACAGTGCTCAGGGAAGGGATACGTATTTCGGCAGTCTACGATATCTGTACCTGTGCGGAAGTCGTTCATGTGGCCAATGAACTGCATTGATAACACTGGATCCTAGGATCGGCCGACCAGAACGCTGCATCGCAAACTCGATCGCAGTAACGCACACAGCTGTCAGATCGTCCAAAGGCCACGTTCTCCAACGGCATGTGCATCGCTGTGTTGGGAAATGGGGGGTTTTATTTGGTTTTTCTTTTCGTTCTCGTTGGAGTCGAGTAACGTGCTGCAATACGAGAGAGAGGGGGGGAGGGGGGAGAGTGAGAGTGAGAGGAAGAGGCAGAGAGCGCTGTCGCGGCCTGTGCCAGATTCGATGCCAGGTTGTCCTGGATAATATGGAAAGAGAAAAGCTACCAAATTAAAATGGCGAAGATACCACGCAGTACTTCAGAAACACAGCAAGCGTCATGTTTCAAGGTACCGCCTCTCAGCCAAGACCCTCTCGGTGTCCACCCCCACCATCCACCTTCCAGAGCGCGGCCCTCATTCAGTGACTTGCACTTGCATTTGCACTCTCCCTCCACTTGCAGTGCATACAGTATTGGTAGTCACCTCATACCCATCCGCCGCCCGCCTCCCACACGGGCTGGACCCATCACCCTTGACTTGTCGCCAAAACACCATCCACGCACCTGCGGTTCACTAGAGTCACTATTGTAGCAGCAGTCGTAATCACACGGAAGCCATCTTCGCAGGTGCCCACGACGGTAAGTGCCTGGCTCGCAACATCACTCGTTCTCGCCCTCCCTCCCCCGATCCCGCTTTAGCGCAGTACAACGGGACGACTAGAAGATACTTGGCCAAGTACTTCTCGCAGCTCGGACCGGCACTGCCTTCTACCATTGATTCCCTTGCCTGTGTCTGTACCGGTACCTGCGCATGTACCTGGACCTGGTAGACTACTCCCGTTCCCCAGGTGAGCTTACGCCAATCATTTCGGTCCTTGCTGATCTATCTCTCCCGCCGACCGACTTACCAAGAGGTGGTCCCTCTCACCGGAGTACACACACCATCTCATTGAAGACAACCCACAGCCGTTTCCATATGCACCTTGCCGAAGCTATCTGAACTCTGGCTGTCACTTCCGCAGACTTCATAAAGGTGCTAGGTATCCTGTCTCGCCGTCCAAACCTCCGTCCCACACTGCCCATCTCGCGCTACAGCATCTCGTGAGAGGACAGACCACGACCTCGGAAAGTCTCGGCCGAACCTTTTGAATCCTCCCTTATACCTTTCGCCACCCTTGCCATCGCTGGCTGCCGGGCAGCATTCTTCGTTTAAGGCCAGCTTAGTTGGAACGCACCCTCTCCGCTGCCGCGGACCACGTCGACCTCCCTTGCCTCAGCGCGACTCGAGGTGGTGTGAGTGAGACACGTTGGGCACAGATCGCCAATGGCATCGGCTTAGACGTGATAGGAATATCCCATATCTAAGGTAAGATTAATTGCCCGATATGAGTCTGTCTTGCGTGTGGGCATCCATCTAAAATCGCACTTTAGGGCTACCTTTTTCTCCCTTGAAAGCCCAGCTCGCCTTCCCTAGTTGTACTTCAACCTCGCCCGAGCCTGACTCGCTATCGCCCGCGAACTTAAATCTCTCCAAGAGCTCCCGACATCGCACTGCACCCTCTTTCGATCTCTTCTACACTCTTCACTCGACCGGAACATCGGAAAGAGAAACCTCACAATCCGTCAAAATGACTCAACTCAATGGCCAAAACCGGACGCAGAGCAGTAAGCCTACCATCGTCGTTATCGCCGCATGTAGTCAGATCCCGAGATTGCTAACCCTCACCAGCGTACAGTAATGGACACGGAAAGTTTTTCCAGGATTTTGGCGTGTGGAAAGAGGCACCGCTGCTCAAGGGCACCACAAAGTTTGAGCCTCTGCCCGATGTCAAGAACATCATGATTACCGGCGGCGCTGGCTTCATGTAAGTCAAGGTCTTGGCAGGGGAATCGACTGGATGCTAACAAAGTCCCCCAAGCGCATGCTGGCTCGTCCGTCACCTCACTCTTACCTACCCCAATCACTACAACATTGTCTCTTTTGACAAGCTGGACTACTGCTCTTCGTTGAACAACACCCGTGTCCTCAACGAGAAGTCGAACTTCACTTTCGTCCACGGCGACATCACCAACCCTACAGAAGTCGTCAACTGCCTGAAGCGGTACAACATCGACACCATCTTCCACTTCGCCGCTCAGTCACACGTCGATCTGAGCTTCGGTAATTCGTATGGATTCACCCACACCAATGTCTACGGCACCCATGTTCTGCTTGAGAGCGCCAAGAGTGTCAACATCAAGCGCTTCATCCACATCTCCACCGACGAGGTCTACGGAGAGGTCAACGATGATGACGACGACCTCCTTGAGACGAGCATTCTCGCCCCCACCAACCCTTACGCTGCCAGCAAGGCTGCGGCCGAAATGCTTGTCCAGTCCTACCAGAAGAGTTTCAAGCTCCCCGTCATCATCGTGCGTAGTAACAACGTCTACGGCCCGCACCAGTTCCCTGAGAGTAAGTCATGTGCACCCAACCCATTGGATCCCAGTTAACAAGAGTAGAAATCATTCCCAAGTTCACCTGCTTGCTGAACAGGGGTAAGCCCGTTGTCCTTCACGGTGACGGAAGCCCTACCCGGCGCTACCTGTTTGCCGGCGATGCAGCCGACGCCTTCGACACCATCCTCCACAAGGGCCAGATGGGCCAAATCTATAACGTTGGGTCCTACGACGAAATCTCCAACATCGACCTATGCAGCCACCTTCTCAAGGAGATGAACATCCCCTTCTCCACGACGGATGAGTTCAAGAAGTGGGTCAAGTACACCCACGATCGGCCTTTTAACGACCACCGTTATGCAGTCGACGGCACCAAGCTTCGCCAGCTCGGATGGGACCAGAAGACCAGCTTCGCCGATGGTCTTCGCATCACGGTCAACTGGTACCGCCAGTTTGGCGAGGAGTGGTGGGGTGACATCTCTTCCGTCCTCACGCCCTTCCCTGTCGTTCAGGGTCTGGATGTATCCGCAGACGAGGAGCCTGTTACCGACTCTCCACTCACCCCGAGTCGAAGAAGAGAAAGGTCCTTGAGGGTATCAAGGCAAGCAACGGTATTACCAACGGCTCCAACGGTCACGCAGTCAGTGCATAGGAAATATCCCTTCCCATTGGCCTAAAATGATAGGCCCACGTGGATGCGAGAGGGAACAGGACAGGTACCCTCGGTTCGTTTAACGCATTCAATTCGTTACGACGTATATTCATTAAGAATGCAACGCATGGGGTTCGGGTCATGACATTTACAATTTGCAGGACATATCTGGCGCTGGGCGAAGGCGCATGGCACACCATGGGTGTTAATCATAGAGGAATGTATGGTCGGCAATGAAAATGAATTCAGAAGTCCACTTGCATCCAAGATGCCGCTGAAGAGGAATGCTCACCTGACGTGCATGAGTGGACTGGTGGCTGCCTATCTGATAGACAGCCAACATCTCTAGATGAATTGAGTCGTCTTTGGTCCAGCATCAGGTGATGGTACATGGTATATCAGCAACATACGTCGAGCAGAGGCCAAGATGGACCAACGGCCATGTGCAACCTCTGACTTCATGGAGACACAGGTCGTGCAGACGCGGATCTGGATGCGAGCCCACGCGGCTGTTGGAACAGGGGGTAATTGAGTGTAAACGAGAGAGGAAGAGGGGAGCTTGAGGGAAGCATGGAGGAAGGGGATGACATGCACGTTCGAACCATGACGACCAACGTCTTGGCTACCTTATGTTTGTAACGAGCCGTTCTAATTTCCTAGTCTCCTCCTTTTCTCCCCCTTCTCTTATTTATGGGCCCGGTTTTGGCTTGTTGTGTCAGCGACTTTACGTACGAGAGAATTAAGGAGGCAAGGGATAGGCTGTAAGTTGTGGCCAAATGGTTGTTCGACATCAACTCGGGAGAGAGGTGGGTTAGTTGTCATTGGCCATGGTCAGATACATAGAAAGAAAATATATAAAATATGAAAAAAAAAGTCTCGCTTCCGTTTGTCAATGTGGTAAATAGAGGGAAACAGTCGCTCGTCCGCCAGCTTGAGGGACTTTGTGCATGCAACCAGTGCGCGAAAGGCCGTGCCGCCCGGAGACTTTTCCTAGTTGGCCGTGTGGTACTCTCTCTGCGCAGACGCGGCGGCTAGCATTCCTTCTCTTCACATGTCTGTCTCCAGATGGCCAGGCCACGTTGCTTGCCTGCTTGATTTGACTGTTTGAAGTCTTGGCGCTGGGCGACACCACCTCGGGCTCTCGTCACTCTGCCTCCTACACCCCTCGTTTATCTCGTGCGGGTTAGTATGTTTGCAGGGTCAAGAGTTTGCTTTTTACGTTGTCCCTTGTGTCCCAAGACCACAACGAAGGAGGACCTCGGCCCGTCCGTGCGAACGGGGATAAGCTTTCCATGCTGGGTTCATTTTTGGTCTCGTTTCGGGTACCGCCCGGTCGGGTCAACACACTTTGCTGGAGATTCGAATGCGTACCGATGTCGTTGATCTGATTGTTCTCTGACCTTGGTCTTCTCTCATGTGCGCGTCAACTGCAAGGAACATCGGCAGCGGCGGATTGATGTCTGTCTCCCCTGTCAGCACCTTGTCATGATGTGCCGGGAAATTGATGCCCAGTCGGGGCGCTGATAGAGCCCAAGGAGCCAAGGGTGTGTTTACCCAAATGTCTGTGGCGGACGACATGGGCTCAGCCGTACTGGAGACTCGAGACTATCCGTCCTGATGGGGTCTGCTGGGTGCAATGGGTTGATAACCAACGCTGGGCGGTGGCTCCCACCCTTGAATATGCTCCTGGACTGCGCGGCGGGGGAATCGGAGCATCCACATTCAGACCCAGCGGACATCCCGGAACCCAGACCAACCAGAGCGACAGAGCCAGGACATTCCGATGGGGCGCGCGCGAGACCGGGGAGGTCTCTGAAGGTTCCAACGGCGGGGGGGACGTCCCTCATCCCTGGGCCTGGATGGCGCGACGCCTGTGCACGGCGTGCCCACGCCATTGGAAGCGGCTGTGCTTGCTGAAAGCTTGGGCGATAGCTACAGAAGCTCGAGGGAGACTGTGCCATATCCCAAATGGACAAGAATACATGTTATGCGGAGGTAGGGGAGCTGCACCGTCTGCAGTAGCTCTTGCTCCGCTGGTGCCTCTCGGGACGTTGAATCGGATCAGCACCGTTTTCCAGACCTTCTTAGCTGCGAGCTTAGCTGCGAGGGGCATGCAGTCGAGGGGCGCGGACGAGGAAAAGGAAGAGGGGTTGCTGCATTCCATTGCAGCTCTTGGGTGTCGCCGCCGCCGGGCTATTCGTTCTATTGCATGAGGTGCTCCCAGAGAGCACATCTTGTTTGGGCTTTTGACTGCCTTCACGACGGCATTGGTATCCCTTGATGCGGCAGACTGACCTTGCACATCTCTTGCCACCTATTGAGCCGCCGTTTGACGACATGGCAATTCCGGTTGTACAGCGGTACACCGTCCAGTAAGCCGTCGCCACCTATGTATAGTAGGCCGAATACGTAGTTACCATGTGCAAAGCTCGCGTCGAGGTGTTGGGATCAGGCGCGTTTCGCCTTGCAACCGCTTGCAGTAAAACTATGGTAATGTTTCGGCGGTCTCCACGGCAGCTTCCACGGTTTCTGCCGTTGCCAACTATCTGTCCCGTACCAACACCACCGAGTGAGAAAACAGGAGCCAAAGACGAGTCCAAGACCCAATGAGAGAGTCAGAGAGAGAGAGAGAGAGAGAGAGGAAAAAAGACCCCTGGACCGTTTGCTCTCCACCCCAGAAGAGGCCCAGTTCACATCCCACCCCGTCGCATCGTCTCTTCCCCCCCTCGTCCATTGTCCCTCGTCCTTCCAATCCATCGCCAGCGTCCTGTGGCTCCAACGTCCTATCCCGGCACCTGTCAGGATTCTTGTACAGGATTAGAGATGCACTGGCCACAGTCAACCACACTAGGACTCTCCCCCGGAGCAGCCATTCCTCTTCAGTACTAATACTACCCAACTGACAAGTCACCTCGTCGCCTGATTATCCTCAAAACGTCTACCCCCCCCCCCCCCCCCCCCGGAATCTCTCTTGCTCACTCCCGCCCAGATGTCTCTTGTTCCCAAAACATTATCCCGCTCTACCGCACTCGTTCTTCCTCTTCGTCCCGCTCTTTTGTTTGTCTTTGCGCCGCACGGCTTTACCCTTCCATTCGAAACATACCTCGATTCTTTCCTCGAGTAATCACGACCACCGATCGATCGACCGACCAACGATCCGGATTTGGCACAAAATTCGGAATCGCCCGCCCTCCTTTCCGTCTTGGGTTCGCTCGAATCCACCCGCCCCCTAATCGCAAACACCATTTCGATTACATTTTTATCTGTCTTTTCTTGCCCGCCTGTCAACACTTTTTTATTTCGAGGTGTTCCCGCCCCCTCGCCGCGGGACGTGACATGACTTTACGGGCTCGCCCACGGGAGATTAGACTGCGATAGGACCTCGACAGCGGGTGGCACAGACGACGGGTCACGGCCGCCGCTCATGGCCAAGAAGCGGCGTACTAAGAAGAGGAAGGGAACAAGTACAAGACCAGACCCCGCCCAGGGCGCCACGTCCAGCATGTCCACCACCGACGAGTTCGCGTCGCACTCGAGCGATGGCCTGTCGAGCGGCTTGCACGAGAGCGAGACCGCCACCGAGATGACGAGCGTCATGAGTACCACCGAGGGATCCCAGGGCGTCTTCGAGGCCGACGAGGAGTGGAATTCGCAAGACGAGGAGGGCATGGAAGTCGACGAAGACGGCGACGACGACGACGACGACGACGACAACTTATCCGTTTTTACGCCCAGCCATTACCCACGGCCCAGCGAGTCCCACCGCACCGAGATGCCCTACATGACATCGCCAAACCACCAGGACATGTGAGTTTTGCGCAGCGCTGCTGTATCTGGTCTTGACACGGGCTGACTGAGGGAAATGTATGCAGGTCTTCAACCCGGTCTTTCATGGAGCGAGAGTTGGATTACCAATGGGAGAACGGTCGCCGGTACTGCGGCTCGCATTATCACCTCCCAAACGACGAGTGGGAAATGTGCCGCATGAGCTTAGTTCACCGGGTCTACTTGCACGTCTTTGACGGCAAGCTCAGTACGGTACCACTGGAAAACCCGCAGAGGATACTGGACGTTGGTACGGGCATCGGCGAATGGGCGATAGGCATGGCCGACGAGTTCCCCAGCTGTGAGGTTATTGGCACAGACATCTCCGCCATTGCGCCCACGTCGATACCGATGAACTGCTTCTTCGAGGTCGACGACGCCGAGCTAGAGTGGGAGCGCGAGCTCAACTCGTTCGATCTGGTGCACTTCCGCCATATGATGGCGGCTTTTACGGACTGGAATTTCATTTACAAAGAAGCCTTCAAGGTCCTTCGGCCCGGCGGCTGGATCGAGATGCTGGAATGGGACGATCAACAAGGATTTAAAAAATTCCTTTCAGAGTTCCCCCCTACTTCTGAGATCCATGCATTGTCGAGGGACCTGACGCTCGCTGGCATCAAGGCCGGACGCGCAAGAGGCGTCTCTCATATGAACCCGAAGCTTTTGACGGATGCCGGCTTCACGGACATCAAACTTACGGAGCACATGATTCCTATCAACATCGAGGCCAGCGAAGGCAAGCTTTGGCTGATTGCTTGTATCGACGGATTGGAGGCCGAATGCCTACGCCCTCTCACCAAGCACATGGGGTGGGATCCGGAACATGTCAAAACGGCATGCCACAATGTTGCCAAAGAGATGGCCCGCCTGGCAAGAGACCCGGTCAAATCGCACGGGCTGGTTGTCAAGGCCCGCGTCCTGGTTGGTAGGAAGCCACTGAATGCAGCAACGCCGCCAAGGGTCTACCCGAGACATACCGAGGACGCGGACGAGACGGACGATACGGCGAAGGAGGACAACCACAGCAGACATCTAGCCGATGATGAGGCTCAAGACTCTGCGGTCGAGACCACAGCTTGAGCGAGAGAGAAATGATATTGAGAAGGAGGAATGGTAATTCTTCTCTGTCCGGGTGATGAGCAGCCCGGATCAGAGCACGATTTGTCTTCATGTTCACTGCATATATCGCGCTTATCCACACCGGCGGCAGCTTGCTGGTCTTTTTTTTTTTCTTTTTTGTATTTTTGAGCGACTCAACTTGCATATCTCCTACATGTTTTCTTTGTAAGGATGAAACGGGGTTAAAAAATACCATCGAGGTGGTCAACTCGGATGCTCTGTCGAAAAGGTGGACGAACCCCTCTGAAGACGAGTGGCACGGCACAATCGTGCGATATCAAGGCATCATGCGAATACCTAGCTAGGGCCAATTCAAGAAATCCTACGTGAAACTGAAAACCTACCACCTCAGTGTAACTTGAATATTTACTGCTGAACTGAGTAAAAATAACATAAAAACAAAGCCCCCTCAACGTATTGTAAGAAGCGACGAATGCGAACCAAAACAAGCATCAAAGCTCGGCGACGGCGTTTGGTACGTACCGGCTGTAGCTCCCTCTTCCAGGTTGCAGTGGGGGCCCGGCCGAGCTCCCTGTCTATGTCATCCATCCTCCGTCCAACTGCGACCGATCAACACCCAGCATCACCAGCCTCCGACGAGCTGCATTCCATGCGCAACCGCAGCGGGCGACCTCAGCGACACTCGTAAACACTCAAAACCCGAGCGACGATGACCGCATGAACTCACTCTAAATACCCACCATGGCTCTGAACCCATCCGATGGCTTTGCCGCCGGGAACGGGGTGCTCGACCTCGACGACACCGCGTTGCCCATGTTCGTCGTCGAGCGAGTCCAGCTGCAGTTCTCGATCGCCGCCGACTTCGTCGCCGCCCAGGTCGCGAACAACGTCCTCGTTCTGGCGCTCTCCAACGGCCGCATCCTGCGCATTGACCTGAACAGGCCCGAAGACATTGATGGTGCGTGATGGCTGGCTGGCTGCCCTCTACGGCCGTGTCTGTACCATTCTGGCGAGAAACCATTGCTAACCTCGGTGCAAATCCAGACATTGACCTACCGAAAAAGCCCGGTGAAATCGGCGTCATCCGCCGCATGTTTCTCGATCCGACTGCTTCCCACCTTCTTATTTGCACGGCTCTCGGCGAGAACTATTACCTCCACTCTCAGCACAAACATCCCCGAGCCCTGGCCCGATTACGAGGCGTCTCGATTGAGAGCGTCGCTTGGAACCCCTCGCTGCCAACGGCGTCGACTCGCGAGATACTTCTCGGTGCAGCCGACGGCAACATCTACGAAGCCTTCATCGAGACTACCTCGGAATTCTACAAGAAGGACATCAAGCTCAAGAATCTACACAAGCTGCCCGATGGACCGATCACGGGGCTCTGGGCCGACACGCTACCCGGGCGGCCGGATATGCGACGGGTGATGATTGCAACGCATAGTCGGTTGTTCCACCTGGCTGGCAAGGTTGGCAATGGGCACGACAGTGGTGGCTCAATCTACACGAAGCTGTTCGAATCGGAGCAGCCGACGATCCACGAGCTGTCACGCTCGTCTGGTGCTGCGACGTCGGCACTTGTGGTCTCGCCCGACCCGCCCGATCAGAACCCGTATGAGGACGAGTCGCATGAGAGGGCCTACGCGTGGCTGTCCGCGCAGGGCGTGTTCCATGGACAACTCGCCTCCAGCGCCGAAGGCAGCAAGATTTTCAACGAATCGAACATGCTGCCTCGTTCGCAGCTCGGCTCGTCCAATGTGTCGAACAAACGGAACCCCCAGCGGACTATATTGACGCTATTGCGCTGACGCAGTGGCATATTGTCAGCCTAATCGGTGGCCGCGTGGTAGCCACGAATCGTCTGACTGGGGAAGTGGTGTATGATCAGATCGTCCTGGAACCGGGCCAGAAGGCAGTGAGCCTGTCTGTTGACCTGCAAAAGAACACCTTCTGGATGTTCACCGCTCAAGAGATTTTCGAGGTTGTCGTGAGGGATGAAGATCGTAACATCTGGCAGATTATGCTCAAGTTGCAGCAGTTCGACTCGGCGCTGCAGCACGCAAAAACACCAGCACAAAGGGAAACAGTTGCTACCTCGTATGGCGACAATCTTGTCGCGAAGCGGCAATTTATGGAGGCCGCTTCAGTGTATGGGCGCAGCAACAAACCGTTCGAAGAGGTGGCTCTTACCTTTATTGACAATGCCGAACCCGACGCTCTCAGAAAATACCTCTCGGCGAAGCTGGGCACGTTGAAGAAGGCGGCTGTCATGCAGAGAATCATGATAGCAAGCTGGCTGGTCGAGATTTTCATGGCGAGACTCAACTCGCTGGACGACACCATCATTACCCAGGCTGAACTGGCCGACGGCCTCAACCCCGCGCAGTCGAGGGAGCAGCTTCGTGCCGTCCAGGGCGAGTTCCAGGACTTTGTGAACAAGTACAAGTCCGACCTCGACCGACGCACAGTATACGACGTGATCAGCAGTCATGGCCGGGAACAAGAACTGTTATATTTCGCCAACGCCGTCAACGATTATAACTATGTTCTTTCGTACTGGGTTCAGCGCGAGAGGTGGCCTGAGGTGTTGACTGTGTTGAAGAAGCAGACCGACCCAGAGGTCTTCTACCGGTATAGCACTGTGCTCATGACGCACGTTGCCTCGGATCTGGTGGACATCCTGATGCGCCATTCCGATCTGAAGCCCCGCAAGTTGATACCTGCACTGCTGGAGTACAACCGCAATTTCGAGGGAAGCCCGGCGCAGAACCAGGCCGTCAGATACCTGCAGTATGTCATCAACCAACTCAACTCAAAGGACTCGGCGGTGCACAACACGCTGGTCTCAATCTACGCCCAGAGCTCTAAAGACGAGGCCGGGTTGTTGTCGTATCTGGAATCGCAGGGAGACGAGCCGAATTTCGACCCAGATTTCGCCCTTCGGCTATGCATTCAGCATCACCGAACACTGTCATGTGTGCATATCTACACTAGCATGGGCCAGTACCTCCAGGCCGTTGATCTGGCGCTTTCTCACAATGAGGTGGAGTTGGCGTCCGTGATCGCCGACCGGCCAATGTCGAATCCGCCCTTGCGGAAGAAGCTCTGGCTCGCTGTCGCCCGCAAGGTGATTTCCCAGTCGAACGGCATCAAGACGGCCATCGACTTCCTCAAGCGGTGCGATCTGCTCAAGATCGAGGATCTCATTCCTTTCTTCCCTGACTTCGTGGTCATCGACGACTTCAAGGAGGAAATCTGCACCGCTCTGGAGGACTACAGCCGCAACATCGACGGTCTGAAGAAGGAGATGGACGAGTCTTCGCAGACGGCGACGAACATAAAGGTCGACATTGCCGCACTAGATCACCGCTATGCCATTGTCGAGCCGGGAGAGAAGTGCTACGTGTGCGGTCTGCCGCTACTCAGCAGGCAATTTTTCGTCTTCCCCTGTCAGCACTCCTTCCATTCAGACTGCCTTGGGAAGAGAGTGCTGGAGCAGGCCGGTGTAGGCACGAGTAAGAGAATCCGGGAGCTCCAGGTGCAGATCAGCAAGGGCCTGGTCAACGGGGCGAAGAGGGAGGCCATGATTACAGAGTTGGACTCGCTGGTGGCATCAGCATGGTAAGAGGCCCCTTACTTCGATACGGGAGCCATTGCTAACTCTTTGCAGTATTCTTTGCAGCGAATTCGCCATCAAGAGGATTAATGAGCCGTTTGTCACGCCTCAGGATAACCTGAACGAGTGGAAGATTTAAGAGATATGAGAAGGGACCTGGTTAGACGCATACACCATCTATTTGTACATGTTACGGTACCCTTGCATGAGCAGGCGTGTTTAATGGCTGCAATACCCGGAGTTTCAACCCAATGGTTTTCCAGTACTCTTTTGTGGATGAGGCGAGCGTGCCATTGTGATGCATTACAACCATTGGCGTGGTTTCGGGTCGTTTAGTTAGGCTCTAGCTGGTTTAATCCGGAATCTTTGACTCAATACGACCCCACGCGCCAACGGCCACTTCAGCAGGGAGCAGAGTATAGGGAGGTTTGCTTCCCGGGGTTGCGTACATCACACAGACTGAACGGCCGCCCGGCCTCCCGTTGGGTCTTGTCGATTAGGCGGTCCCGCACGGCGGGCCATGTTCTCCTTCCGGTAAAGGCTCCGTTGCACCTTCGTCGCCGCAGTCCCCCTTCTCTTTTGTCGCCCGCGTGTCCTCGGCGGGGTGGTACTTACTCTGCGAGCTTATGACGGAGGAAGGGCCGGCACGCCTCGATGCTGTGCACCAACTGGGGCACGGCTTCGACCAACACGGCGTAGACGTTCAGCCTCCCTACCGAGGGCTGTTTAAGGGGCCCCGGGAGCTCCGAGAGGGCGTGCTCGCCGGCGCTGCTGGAGTTGTAATAGTTGTGCCTCGCTTGGTAGATCGGGTCAGCGGAACGTCATGCAAGTTTAGCCTCGGGGCTTCATAGTGACAATGAACAAGTCAAGAACGCGCCGAATTCGATGGGGTTTGAGTCCGAGGTAAAGGAGTTGTTGAAGCGGGTGATCTAGTCCCTGACGTCCCAACCACCCAGCTTGTCGCCCCTTTCCTGCACGAACTGGGTCATGATTTCTGGCCCCTACGAAGTGTTCGATGCCGCCCGAGAGGCAAATACCCAGTGAGGATATCGGCTTGGAGGCGCAGACGAATGACCCCCGCGAGACGTTTGCAGACGCCCTGCATCACTTTCCTTGAGGGCGCGCATCTCTTTTACGAGCCATGGGCTTCTCAGCCCTCCCACTCTTTTTCTCTCTCCTATGGTACTGACCCCTGGGGCAGGCTTTTTACTCTGTGGCCGTGTCTGGGCATCGCAATACCGGTGCTACGCGGCACTTGCATTCGAACGCAAACCGCAGCAAATGCCTCAGCGACACCTTACTCGCTCCCCCTGAACAGCGTCCCCGTTTTCCTACACCGCCACACCACAGCCGATGAGCGAGACGTCCCACCCGCGCTGCCATCCCATAGTGAGGAACCCTTGGTTTCGGGCACCACGAGGATCCTGGCAGGGGACCCCTGTTCATCTTCGACGCTGTTGGCACAAAGTCCTAAATAGGGACTTGATGCGAACTGGTTTCTCATGGTGAAAGACGTCCCTCGGCCACTCGATGCACACGACGGAGGCGAACTCGCGGCGTAGGTGCTTCAGAACTCGGTCGTTCCGTGGTCCTGTTACAGTGCGAGGATGGCCTCGCTGCCGCTTCGTCCGGGGTTGTATACCCGTGCTTGACGGCCCGGTGGGTGCTGGATGGCTTCGTGACCAGATCTCGGCGTTGCCGGCGACGTGAATCTTGCCGATTATATCTCGAGCGGTCAATGGCCAGCTGGGAGAGGTCTACGACTGAGAGGGAGGCGCGGCTGAGACCCGTGGTTCCGTGTGAGTGGCTTACACGTAGCTGAGATCGCGGGAGAGAGGGGCGCACCGATGGAAGTGTCCAAGTTGATTCGGCCGCTGGTGTCCGAGGAGAGCTAGGCTCTGTATCGGTCTGTGTTGGATATCGGGGCCTGCTTCCGGAGGGCTTGGCTGCGGAGGGCCGGAGTGGATTATGGCTGTGATGCCGCACACTGCGATGACAACCCTGTGCCGAGTGAAGAGCAACGAGTGTGCAGAGCACGGATTGCTGGCCGAGCCAAACCATCTGTCATCCACGTCTCTCTAGGTCTTACTTGTTCTGAGACACGTAAGAATGACCAAAAGAGATGGCAAGACTTGTAAACATGCCTTGTTTTAGCGTTGCCTTATGATTTGTGTTCATCACTTGATGTTGTTTGAACGCCTTCGCGATGGACGACGGGGTAGGCCTTGTGGCTCGTGGCGCAGCCTGCTTGATACGCAGCGCCCCGGCAAGCCATCCTAAGGGGAAGTATGCGGCCCTGACATACCCTTGAAGTCTCTTGATTAACTTTCCGGCCATAGAACGTATAGTTTATTTTAAACTTAAAAACAAAAACAAAGGCTGTATAGTCTAAAAGCTTGTTCCTTGTTTTCTGACACGTATCTTGTTGGTTTTGGAACACTCTTCTTGGCCTTTCTCCGTGGTGCTTTCTGGCTGCATTAATAGAGCACAACACACTCCTATTTTACCCTCCGGACAAGCCACTTTATTACTGGGATTTTGACGAACCCCCACACGCCGCCGGTACCAGCGGTTATCCATGATACAGCTCTCTCGGCAGCCGTTTCGGATCTGACAGGCGATATGGGCCGCAATGGCCTTGGGCAATTGGTAGCATGGCGGCGTCTTGAGTGAGCACATACAACGAAACAGTTGAGACAGCGAGGCAAAGCAGCACAGGTAGAAGTCAAACAAACAACATTTATAGGTATTTAGGCACATTCAAGACTGGCCCTCTTCTTGCTGAGGGCCAATACAATGCTGTTCCTCCATACTATATAGATAACAAGTAATGTCACGTGTTTGCAATTGAAGATTGTGGACCTCACAATCGGCTTGTGGCAACTCACACTAGCTACACTAGTGTCGAACACAAGAACATTTCTAACACTCACCGGCATCTTGAAACTGTCACCCTGGCAGGTCCCGCTTGATCAAGCATATATAAGTCTAACTACAGTAACTTCGTCCTATGTATGGCGCTATCTTGTGTCAGCTACAGTCGCAGCATAGGACGACGCGGCTCCGCGGACAGCGTGTTAGTACAAGGTACGTAGAGCGGCTACAAGTCCAGCCACAATGATCGCATCCTGGCAGCTATAGCAGCACCACAGGCGCCACTGATCCGCGGACAGCGTCTTGGTATAGGGTACACTTAGCGACTATGCGTCTAGAAGCTAACTCACCAGGGTCGGGTCATCCAAACATCATGGATAAGAAGGAAGTTTATCCCATCTTCTCGAAGCTATCTGAACAATCCCACGCCATCTCATCTCTTTCTGTCAGCATTCCTTTACTTGTTTAATACCAACTGTAACTATCAAGAGCCCAGGTCGGCCTTCTCTTCTACATTTTTGCCAGACGCAGTACCATTCCACCTCATCTCCTTCACAAAATGCACGCCAACCAGGTTTTCACCGCACTCCTCGTAGCGGCCACTGCTCTCACTGAAGCTCGCAAGTATATCCTTAAGTTGTAAGCTTAGGCTAGTACTCATACGTTTTCTTAGGTGTTCTTCAGTACCGTCAAATTGGGGGCCTCGATTGCAACATTGCCCGCTTACAGATCGTAGGCGCTGTCTCGTCGGCCCAGGACGCTGTCGGCGATATTAAGGACGCCAACGTAAAGACTGCTGCAGCGGCTGGCCTCAAGCAGGCTAGCGACGCGATCGGGAACATTGGCGGGGCTCTGATCTCCGGCCAGAAAGCGGCGGCAGAGGACCGCGCGAGCGTTGGGACCGGCCTTCAGGCAACCGGCGCGGCTCTGCAAGGGGGCGACCAGTACGCCCTTCTCAATAAACCATAAAAAGCTTTCGGTTCGATGCTAATGCGTTACAGGACTGATGAGGCAGTAAAGAAAGCGGGGGGTCTCCTCCAGCAGGCGGTTACTGCTGGGAAAGACGTAGTCTCTCTCTGCAAGTAATCATGACCCCGGTCCTTGGTCTACGGCAAGCAGGTACTTGGTAGATAGGGGTTTAAAAATACTTAATAAAAATCTTATTAAGAAATTTCACTTTCAAATCGAACGCTTGTTACTCTTTCAGATAGGTTTCATCTGGTGGTAGGTTGAGCTGCCAATAAGTTCCAGATGGCTCTCAATCATCCCATGTTCGGCATATCTTTCGGGCGATGAACCAGAGCTGTTGTACCAAGGCACCGTTGATCTTAATATCTCCTCCCTGTACCGATATCACTTCCCCTCTCATGCGCAGTCCGTGTTCCTGAGCTCCGCCCCAGAATCCCGAACGAGCCCTCACCCTCTTCTCTCACATTGTTAGATTCGACGTACTGGCCCGAAGGTGCCTTTTCATCACTTCCTGCGTGATGGTCGATTTCCAGGCCCAAATCCTTTGGCAACTATGCATCAGACGTACCGCATGCGTAATGTTCTCAGACATAGAACTGTTACTCAAACGACGGAATGCCAGCAGCTTCAACATATCTTGTTTAGTGTCAGCACCAAATTGTGGCTGTGGCTGCGAGGAGGCATGCATCTGTGATCAGTATGAGTGCTACGGCGAGTCGGTAGGTCTCCCCGGTAAGTTAATCGCAACAAAGGACCGTCGGCAACTACAAGAGATATTGGCTACAACAGCAGGTTTTTTTCCTTCTTCCTTTATCTTTCTGATTATAACGCCACAACAGCAAGGAAAATTGGTCTATATTCAAGTCCCAATCCGTTGATGTAAATCTGTTTGCGAGTGTCTCTGTCACGAAATGACTGAGCTCAGTCTGCCACCACATGACCATTGTAATTGCAGAAAGTCCTGGCTTTGCTGATTTCAATGAGACCAATGCCGCTGACTTTGCCTTCAGTCATTCATCCAGCAAAGACGCTTGGATTCTTCATTGAGCTGTGCAGTTGGGTTGTTATCATGGGAAAAAAGAATGTTTTCTGGGAAGCACAATTTCGCAAAAACGAGTTTATTCTGAGAAGTACAGTTTCGCAAAAATTCGCTCCGTTGCGTCATAACGACAATTCGTTCATCAATGAGCCTACAGTGTCCATTGCGTTGAACTCCGATACACTTCAAGACTGTTTCTTCAGTGTGTTTCGTCGTTTAGAAGTGGCCGGTCGTGAGGCAAGGGCAGGACAAACTCGTCAAAAGCGGTCTCACCGAGAATTTCCATTAAGAGTTTGGGAGTCAGCAATATCTTTATTCGAATGCACCAATTTCTCTAAGAAACCCGTGGGTAAATACTGAAAGGCGCCTTTCTCATCAGGTTGCTATCCGTTTGTAAAGAACAGGTCCCAGGTATTCCTGACGTTTTCTTCCGTTAACGAGGAGCATCTCACCAGGTCCACGAACCTGAGCGGGTCCGCCATGGGTACCCAAATCGACTTCAATGATGGGCACTGCATTGTCAGTGGCGGTGAGAAGCAGGCTGGCGAACCGGGAGAGCATCCTTTTGAAGGAGAGACTGGGGCTATTATGGCTATACAAACTACAAATGGAACTGAGGTGTCACGAGGGGTGTGCTCAGAAAGGTTGATGTCGAAAATTTGTCGATCTTTATAATATCTTGTAACGAGAATTTACGTGACATGATAACTATGCAATTGGTTGTCGTCTATCACGGGCCTTGGATATTGATTCATCACTCCTAGATTGAGTCAAAGACTATCTCGGATGACCGGCAATCTCAGAGATCTTTCGCTTCCCACGTAACACGTGACATGAGTCGCAGCTCGACCTGGCGCCTTGATCACATTGTTTTCAAAACATGAGTTATGCCTAGTAAAAACCACAAAATGTCGCGATACATTGCAATGTGTTGGAATAGAGATTTGCACGCATTCGTACGTATCCAAGCAGCAATGCCACCTGTACATTAGTCAGCAGGATCCAGCCTATACAAGGGCCAGATCTGCCAGATATCTAGGACTTAGAACATTATCGGCAACAATACATTGACGGTCAACCCCTACCATCGTGTGCCTCCAGCAGCGCGCGAGAGCTATTCCGACACAATGTGATTCTGAAGTTATGTATAATAGGCAAGTGTATGTGGGTTAGTCTAACTCTACTATATAATGTTAGCCTCTTTCTTTCTACCTGTCTTGTCACTCGAAACAGGGCTCTTGGAAATATGCCACGGACCTGCAGTTCAGATGGGTTTTAGATGGAGATATGCACTCATGTCAGAAGGCTGGGAACGTATGGAGTACTAGGGTTCAACAGAGTGCTGCACGTAGGGGTCAATTATGACTAGCATTCGATTTTACCCCTCTCCTCCCTACTGTAGCTGTCCAGCTGTCCTTAAAAGGCCGCCCCATGTTAACGATGTTCCGTTCCAGTGAGCCCGCGCTGGTGGCCCCTGGCGCCCACCCGGCGATGCCCTTCGGTCCCTGACAACTCATGAACCCAGTTGATAGCACAACGACCCTAAACAGAATGTCCAGCTTCATGGAGTTGAGCACTGGATTCTATATGTATACTCAACTCGTATTGCATGATTAGGTGGCATAGAAGGGTTCGATGCTGTGATGGATACTCCTCAATAGGGTATTCTGGCTAGCATGTAGCAGCTAGACGACTGTGCATCTTCGCAAATAATTGACTAACCACAGCTTGAGGCTCGAGGAGATAAATTTTGGTTCATCCATCGAAAGGAGCTTGTGTTTCTTGTTTACTTAGTGTGCACTGTCGTTTGGAACGCATCCTTCTAGCTTTATGCGGAGAAACGTATCTCTTCAGCCTTGAGTGAAAGTTGTAAGGCCAGTTTGAGTACCCTGCTTGATTATCCAAGACGTCCAACTATCTTTCGAAAGAAATTAACGTGATACACGGGATCAGTGAGCGCCCAGGGGTACTGGACGTAGAAGAACATAAGATACTTGTTAAACATGCTTGAGTTATCTGCGAAGACTTAACAGGATATAAGTGTCTGGGAAACATTGGCGACCCGGGCTTCGGGATGCGACAAGAATCAAGTCAGGGAACCTGCTTCGTTTATTGGAGGCTATCAGGAACATTACCAGTGTGTGGTCTTTATGTTATGGACCCCAACATGTCTTCCCCCTTTGACACCTGACGACGGCTCGAGAACAGGCTCTCGATGACTGGGAAGATGGCTACAGACTTTTCAATAGACCCAATATTGTCACAATAACCACACAACTAGTTTATTGGTGACGTGTAGTGGTCCTTGCCGAAAGATATCCATTACACATCACGTACATGACCTGTTATCAGTCTTCGCCTGTAGGTGTACTAAAAAGGGCTATCATTACCCCGTATTCCATTGGACGAGTGAATACTGTTGAGGGTTTGTTTATATCCCTAGTATTCAACGTCCACTCAGGTTATTCCATGACCCGAGCGTCCTGCATTTCAACTCTTTACAACCTTACCTGAAGCTTTCTTCTCCAAACACATCACACTCATCCACTTCAGTTTTCAAAGTCATCATGCAGATCACGTCGCTCATTTGCTTCGCCGCTCTGACCGCTGTATTTGTCTTCCCATTATCCTCTGGAATGTTCGCTGCTGGAATTGTATCTCCAGCGCTACTGCTAGATTGCACAGTATCGCCGTCTGCGTCACCGACAGATCCAGCGAGCCCGTTGGTGGCACTGGGTGGAGCGTCAGCTATACGTGGTCCAAGAAATACCGGATTCTTCCTGATGCGACGAAGTGTGCTTGTGACTTTTACCTACACCGCAACACCGGCAACAAACAATGGGAGCAATGCCCCGACTGTCATTTCGTACGTTTCGAAACCACAAGCGTTAGGCACCGGCTACGTCTTCTTATCAAAGATTAGAAGGGTTTACGATTCAATTTCGCCCATTGGCATATCGGTGGCGATGAGGTATGTCATCGAATACATTCCTGCCAAAGCACAACATTGATAATAACCCATTGCTTGTTGTTTCGATTACTACTGCGAGAGAAAATGCGGTGCCGAAGGCTCTTAGGCCGACTAGAGTGGAGGCTTTGAGAGGAAGGAACTGCTCTCATATGGAAGAACTTCGCCATTTCGGGGTATGGCGACGTTTCGCTTCTTATGCAGATAACGAGTAATTGCAGCATTTACTAGTCACCTTCCATGTAAGGCCTAGTACTCAGCCCTTTTCTATCTCCATCTCTGTGAATCGAAGGATCTGCACATACTTTAAAAACGTAATCCTTGTTAGAGTCAATGTTATGTACCGTTCACTATCTTCCTTCTCGGCTCCCCTCTCCAATACTAGCAGTTTTTGCCTCACTTACATACAAACTATGATAGCTATTTTATAAATGGCACAGAACATAAAAAGCAACGTGAAACGTGAAGGCCATTGTCATCCACAACATTACTATTCGAAAATGGTTCAATACCTCCATCCCCAAAACATTTAGAGCCTTTACCGATTCTCAAGAGTCACGCTAGTGGCTAGAATTTGGAGCTGGCTGTGCTGTCATAGCCTGTACCAGTCGAGCATTGCCGAAATAGGAATGATGATCTTCTACTTGGTTCACTTCTGGTCTACAGGATCCGACATTCACAGTTTTAGCAAATATATCGCTTCTAGTGCTTTTGGACTTGCATCTTCACACGGCGTCATGTAAAAGGCTATCTCACGGCTGTTTTGTGCCCAGCGGAATTTACCTCGTCAATCACTGGTGGCACGGCGCGAGTCCGTAATATTAACAGGCGCATTCGAGTAAAGTCCCCGGCTCGAGGAAACCCAAGTCCATCCGAGGCTCAGTGGACAAAGGAATATTTCGAACCCGAAGCACCCGGGAGTTGTTGATCTGGCTTCTAAGTTATTAGTGAAACATCATCAGCGCGCCGTGACCACACGGCGCGTTGATGAAGAGTCTTGATGATATTGGCCATGTCCGGCATCGGCGTAGCTAAGGAACACGCATGAAAGCATCAATGACTAGTAGGAAACTAGTGACGACTGGGTCATCCGGGGAGATAGGGCGAGTGGATCATGGTTGTTTAGTTTTCTATGGCCACCGACTAGTCTAGGACTGACAACCCCTCGACGTTCAGGTTCGTGCTACGCAGGAAGCAGGAAGCAGCGCAATACATAACTACTTAACCCACGGCCATGTATACTTTTCTTGCCCCCGCAAACTGCTTATGCGAGACTTCAGTTCTGGCTGACTTGACTTATGGATAGGCTTTGAGAGGAAGTAGCAAAGGATAGGTTCGCTTCTTGGTATCGGCAGGATGTCTATGCCGTGCGATCGGTATGGAACTTCTAAAATCTAGTTGGCAACCTGCCACACGTGTGAAGAACAATGCTGGCTAGTTGCTGGCTGCTTTTGGTGTTGAAACGGCGGCTCCTGGGTGACGACCCCAATTGTTCTAAAGCCGATGATTGTACGGGCAACCTCTAGGCCAGCAGCTAAGGTGTCGGGCGTGAGACGTTTTGGTGGCAAAGTCACATTGAGCAATAGATGCGACGTAGGACAGCTACGCAGACGGCTAAGTGCATGGCTAGGTGTCTATTTGGTTTTGTTTTAGGAACCTGTTAGCACATTGACAACTCTCGAGAGAAGCACCAGAACGTCCGTCTTCCCACCACGCTCTGTCTGTATTCAAAAAAGCAGCCCAAAATCCACAGCCATAACCGCAAGCGCCAAATCCAATGTCCCAAAGCTCCAGTCAAACAACTACTTCCATCCTTCATGAGCTTGCCTTGCAAGCCGAGTAACTGTCATAACCCGATGCTTGCTGCCACGCCGTCAGGTGTTCGATGAGCGTAGGGTCGATGTCTCGGTTGGCTTTGATGAAGATGGTCTCGTAAGGATGGACATTCGTCCCAAAGTACTTCCCGTTCCAGAGGACGTCGCCATTCTGCGACGAATCACACTCTTCGATGTATTTCTTCGACTTATGAAATGCCGTCATCATCAGGTCCACCTTGTACCCTTGCTTCAAGAACGTGCTGGTGGCGCCAATCTCGGCATGCACGGCTTGGTTCCAGCCGTCATAGCAGCCGCCCAAACCAACCGGATCGTTTTCGGTGCCAAACTGGTCCTTTACGGAGGAGCCCGGAGGTGGATTTAGGAGCAGATCGATGCCCGTTTCGTCCGTGGCCCAGATCATGGACTGCACGTGGAATTGGGGCCAGCAGTTTGCTGTCATACCGACCAGCTGATGCCAACGTCAGCACAAGACAAATGGTTGGGAGACAGGCCGCGCGTTGGCCTTACCTTGACCTCATTTGTAAGACGCCCGAGGTACAGGTCACTCCAGCATGATTGCGCCCAGTGAGGAAGAAACGGGCCACGGATACTCGCGTTCATGGTGATGAAGCGCTTGTACTTCTTGTATAAGTCATCTTTACGGAGGACTTCGCCATACGCGCCGAGGTCGAAGCATGTGTTGGGACGGCTAATGACTTTGATGTTGCTCTTCTCCGGAATCGTGTCGGTCACGTTCGTCTCTCCGTTGAGGATGAAGATGAAGTCAGCGGCATCATGCAGGCCCTGGTTGACGAAGAATTTGAGGTTCTCGCGGGCGGCGTCGGATTCGGCGAACGCATAGAGGATCAGAGGCCTGTCGTGTGCTTTCGAGAGCGAGGACGATTCTGGTTTGGTTGACGCTGCGGCATGCTCGCTCTTGCTCCCAGCTTTTGTTGTACCTGCGCTCGTGGAATGTTGTGCAACATTGGGCGACGTTTTGGAAGCCTCGCTCGCTGCTTTCTCCTTATCGTTCTCGTACCATGGCGGGAGTGAATATTGGGGTGGCTGTTCTGGCCGAGAGATGTCCGCGCCTGGCCTAGACTTATCTGTCGAGCTGTAGTCGGGTGTGTCCGCAGGCTTTCTGTCCGGTTGGCTCTGCTGGTTTCCTGTCTGTTCGTGTGTCTATCAAGTCAGAGAACATCGTCGGGAAGGATTTATCAGACACTCACGACATGTGTTGGCGTTGTAGACGTTGAATGGGTAAAAGTCGACAGCGTCCACAGGAAGAAGAGGAAGGCGATCAACCCAACAAAGGTTTGCCTGTTTACCGGGAAAGCCGAAACCATTTTGGGGACGTTCTTCACAGCTGCGGGCTATGCGGTTGATCGTCCAAGACTTCAAGGAAGGTGATTGTCGTCGGGAAAGACGGCTAGTCAGAGCTATGTGGACAGGTTATAAGGAGCGAAGCGACTGGAGGGAGGCGAAGCTGGAACGTAGGGAGCGACGGAATTACTATTGGAAGATCTGCCCCCAAAAAAGTCCATGCACGTCGATGCAGCCCTGCGTAGATTGGTCAGTCCGATTGTGCCCTTGGAGACTAGTTAGATTGATAAGTAAGACTGTGTATGTCCTTGTTACAGTTAGTAATGGTTAGCTGGCGCCACAGGCAAAAGCTTTGTACAAAGCGTCCAACGTATCTTGTAGGGCAGACGGTGGGCCCCGCAAAGGTCATGGAGAAGCAGTCGAGGCAGACGTTGCAAGTACAGCGAGCAGCTCCAAAAGTCGCCATAAGGAAATGGACAGTGCCAATGGAAAGAAGAATAACCACAGAAAGGAAGCTAATGAAAATGGAGTGGGAGAGTTGTCCTTACGTCGGAGACAAGTCGCAAGCAGAACAAGGGGTCCATGTCCATATTTAGACACTTGAGAGCTGCGTGTCGTATCTGCTGCGCGCGGCTGCCAGGTGGGACAGAGAGCACGGTGTTTTGAGTTCAAGGTGACCGAATTCTGTGTCGTGGGATTACCGTAGATGCGCACAGTCGTTTACCTCCCGCATGGTTCCGCGTTCCCAAATGCGTGGGCTTGGGCGACGTACGTGCGGTTGCCCACATCCCATGCGCCGCGCCACCATGCAGGGACCTGAGATCGGGAGGATCCACACTGAATCTGTGATGGCGCCGTGACGGGACACCCCACGCTCCCGACTCGGTGGCGCCATCGGGGGGGAATCCGGGCACAGTTGCTTGTCTTCGTCGTGGACCGTTCCGGTCCAGCTTGTTTTTCTTATTCTGCCCTTCCCACCGACGCTGGCCAACCTGCTGATGGGCAATCATGATTACTAACCGCCAAGAAGCGTTGACGGACTCTTTCCCGCGGCCACTTGGAAGTGCAACACCGCATTGGCAGACGCAAACTCATCGCGACGGTCGCAATTGGCCGAGGTTGTGGTTGCTGCATGGGACCGGCCAACCAAACCCGGTCGACATGCCTTATCTGGGAATGGAGTTGGAGGTATCTCGAGCGGGGGTTGCACCAAGTGGAGGCGCGCCTGATTTCACCTTCCGATTGAGCTGGTCATAGGAGCCGATGCCATGCGCGTAGCGAACTTGCCAACTCCATCAAAGGCCATTAGCCCCTAAACAGTACTTACTTTATTTGATTCAGGATTGAGAAAACGAGCCCAAGACGTTATGGCTGCCGTTACGGTTCAACGTCCTCTGTCGCGAAGAGGCCACGGCCCGGGCCTTCTTATCTTGGTAGAGCAGGGCATCGACTTGTCCAAGCACGACAAGATCATGGATCCTCCTCCAGCTCAGAAATGGGCCGAAGAAGGCTACGCTGTTGCGCAAGTTATTGTCACGCCTGGGGACGGCGACGTTACGGAGCGTGTCTCCTCGGCGATCCAGAGTCTGAAAGAGCTGGACAGTTGCGATGACAAGGAGAAGTTCGGCGTGATTGGTAAGCTATCGTCGTGCGTCCAGGCAAGCCTGTTGAGATGTCTCTTCTGACGCCGCTCGGTAGCACATCTCACTGCCTCTTCTCAGCAGGTCGCGGACGCTTTGGCAAATCATTCCGAGATCAAGGCCGCAGTCTTCTTCAACTTTGGCCAGGCGCTCGCGATTCCCACCTTGTCTCACCTCCCTGGAACCCAAGCCGAAGCGCCGAAGGCAGTCTCTACCGCGAAGACGTACTCGTATCCTGCTGCCCGTGATTTCTTCGTTGTACCCAGCCACCCAAACTTCAACGCCAATGCTGCCGGGCTCGCGCACACCCGCACGTTGACGTTCCTAAAACCGATCCTCGGCGGGCCCTACTTCGACCTCGAAGCCGTCTGGGAGGAGCACACCCTCTTCGAGTTTGGCGAGCGCAATGTTGAAAAGACCATGGCCACCATGGTCGAGCAGCCTTATGTAAGTATGGTTATTGGAGGTGTAGTGATGTCGGAACATCTCTGACGGCAACAACAGGTCAATCATATTCCCACGCTTACTGGCGGCGTGGGTCGAGGGCGTTTGACAAGCTTTTACAGAGACCACTTCATATTCAATAACCCTGATGATACCGAGCTCGAGCTGGTCAGCCGTACGGTAGGGATCGATCGAGTTATTGACGAGTTCGTCTTCAAATGCACTCACGACAAAGCCATTGATTGGCTGTAAGCACCCGTCAACCAACGCGAACGGGAAAGTCGTCCTAACACTGTTTCTTAGACTCCCTGGCGTGCCACCTACTGGAAAGCATCTTTCAATCCCATTCACGAGCGTCGTGAATGTGCGGGGAGATCATCTCCACCACGAGCACATCGCTTGGGACCAGGCAACCGCGTTGCGCCAGCTGGGTTTGCTGCCGGAGTACCTCCCCTTCCCCTACCAAATCAATGGCAGCGGTCCGGCGAATGGCAAGAAATTCGAGTTCAGACTGCCTGTGGCCGGCGTTGAATCCGCCCATAAGCTGGTAGACGAAAGTGCAGTCGAGTCGAATGCCATGTTTGAGTACAAAACTAGAGAGGTGGATGCCTAGCCGGATATCACAACGATATACAAGAGGTAGTCTATCAGTAGTCGAGCCAGGGATGCGGCAGAATAATGTACGTCTGCCGAACTGGCAGGGACGGCTGCTATATTAGATTCTATGAAACTTAAGTTTTGCTTTTTTTGTAAATAGGGGGGGCATGGAATTGTATCTCCATGCGTGATATAGTCTCGGTAATCCTCCACGCTTGGTACAGTCTTGGTGACCTCAGACGCGATTGGAGCCCATGTGCGAGGAACCGCCCCGTGAAGCAGACTCTGAGTCATAGGCCAGGTTCTGCTGAGAAATATTCTCGCCCCAGCAGACCTCCTGATCGACCTTGATCCGAATACCGTCCTTGACTGAGAAGTCGGAACCCGAGTCCGATCCGGAAGGGGCTTTGGTAGTAGCCACGCCGGGGCGGGTGGATATGTTGGTCGTGATGCCGTACTTTCTGTCCTCAGCTCCCAGGCGCTTAAATCCTCTGTCAGCCGACTTGCCGCCGCCTCCGATCGTCATGAGCTCGGTAGTTCCGCGGCTGGCTTCCTTCGAGTGGCCGCCGCTCTGCGCTCCCGAGATGTTGTACTTTGTCGCAATGCTGCCGAACTGGGACGAGATCTTGACCATGAGCGGGCGGAGGGTGGGCAGACACGCGCTAATGACGCCGCAGGCGCATTCAACAACGCACCATGTGCATGCAGTGGCGAGCGTCCCTGGACATGGTCAGCATTGGGGCTCGGCTGTTATCCACGGTCAAGACTTACAGGTAGTGTCCGCGAGCTGGAACTGCATGATGGTCGTGAACCGGTAAATACTGGCAAAGAGGACGCTATGTGCATGTCAGCGTGAACAAGTCTTGTCCGCCCTGGTTTGATGCCACTCACAATCCACCGAGCAGGAACATGAAGCACAACGACAGTCTCTGCGTCAGCGTAGCCTGCAGCTTCCACACCTGGCCGACAGGCAGGCAGAGGATGGCCACGTCCGTCAAGATGTTGGGGATTGCGTTTCCGATGAACGAAGCCTTAAGGTCGATGCAGGTGCCTTCGATAAAGGGCAACCACGCCTTGGAGATGGGGTTGCACTGGAAGATGCACACACAGACGATGGCGATCCACCAAGCGATGGTAATGCCACCAAGGGTCATGGCCGCAATTTTGAAGTTGCGAGACGGGAAGATGCGGCAGTACATTAGCAGCAGCGAGACCTTGACGAACATGACTGCCGTGACGTAGACGCACTCAAAGGCCAGCAACAACTTCAGAAACTCGACCTGCATGTCCGTTGAAAGAACAGCGGCATGACGACCGAGACCCGACCCAATCACTACAGTCAAGGTCAGCCGTTGAGGCCCAACAGTAATTGTGTTTACGCATACTCACTCGCATAGTTGATGGCTCCGGCCGCGAAGGTAACGACCTAGTAACGCCATGTTAGTCTCTCTCCTGTCTCTACGATCGAGTGAGGACGTACCAAGCCGGCCACCATGAACCAATCGTCGAGACCATACTTGAATCCAACGGTCCAACGGGCCCAGAAGCGGAATCCAACAAAGACGGTCGCGAGAACGAGCAGGGCCGTCGTGGTGCCCTTCAGCTCGGGCCCTCTATCCGCCAGAGGGTCATCTATACCAGATGTGTCGGCCATGGAGGAGTCTGGAAGAGGGAAGATGGGGGGGGGGGGGGGGGGGGGGGGGGGGGAGACAAGGAAGAACGATCTGTATCCAATATTTCCGAGTTAATCCTAATTAGAAAAGAATGAAGTAGCTGTGACAAGATGAAAGAAGAACAAAAGATGGCTCGGTCGAAGCTAAATGGGACCACTAGTGAGCCGTGTTGCGCAACCTGGGACTCCTTATACAAGGTGCTCATTAATACCCTGCTCAGTGGAAAACATAGGAGAAAAGTGGTGAGGGTGCAACTGACTCGGCGAATGAGGGGCGATAGTACGCCAGTTCTGGAACACTTGAATCGCCTCTCGCTGGGGAATATTCTTCAGAAGGGCCAAAGTCGTATACATACTACTGGGGAACCAGAGTCTTGCAACGATACAACGGCCAAAGTCCATAAGGCCCTTGTCCTTACATGGTGGCACCCATCACTACCCTGTGCTCCCACCATAACGTCTGATCGCGGCCAGGCACTCTCGCGGCAGTCCAGAAAGATGTGCCCCAGTTGCAATACGACGCTGTTTTTGGGCCCCATCTCTCCACATCTAACCCTTCCACGATGGAGTGATAGATGTTCTTCATCGGTCATTCACCCTCTTCTTGGAAAGGGGGCGATATCGTGAGGAAAATTGAGGGCCGCTATGTCAATATTTACATGGGCCTAGACAATAGTCCAGGACTCGCCGTTCAGGTGGTAATCAGGCGAGGTTCATGGGACAAGAATTTCAACGAGGTTATAATGTCTTGTTCGTCTCTTATCCGACTCGAGCTGTTTGCGATCCTCTCGGTACCTCGCGCGTCGGCATCTCAATCTCTCTCTATCGCCTCATCTTCGGAGTCCTTCAAGGCATATTACTACCCTCGATCGACCCAACTTGTGTCGTCCTTTGCCTCGTCTCCAGCACGCCACCACTCTTCTATCTGCCCCTCGTTCCAAACATCCGACGTACTCTCGGTGCACGGTATCGATATCCTTAATAGCTAATACTCGGAATCCTTTGAACCTTCAACCGTCCATTCATCGGCACTTGTCTGTTTCTCGCTTCTTGGCATACCCCCAAAATGTTACCCAAGGTTATCGGTCTCCTCTCCTCGGCCCTTGTGGCTGGCGCAGCCATTCTGCCTACCGCAGCGACCCTGCCTACCATCGTCTTCACCCCGGGTGCCTGGCACGGCCCCTGGGCCTTCGACCTCGTCCGCGCCGGCCTGACCCTCAAGGGCTACGAGTCCGAGGCCATCACGCTGCCCTCTGTCGGCGCGGACCCCGCCACCGTCGGGCTCGAGGAGGACGCCGCAGTGTTGCGGTCCACCCTCGAGACCCTCGCCGACGCTGGCAAGGAGATCGTCCTCGTCGTTCACTCGTACGGCGGCATGGTCGGTAGCAATGCCATCGAGGGCCTGGGATACCAACAGCGCGCCGCCAACAACGAGACTGGTGGTGTCATCATGTTGATGTACCTCACTGCCTTTGCTGCGCCGAACGGGACCAGCTTGTTGGACATGTTGAGCGGAGAATACCTGCCCTGGATGAGAGCTGATGTAAGTTTTGACACAAACCAACCTCCGCTTGCTTGCATATGTGGTCTCGCGGCGCCCCTCCCCCCTCCCCTTCGGCATCAACTTGTCGCTTTTTTTTGTTGTACCCTTGCTTGGCATGCGGCATGCCAAGAAGCATAAACTTCCCGAGGGACAAGATCACCCGACGATCAACACAACCTCCAACAAGAACCCACTAACACAACTTCACAGGGCGACAAGGTCTACGCTGACGACCCGGAGGACATCTTCTACGCCGACGTGAACCCAGTCCTCCAGGCCGAGGCCATCGCCAGGCTCAGCTGGCAGTCCGCGCGCGTCTTCGCCGACCCCTCGACGTACGCTCCCTGGACCGAAGGCATCGAGGTCATGTTCTTCCACACTGAGCAGGACAAGGCCATCCCCTTGGCGACGCAGGAGGCCATGGCCGCCCAGTTCCCCCCGGGATACACGACCTTCTACGCCAACACGTCGCACTCTCCCTTCCTGTCCCACCCGGAATTGGTCATTGAGGGCGTCGAGCTAGCCGCCAAGGTCGGTCAGGAGAAGATTGCTGCCTGAAGGGCTTTTTCGAGATGAGTTCGCTAGGCCAGAGAGACGAGAGGAAGAGCGAGGTGTTCGTCGGTGGACCGTCGCCCCGGGGGACATGCCTCGAGACAAGAGGACCCAGCTATGTGTGACAAGATAGACTCATGGGGACTGCCCACTAGAGCCCTAGGAGAGCAATAGACACGGCTTCAAATCACAATTTCCAGACCAGACCCATTACTGTGCGTGAAGTGATCGAGAGCGGGGGGTTCGCCCGTTCCACAACTGCTACATCAGCATCTCGATACACTGGATCGAACACTTTCAACTCGCCGGGCATTGCCCGCGAAGCGAGCAAGTTGGCGTAGGTGTGATTCTATGTACTTACTAAACGTACTAAGATGCGCGGGAAGGAGTCCTGTTGAGGGGGGCCAGAGAGGATATCGACGTTGCAAAAGCCTCAAAACACCTCTGGGCGCCGTTCCCAGTGTAACGCGGCAGTTGTCCAGCACCCATCTGCTTGGTTGCATCGCTGCATATCGTGGCACAGATGTTGACAGGGTTCGACGCCTGACAAGGGACGTCAGGAGCGAAAACGCTCACGTGGGAGACAACAGAGACAGCAGCCCGAATCAGCATAACCCGCTAATAACTCAACGCGGAAGGGAGCATTTCTGATATCGCTGGGCGACTGAATCAGTACCGTCCCCCCCCTCCCAGTTGCGAGGCCACCGCATAGGACGTGGGCCACGTGCTACTCGCTCAAAAGAGACGCTGGGAGTCCGCGAGGAAGACAAAATATTTATCAAGTAACCCACAATAGATCTCGTTGTATTCGGGCCTGCACCCCAAGGCCCCTGGCATGCTCGGTGGATCCCCGGTTGGAGGAGCGAGGGGCGCGGATGGCATCCTCTGGAAAGTGGGCGCTCTATCTGTAAAAGGGAGAGTGCACCAGGTTTGACGGGTGGAATGTACGAAACCATTTGGGGGAAAAAACCCTCTGTGACTGCAGGATCAAAGACCTTTGCGTACGGCTTTGTGCCTACAAAGTCGTTGGTGGCATATGCGCATGTAGTCGAAGTAAAGCCTCATCCTCTCGGTCGGGCCCTCGGTAGTTCAGACACGATCCCGGCTCGGCACTTTGGGGCTGGCTGATTTACCATGTTTCTGCCAAATCGATGCAGATAGAAAAGAAAGGTTTGGCGACCGAGCGTGTGTGTGCGTGCGCACGTGTGTCTGGCACACCGAACTATTTTCCTTCATTATTATCATCGACACCATCAAGTTTACAGCCCTGGCGTTTCCGTCATCCTTCGCCCTCAATTTCGACTTTACACGTGTGTTTGAATTTTTTTTTTTTCCAAGTCCCCCATATTTATCCCCATTTCGGGGCGACCCCGACAGGTACCGGCAGACACGGAACGGCGTTCCCTCGTCACTCGGTCCAACAGAAAAATGCCTCCTGTGGTCTCCTGCACCGAGATTGAACTTGGCCCGGGCGGGTTCCGTCTATACGTAACAACGACAGATGGACCTGTAACCAGAGATGGCAACATGGGTGAGTTACGAAAAGGGGCCTAGGCCAGAAGGGGCGGCAGAGCCCCCGAATGCGAGCGCGCCGTTGCCGGGACGTGTTGCATGATTGTTCCTCTGGGGGGGGGGATCGAATACACAGCAAGCAACAGAAAACGATCTACGATGCCTTCACCCCCAAGTATATCACCCGTGACATCAACTCGACGTTGCACATGCACCAATGAACGATTGAAGAAAGATAGCCTTCAACGCCAGAGCATCCTAACAAGAGCAGCGTGAAGATCATAGCCCAACAGCGCACCCATGCCCCGAAGCAGCTTAGCAATCCGGATATGAGTGTTTCACCCAAGACATGGCATGCCATCCGGCTTGACCACCAGCGCCAACCACCGTCCAATCACAAAGCACCGAGTTCCAGTGTCAAGGTTACTTTTCCATCGGAATCTTGACATCGATCCCCTTGCACTGAAGTAATAGCTCCTCTCTCTTTTCACGACACCAGACGCTATGAGTAGGGTCCGGGGGCTTTCAGACACAACACCACATCGAGACGTTATCAGCGACCGTTATCTACCTGCCGAACTCGGAAGAAAGAAAAGAAAAACCCAGAGGAGAAAGATAAACCAGGTGTTGTAATACCAGATATGACGGCCGTGTCCCAAATCCCCCCTTCCCCTTCATCACTTTCCGAGCAGCTGCCCCGGCCGTCACGGCACTGTTATGGCGCCGACAGGCCCGGAACAAGGACCCTGGCCATGGGCTCTGCTGTCAATGGAAATTTGACAGGACGATCACGTTTCACCCGGGGTGGGCATCCCAGTAACTGTCTGTCGTCTCCCCCCCCCAGTCCCGCCAGCGGGTTCTTCCGTAAGCCATCACGATCAACTTGGTGGCGCTCTTGCAGGTCTCCCGTTCTGCTAAAGAGGAAAGGACCATCTTTGGTCCGGCGATCGATGGTGCCTGTTCTTGCTACCAATCGGATCCCTCTATCTGAACTGTACTTGGACTGGCAGAGGCAGAAGCGAGTGACGACCCGTCCATAAAATGCGATCGGTACCACGTAGATGGATGGCAGGGCGGCCCAGCGATAACAGAACCGCCGGGCTCGCTCGTTCAAATACCTACGGCCGGTCCGTTTCGCCGGTAGACTTGCGCGAAACTCTTGTCCTTCATCCCCCCCCCCCCCTCCCCGCCGCCTCTCCTGGGCGGCTGCCGTGCATCCGGAACGCGCACACTGATCTCAGTAGCACGACGCGGCGACCCTGGTGAACTCTAAGTACATTCCGGCCACCCAGAGCCACACGCACCCAAGTAGGTGCCGGCCCATCCGCACCGGATATATATATTTCAGCGTCACATACTATGTTAGCGTTACAGCATCCTGTGGTTCCGCAGGCCGTTGGGGCAGCTTTCACAGGGGTATCGGGGGCCAAGACAACATACACTGCGGACGCGGCAGGCACGTCGGGTCCCCTGCCTGCGAGCGAAGGCCACCAGGCACCGGAAACGGCCGGTCCCCACGTCGGAGGTCAGGCCAACACACCCTGCACGAATGCAGATCTGTATTTCCAGAACTCGCCGAGAAGCGCTTCCGACTTGCGTGCCAGCGAAGACGATGGAAGTGCCAAGTCCATAAAAGCGCCAATCCTCATGGCTCTCTCCAGGAAATGCCGAGACGTTTTGAAAAACAACCCCCCCCCCCCCCCATCCCCCAAAACAGGCCGTTGGGAAATGACCAAAGCACGCGGGTGCTGGGAATGGCCTCCCCTGGACGAATGAGGCTTTGGGATACGTTGGCTCAGGTTTCCTCATTTGGGGGGACGACCCAATGGGGCCTAGTGCATAACAACGATGCTGGAGGGAAATGAGGCTAGAGGGCGACATCACCGTTGGTGTTGATCGCCCAGGGCAAAAGAGAAAAAAAAAAGAAACTCCTTGAAAAGAAAAGGAAAATTAAGACACCCAAGGGGCTCTCGTACACGGCAAACATTCGTTGTAGGTGCCGGAAGGCGGGTTGACAGAACACCGCATGATGCACTGGGGTTGGTACGTTACCACGGCATCATCCTCAGCCCATGGCCCTTCCCATCGTACCAAGAGCAGACACAGCTGTCCAGCTGTCGAGGAACTGAGAGCCCTCGTTATAGGGCATCCCATGTCACTCCCAAGGTTCACAGAGGGTTTGGCGCGGCGACTTTGACTAACTCCAGGTTCATTGTTCTCCGTCTTTGGTGTCATTTCTCATCGTGATATTACTATACACTCTTTCCTCATGCCCCATTACACCAGTTAAATGCCAAAAATCTGCTGCCTCTCTTCTTTCACCAGTCCATGCGTCATGTAGAAGATAAGCCCAGTCACGTCCATGCCATATCGTCGGGTCCTTCCAGCGGCCGCTCGCACGTGCAAAAGACAGTCGTCTACCTCGTCCCAGTATATATGCCCTGGCTTGTTGCCGAAAGGGTTTGAAGGTTCGTCAAGGGAAATAGGTACAGGAAAAAAAGGGGGGACAGTGTCGCAACAAAACAGTGCGGCATCAGCCTGAAGAATCGAAGGGGTATAGGTTGCGACGACGCGTTAGGTGATGGGAGTCAGGAAAGGGCTGAGCATCAACTCGTCGGCACTCGGGCGCAGGTTGTGGTCCATCTCGAACGTCTGGGCAAGGAACGTCTTTGCGTCGTCAGACGCGTGGTCCGGGATCGTGGGCGCGGCCTTGCCACCACCGATCTTGAAGATGGCTTGCAGCTGACTGCAGTCGGGGTAAGGATGGGTACCCGTCATCATCTCGACGACCAAGCATCCCAGAGACCAGATGTCGGCCTTGCGGGTGTACGACGTCTGCTTGACAACCTCGGGGGCCATCCAGAAGACGGAACCTTGGAGGGAGGGACGATGCTTGTTGTTGTTCGCGCCGGAGAGGATGTTAGTGGCTTCCAGCTTCTTGGAGATGCCGAAATCAGAGATTTTGATGGTACCCTTGTTGTCCACGAGAATGTTGGCGCCCTTGATATCTCTGTGGATGATTTCGCGGTCATGCAGATACGACAGACCAGTAAGGATCTGGCGCACGAAACTGCGGACGAGGGGTTCGGGCAGAGCACCATACGAGTTGAGCATGGTCTGCACCGAGCCACCAGGCACGTACTCGAGGAAAATGTTGAGGTACTCGGACGACGAACTGCAACCAAGATACTGAACAATATTCGGGTGTCGAAGGTCGCGGAGCAGGCTGATTTCCCGCTTAAGGGCCTCAATCATGCTCTTCTTGCGCGCATCGTTCTGACTGTTCGCGCCGGGAGCTGGCGCCTCCACCTGCTTCACCGCCAATAGTTCGCCGGTGACAGCGTGCAGTGCCAGGTAGACGCAGCCGAACGAACCCTGTCCGATCATGGCTCCCTTCATCCACTTGTCGTCAGACCAGGACTCTCCCGCAAGGAAGCTCTCAAGCTCCTCATCCGCATCCTCCCCGTCCTCGTTGAGTGCTTGCGTGAGGTCCTTGAGAGATCCAGATCCAGTAGAGCCGTCGGCGTCAAAGTAGCTACGCCGCGTGATGTTGCCTTCGGGGTCGGTCACGCTCAGAGCGGCAGCGCTAGCGCCGTCAGAGCTATCGGCAAATGACACATAGGATTTGCGGTTCGGCTCTACAGGAGATTCCTCCTGCAGAGTGTCCAGCATGGAAGAGGCGACGGAATCACGGAAGTGGGCGACCCGCAGACCGGATCGTGCCTTGGGGGCGCTACCAGCTTGCAGCCAGCTGTCCGCGATGGTTGGGATTGGGGGAGCATCTTGGATGCTGGACGCAAAGCTGAGGTTACTTGCCACGCTCAGACGACTGTTGACCTTGCTCAGGCGTGTTGATCTTCTCATGGACAGGCGCGCGGTTCGATCAATCTCCTCTCTGGGATGGTCAGGGAAGTACGATGTGAGGTCGGAAGCAATGAGCTCGCTGGGAGGGCGCAGGCCGCCGAATGACCGCAGGAGCCCCTTATTTCTCCGTGGTCCGCCGCCAGATCTCGGGCCATCGTTGGAAGCGGGGCGCTCCAGCTCCTTGGCGGTGTTGTAAACGTTGCGCTCCCGGTCATGGAACGAAACAGGAGAAAGGGGGTGTTGAAGCTCGTCGTTCCATCTCTCACCGAGCAGCTTCTGTACCTTCATTTGGCTTCTCTTGTCCACCGTCTCGAGTGCGCGGCTGTGATTCTGTTGCGCCTCCTCGATGGCAATGCCCGCTGCTCTCTCAAGCTCCGGCATACCCGGCTCGCCAGCGGGAACGCGGCGGAGAATCAAGCGGTTACGCTCCGGACGCTTCTGGTCTTTGATGATGCGCCACAGCTCCGTGTCACCAAGCCGGCGGCATTGGTTGGGATCCGGCTCGATGCCGGCCAGAACCCAGAAACAATAGTTCCTCTCGTGGTCCTCGCGCAAGGCAAACTTCCTAAGGGTGACTCGCATGACCTCTTCACAGGTGTTGCAGTCGGCGATCTTGACGACTTTGGTGACGCCGCCGGTGGAAATGACGCGGATGACATCCTGGTTCTGCGGTAAGCCAGCCATCAGTGAACCATCCATACTGGAGTTATTCCTGGTATGGGAAGTTACCAATCGGCCGGTTTGGGGGACGGATTGCCCGGCGCTACTCACGTAGCCGGGACTTTGGCCATATCGTGTACGCAGGGGCCGAATAGCATCGGTTCCGGGAAGTGGCGAAGTTGGGCGGGAAGATGTGCTCTCAAGGGGTATCGTGTCGTATTGTCTGGAGTAGCGCTTGTTCATGGAAGGCGTAGGCGCAGTGCGAGCGCTCGACGCCGAAGGGCGAGGCGACCCGCCCGAAGACGGCGTGAACTGGTCCAGGCCACCGAACGAATCCTATGGGGGTCAAGGGTCAGTGGTGCATTTCATCACGGACGCCCTCGTCGGGCGCCGAACGGGAGCGGTCGGCAGCGGGAGCGGGTGAGATAGCACGTACCCTATTGCGTTTCTTCTGGTTGGCGTAGGCCTTGGTCCTCAACTTCTTAATTCCGAGGAACAATCGAACGCGGTCGCCGACCTTTTCGATGCCCATCTCCTTGAGGACATCCTTGTCGAGCTCGAGGAGGTTCTCGCCGTTGATGTGGTTCTTGCGGAAGAGCTTCTCGTACTCGCCACACTTGACGCTCCTCAGGTACTCGCAGACCTTGTCCTCGTCCCAGTTCTTGACGGCATCGGGGCCGTCGCTTTCGGAAAATTCGGACTCGGTCGGGCTGGCGTAGGCGGTGTTCTGGTTGGGGATTGCGGGTGCGCGTCTCGAGGGCTGCACGGCACCGCCCGAAACGTTGGACATCAGGGGGTTACCGGAGCCCAGAGGCGCGGTGAAGGCGGTTTTGGGGGCCAGCATCGCCATTTCGTTGAATGACAACGGTTCAGATCAACATTGACCAAGGGGAGAATCGAGTAGTTTATCGTGGTGGTAGTTCGCGCGGGGGTTGTCTCAGCTGTCTCTCCTGGAGCGCGTCGTGCCGAGAGAGTATTCCGTGAAGCAGGTGTCCGAGACAGGGGACAGGGCGCCGGGTCGGATGGAGATGAGTGGGCGCGAAAAGAAGCGAAAGAAGCGGAAGAATTATCGAGGCGGTGGTATGTCGAGGTCTCTCTTGGTGGGTTTCGGTGACGGGAATGCTGAGCCTCTTCACTGCCGGACCGCGAAGGTCTGGTTTCTGCTAGGACGCACAGCAGCAGAGGGAATTTGGAGAAGGGCAAAAGTCGTGTGTGGGATTACGGGTACTCCGGCTGGTTGGGAAAAGAAGAGGGAAGAGAAGGGTTAATGACGGATTTTGGGGGTGCAGGGAAGCCAAGCGGCAGCGGCAGCGGCAGGGAGGGGAAGGGAAGGGGGGGCGTGTGTTGTGTGTCTGGGGTGGAGGAGAGAAGGGGGAGTGGACGGCACGGCGAGGTGAGGTGCAAGCCTCAGGTAAGGTACCTCAGCCCTGGGCGGCACCAACAGCGAGCGGCGGGTAGATTGTAGTGTACCCAAGCTATGTGTGAGAAGAGAGGGGAGGAGGCCGGAGAGCGCAGCAAGCTTCCAATGCTTCCCTTTGTGAGCTGTCGCAGCAGCCCGTGAAAGGAAACCGACCTGACTAAACCCCAAGGCAAAATGAAAGGAGACGACGGCCTCCAACATTCATGTCCGATGGGAGTACCACCGGCAATGGGCAACAGCAAAGGTACGGTACAGCCAAGCAACGGCAGAGCTACAAAACACGAGAACCCGCACAGTCCTCACAACGGCCCTTTATGCGTCTGTTCGCCGAGCTGGCGGAAACTTGGGGAGAAACAGCGAAGCTTTCCGCCTGGCTGGGGGGGGGGCTATGAAAGGCAACGTTGCGAGGAACACGACGACGATGATGCAGCCCCGATGGCTGCTGTTTTTGTTTTGTTTTGGGTCTCGTGAGGCTGCTGTTGATCCATCCCTTGCGGTGAAAGGAAGAGAGCACCTCGAGTCAAAGACCATGCCGTGCCCGCGGAGAGAGTCAGTGGCGCCTGGATTTAGAGGTGCCGTTGTCGCAGCCGGCTTCAGTCTTCAGGCCCGGCTCTCTCGGGGGTTGCGGTGCGTTGCGTAGTCCTGGTAGTAACATTCACAGCATCACGGCACCTCCATCCAACTCCTCTTCCCACTACCTAGTGTCTTGGTGGCATTTCGCTCGCTCGCTCGCCCGACATCTGTTCGCGATGAGGGTGGAGAAGCCTTTCTGCCTTCTCTCTTCCTTTTCCTTCCTGTCCCTCCCCCTGCTCCTCCCCCTCGGCGACACCCCTTGGCAGCGGCCGACCTTTAAAGGGCGTTTGCAAGGGTTGAGCGACAGCGGCGGCTTCTTGAAACTGGCTCAAAGCAGGGTCAAGGCCGCTCGTCCCCACCTATGCTTTGGCTCTGCAGCGGCACCACCACCTGCGGCAAGCACATCTCACCACCAAACCTTCCCAGCTTCCTCAAGCAGAAACATGACAATGTACCTGAGGAATTACTCAGCTGTGCCTGCCACTCTACCCCCCCTTCCCCCGGACATCTAATCTGCCCTCTCCAATGCGCTCTCATGCATACCCCGTTCTTCGACCAATCGCTACCAATCGCTACCAATCGCCGCCAGCCCGATATCTCGGCTTCTTCAGTTGCTAGTTGCTTGAAGCACGACAAAGTTCCCTATTCCATCACGACATGTTCATAATGACGGACAGGTACGCCGGCGCACTCGGCTACGCGGACATGGGAAGAAAAAGGCCCTCCCCCCGTCCTCCCCCCCAAAAAACTAGAAACGATAGTCAGACGCCGTATCCGAGGAGAAGGATTCAGTCTCGAAGCCAATTCAGCTGACATCCGGGCCCCCGATTGTTCTCGAAAAACCTGCAGCCCGGCTCTTCCTCTGGAACAAGTCTGAGAGGCGCGCCCCATCTGACAGCCGACGTAGTGCAGTGTAGGTCCTGCTTGCTTGCTATTCTTGGCCCAGCCAGCAAACCGCCCGGCCTGCCCGCTGCCCCCTTGCTTTGCGGGAGGCTGTTACCATTCAAGCCCCCAACTCATCCCGCGACAGCCACCTTGCGGCGCGTCTGCTCTGCCGCGCCTGCTTTCCGACAAAGACGGGCACGACCTTTGTTCCCTGACGACGGCTCCGGCGATATCACGGATGTCGCCCATGATGGGCTGAATTCACCACGAGCACGGCCTCGTCCTCGTGCCGGCAGATTTCGTCCCATCGTTAGCATGCCCATTGATGAACAATCCACCCCACTGCAATCCCCGGCTCATTGGGAGTCGCCGTTGCAACTAGGCCCTGTTGTCAGCGACGTCAGCAATAACAACACTCGGCATCACGGCCATTGCCCGTCGTGCTTGGTTCACGAGAGGGTCAGAGGCCCCCGCTGCAATGGTACCTCCGCTGGTTCCACCCTCTTCTAACGATAGGCGAAGGTCAGAGGCGGAACCCCGGTGTTGGCAAACAAACGGACATGTCGTCGCTCGAAAGTCTCAATCGAGCCGGCTCCTGACGCCGCGTTGGGCTTCATGTGCTGGCCCAACGCACCTGCTGATCTGACCGCCATCCCCTATTTGCCTTTACTAGGGAAGCATCGCCACCAACCATTGCGAATGGACTATTACTATATTAGAACCAGAAGGTGCCGCTAGGTGCTCACCAATGCCATCTAGTCGCTGGGGACAAGCTAACCATCACACACGGCAAAAGCTCTAGACAGCGCCAACTGAGGAGTCCCTGGGGCAGCAAAGGCCGGGCAGGATCGCCCTCGTCTATCGGTGATTGGCTCCGGTGCTCTCCTGCAGTCACTCAAGGCTGGATATCATGAAACCTGTCGTGTCGCACTTCTCGACACCCACTGCGCTGCCCTGCATCCCTGGTTTCCCGATGCTGGGCGCCAATGACCCGCTACGTTCTCGCTGGTACTCGCCAGACACCCGACACTCACAACCACGACACCGCTGCACCGAGTCTCCAATTTCTCGGCATGGCGGCTTGTAAGACCGGGGCGCACTTCTGCAAACCTTCGCGAGTTGGCGTCCTCAGATTGATTAACACCACGGCGCCGGCCTGTGCCCGCTGACACTCTACCGCGCGGAGAGCGCTCACCGTCACTTAACGCGTCGTGGATCATCCTGGCAGGGCTGCCCGCCCCGCGAGCCTCTTCAGCTTCTCTAGCACGTCCTTGGCCAATCACCGCTGGTCTCATTTCGACTTGTTTTTTACCTTTTTTGCTACCCGTACGAGCCGCCATGTGACACACCGCCAGCTCCAGGCCACTACCTACGCTATTGTTTGTGACACCTCAATCCTTTGAAATCATGGACCAAAAAAAAAGGATACGGCCAAACACATCTGGTCGCCGGAAACGTGTTCGTATGCCCACAGACGTCACTTTCTTTTTTTTTCCCCTGCACCCTTTGACCCAGGGGACGGGGAATCGACAGTGCTGGACTGCGCGGTTTGGTGGACTTTGTTACCCCGACGATGCTATTTTGGAATGGATGGATCCGCAGCCGTTTGTGCTGTCGTCTCACAGATACCTGCAGCTCCTTATCCTACTAATTCTGCATATCACCGTCTATTTTCTCGCAGCTTTTCCTTGGGGGTCGGAGCGTCTGCAGCTGTGGGGGTACGCAGTCAATCATGCGAAGGAAATGAGTTATGGCCCGACTACCAACAAGTCGCCACACGAGAGGAGAAAACGAAGAGACTCGAGACTTGGCACTTTTGGGCCCCTCGCCCCCATGGATAACTTCTAAAAAAACTGACGATGTTCCCAGTTGTGTGCGCCTCTCGTGTTTCAGCCTAGACTGCCTTTGACCGGTTGGCGAGAGCTTCCCCCTCTCTTAACCGAAGAGCGCCGCATCCGGCCATCTGGTCAGGCTAACGGAGGGCCAACGTGGCCGGGTCAGAGCGGGCGCCAACAAAGCCTGAAACATGAAACATTGGAAGATCTGCCTTGCATACCAAGTGCCATTGTGCCAATCACCAATCTACCGCCAAAAAGCCATCGTCCCAAGGCCGCGCCCTGCAAAAGAGCGACGGAGATCGGCTTGTGGGAGGCCCTTCTTTCTGGCGCTCCGGCACTCCACCATCCTCCCCTTGTCGCTCATCGAGAAGATATCACGGGCTACGACCACTGCCTTGCTGCGCTTCGCTCATGCTTTTGATAGCTGGTCTGTGTCATGGGTCCCCTTCTACAGTACGCGGACAAGGTTGTTGGGGCTGTGGAGACATGACGACGAAGGGCCGCGACGCGCCTCCTCGTTGCAACAGTCCTGCTATCGCACTATTCTGATTAATTCGCTTCAGAGCACTACCACGTCACGGGCTACGGAAAATGACCAAAACCGAAACCGAAGAGGTTTGAGTGATAGCAGCTTGCGTGTTTCCATCCCTTTCGTCCTGCGCTGCGATACTACCAACAAGATTCGCAACCTTGACGTCGTTTCCACTGAGGGTCCCTTACAAACCGACTCGTGTAGGTTTTGTTTCGTTTCCTCCTGCATCCAAGACAATATGCCACAACCGGTGAAAGGACTCTTACATGCCCCCAGACTCTACACGTCTGAGCGACTCCTTCCACGACTCGCGAGCAAGAGCATGAAGAAAAACCTAAAAACTTGCAGTCTCGAAGAAAAGAAGGGCTAAAGTTGCGACGAACACCTCCCACAAGCTGGGATTGGTGCGGAAACGCAACCGAAAAAGTTCACGCTTGCTGGGATGGTGCTCTTTTGCCAGTCCCAAAGAGTGCCGCCTTCCGCTCGCCACCGAACCACCTCGCCAAGCCCGGCGTTTTTCAATCAGGGCGGGGCAGAGCGGCTCTTTTCGGCCTGTCGGGCGGGTCGCCGGTTCTCCGCACGGCAGGCTCTCGGCTCTCGGGGAACCACCCATCAGTCGTCTCTCCCGGCATTGACGGAGAGTGGGAGCGGAAAGGTTTTCGGGCCCCGAGGGCTTGCGGTGTAGAGAAGATATCGCCGTTCCCGATGTCGCTGGCGGACGCGAAGGGTGTGTGGCGGGGCCTGTAGTTCAACTACTCCTCGAAATGTCGGTATGCAGGGTCCTTCGAGATAACTGCGGGCACTGGGGACCGGCTTTACGGAGGGCAGACGGGGTTCGGCTGTTCCCTGTGAGCTGCTGAGGCTCTGGCGAAAAACATGTTGCTAGAGGAACCTGGCCACCTATGACAACGTTTGCCAACGCGGGAGTGAAACTTTGTTGTTTTGGGCATACGCGCCCATGATGTAAGCTAAGGATATCGCATGTCGGTGCAGATTCGCTCGGTATGCGATGACGGGTCACTAGTTCAACGTCTCGATACCCATGCATGCAATGACACTTGATCACAGGTGGGCATGCATCCAACTCTTTGCACGATGCCTTGGGATCCTATTTGGTATGAAGCTGTGAACAATTCATGTTCTGGTCATGAGAAGCGGTGAATGTGAGAATGTGAGGCGGGCCAGGGCATCATGACTTATGTCATCGCTGATAAGACGCTCATCAAGAGATACGCGAGGCTCGCCCGGCTCTTGTCTATTGCATTGATGCATCTGCCCGCATTTTCGCTGACATCCCTTCGTTGCCAGGCACGCATGCTGCCCCATCGTCATCACCTCCCAGGCCGCGAAAGACGGCTCGGCCCAGCGCATTGAAGCAGGTCGGGTCGTCTTGGGACCCGTTTTGGATGACCGCGAGGACGGGGCTAGAACTAAGGTGCAGAGCCCATGTAGAAGATTTTCGGATGCATCCGTACGACTTCTGGACTGGGTGTGAGAGCGTCGCATTCAAAGGCCGTAATGAGACGCTGTCGGTCATGAACACCTCTCAGCTGGGGAGAAATGGAAGCTGCCCTCGTTGCGCAAAGTGGATCTTCCATCACGCTGTGTCACGCCCTTTCACATCTGCACGCACCCGGTCGCCAAACAATAAGAGAATTTGTCGACCACGGCCACCATCAGCAGGTGAATTATCAACCTACGGAGCGGAACGAAGCTACTGATGTCTTACTCGGGCAAATCTGATGAAGCGCGCGGGCTCTGGCGCCGTCCCCGTCAGTGAGTGGGTGGGGCTCTTTTCCCCATTACCCCCGCGGAAAGAAAAGAGAAAATCCCCCTTCCCCTCTGGAAAAGGCGCGCCCGGTCCACCGCCTTCTCCGATATCGACACGAACGTCAACAGCCCACCAAACCTCAGCAAACCCCGTTCGACATTGTGGCTACCGTGCGATAGTTTTCGGCACCGTTGGATGAAGTTTTTCTTCCGTATTCGAGATATCACGAGAAACGTGTGTTTGCAGCCAGCCGGATCGAACCGCGTGCCCGGTGCGACACCCTCCCCGACGCGGCTACCCGGCGCACCGGAAATAAAGGGCCCTTGAGTTCCACGACTTTTCGTGTGATGCGCCTCCGACTCATCGACGACTCACTACTCTCATCGGCTTGAAGAGCCAACAGGCGACAGGTGTCACACATCTCTTGCGGTCATCTCATTGAACTCGAGAGCCATGAGTGACAAGTCTTCTGTTCCAGCAGAGGCTCCTGCTGCTGCCGCAGGCGGCGACGTCAAGCCGCTGGTGGGCTTCCTGGGCCCTCAGGCCTCATACACGCACCAGGTATCACGAACCTGAAATCCACCGCCTCGCACGGCATGAATAGCCAAGGGATTGTCATCTAACCATTTTCTCTCTCTTTGCGTCGCAGGCTTCGTCGCAGGCTTTCCCCGAAGACCAGTGGGATCTGAGACCCGTCGTCACCATCACAGGCAAGTATCCTCACGCACCTTTCCACCATCCCCCCTTTCTTCTTGGCCCTGCCCCTTGCCCGCCTGCTCTCCCCGTCCCGCTGCACCGGGTCTTCCACTCCGTCTGACCGGGCCTCAGACATCTTCGAGGTCGTGCAAGCCGGCGAGGTCGCCTTCGGCGTCGTCCCCGTCGAGAACTCGACCAACGGGTGCGTGCTGTTCACCCTCGACAACTTCGCCGACCGCAACGGCCTGTACCCGGACATCTCGGTGTGCGGCGAGATCTACCTGGACGTGCACCACTTCCTCGTCGGCCGCCGGCCGTCCCGCGCCCTCGACGACGCCGTCGGCCCCAACGACGGCTCCGGCGCCTGCACGCCGACGGCGTCGGACCCGAACCCTCTCAAGCCCCGGACCAAGCCGCTGTGCAGCCTCAAGCACGTCCAGCGCCTGTACTCGCACCCGCAGGCCTGGGGCCAGTGCGTCGCCTTCCTGCAGACCTACCTCAAGGGCATCGAGGCCATCGACGTCAGCTCCACGAGCCGCGCCGCCGAGCTCGTCGCCGCCGACGAGTCGGGCACCAGCGCCGCCATCTCGAGCGAGATCGCCGCCCGCATGCACGGCATCGATGTGCTGGCCCGCAGCATCGAGGACCGCGAGGACAACACGACGCGCTTCTTCATCATCCGCAAGCAAGGCGGCCCGCCGGCCAAGATGCCGGGCCACTGCGAGCGCAAGAGGGGCAGGACCAAGTCGATGGTGTCGTTCACGGTGCCGCACGAGGGGCCCGGCGCGCTGGCCGACGTGCTCGACTGCTTCCGCCGGTACAAGCTCGACCTCACGAGCATCAACAGCAGGCCGAGCCTGACGGCGCCGTTCAACTACGTCTTCTTCGTCGAGTTCCAGGGCCACAGGCTCCAGGACCCCGACGGGCGGGTCAAGGGCGCGCTGGAAGGGGTCGCTCAGGTGGCGGAGAACTGGCGGTGGCTAGGGAGCTGGGAGGACCAGCGGTCGTGAGGCGGAGGCGGCAGCGGGGGGGGGGGACCGCCAGTCGGGAACCTGATGACTTTGTTCCAGGCCTTCTTTTGCCTCCTTTGAGAGAGAAACCCCCCACGGCCAGAGGAAGACCCTGTCTGCGCCGGGGTTCGGGTGTGGATGTCGGCTTGGCCAGAACCGAACCGGTCCCGGCGATGGCCGGCAATCCCTGAGCGGGACATGCGTCGGGTCTACAGATACATATGGCTACATTTTAGACAAGTTTGCGGCCACGAGCGGAGGGGGCGCCGCTGTCGGTAGGCAGGCAAACAAGGGAGTCCATTGGACGGAAACAGGCCTGGACTGGCTGACGACATCGCAGCTATGTCGGTTCGAGATAAGAGGTGCATCGGAGGGCCAGGACGAGGAGCGTGGGATGATCCCCTTGCCCACCCTTTAGCCATTGTGTAATGGAAACAGCGAGTCGCCGCCCGTGGAAAGAGTCTTTGTCTACTCCCCCCCGTTGAGTCTGGGCTCTGTTGCGGCTTTTCTTTTTTTTCTCCTCCCCTTCCTGTCGTCTCGTCACGCTATCACTTCCACCCTAGTTCTCCGTGATGGATGATGGGTGATGGGTCATTAATACTTTAGCAAAAGGCTCTAAAAAGAGCAACTCTCGCCGAGCGGTGGCGTTGTGAACTTCTCCAGTCACGGCATTGCGAAAGCGAAAAGGGGGGGGTTGCCGACATCGCGGGAAGAGCCCGACGGTCGATTTCAGGGGACGTGAGCAGGCTGCTGATGAGTTGTCATATGCAGAGTTTTTTTCCCCCTTTCTCCATCTCTCTCTCCCAGCAGCAGCAGCAGCAGCAGAGGAAAGCGACGGACCAAACGCTATAGGCTACATGTGATGATATCGCGAGATGAGCGGAGAGGGGGACCGGCTTGTCGCGTGCCTACAATGTCTCACAAGGGGCCCAAATCTCACACAGTATAAGCGAAAACAACACAGCGAGGCAACCCCCCTCCAATCAATGGCATCGAGCCCCGTGGCGCTGCGCCTCTTAGGGGGGCTGTTTTATTTACGCAAGAGCTTCGTGAAGGATTGAGACCAGTGAGTATAGCCAAAGTTTCTTTTCGAAGCTCTGCAACTGGTGTGGAGGGGGGCCAGAAGCTCTTGCAACTGTTTAGCGCGGTGAGTTGTACACTTGTTGGGGGTTGCCAGAAGCTCTACGAAGCTCTGTGAAGCTCTGCAACCAACCTAACCCGGTTGATGCGCCGCTGCTGAGTGTGAGCACTCATGCACACCGGCAACCCCCCCTCTTTCTTGGTTGTCCTACAGCCCCTCTTTTTTTTTTTTTGTTTTCCAGGTCTCCGTATCTCAAGTGACGGCTAATTCTCTGAGGTGTACCGTATCATCTTTCGTTCGGTTGGGGATTCTGGTCGTGGTGGATCGGCAACTCCACGCCCGTTACGTCCATATTACATGGGCAAGAAATGCAGAGAACTTGCGCGTAGTTGCAGGAACTTTGCAAGAACCCCGCGATTCGCAGGACCCTACTAGGCCCGGATTCCGTTGAAGCGGCCCAAAGTTGCCCCCCGGAGTCTAGCGACTTCTGGTTGACGTGTTTAGCTTTTTTCCTTTACGTCTTGGTTTCTGTTTTTTTGCCCTCTTCTTTCGAGAGCCCGGCCAGATGCCGAGGCGTCTGCCGCTCCAGAGCTGCGGAAACGGCCCCGATCACAGGGATACCACAAGGGACGCGGTTCCAGGCCGCCGCGCGAGAATGACCCTTTGAGCGGGATGGAGTTATGCTGGATCCAGAATGATGCTCGTCGTCCCGCGCAGTCTCCACAAGACGACACACGTTCCGCCGCGGAACGTCTCCATTTGCCCTGCTTTTTTCTTTCTTTCTGGGTATCTTACCCAATGAAAGACCCAGCATAGTTCCCTGAATATGCCAGTCAGCGGAAACAGACGTGGAGCATCCACGCAAAGGGAAAGTGAGAGATGTCCGCAAATACCCTTTTTTATTATTTTTTGCTCCCCTTCTGGTGCAGGAAACATGCCAAAGACGCGCGACAGGACAGAGTTTTCCCAACTCTGAACCATCCGCACAACGAAAAAAAGCGGGCTTTGCAACACTCGGCACCGACCCTAGTGCTGCCGGGGGCGCAGAGGCGCAGAGGCTCCAATTGGTGTGCGTCGGATGGATTCCTTGTGCCATGACGTCTAGTGCGGGCAGTAAGACAAGGTTCGCGGTGCGAGACGCCCTCTCGACAAAGGTACCAGGCTAGAACCGTCTGGTCTCTGGACGAGGTATCTCTCGACTCGACTCCCGTGCTGCTTTTCAACCTTTTCGCCCGGCGCGGGAGTCCAAGGAGTACTTTCGTCTCACCCGAGTAATACATGCCAATCTACTTGCCGCTCCTGGGATCTAGTCGGACTGAAGCTTGCCTGCTGCAAAGGCTCAACCCAAGTGGGTGAGGGAGTGGACATGCCACATCCTCTCTCGTCCCTTCTTCCCATCTGAAAGAGGGGTGGCCACACTGACACTGGGCACCGCGGTGGCCCAGACACATCAAGTACGCCGTGGTAACTCTACGTACCTCGCAACCAGGCCGGACGGCTGTCGGCCAAGGCAGTCGGAGGGGACGTAAAGCGTGGTAATGTGGTGAAGGTGGTATGGGAATTGGGCGAGAGAGCGGCCGTTTGCCGTGGCCGTGGCCGCGCGAGGCGGGAGTTGCAGAGCTTCGGGGAGGGAAGCAGAGCTGAACCAAGAGGGAGGAGAAACAATTTATAACCAGCTCTCCCTCCCTTCTTCGGTCCCCTCGATTTCGCCATCGATACCTTGTTCTGTCGACATTGACGATTCCTCCCATCCTACACTTTTGTTGTTTAGCCTCAGCGACAAGAGCTTCTGACAACGGTCCGCTCCCGCAGCACCCAATTCGAGTCTCATCCCCAAGAAGCTCTGCAACTCATTCCACCGCACCGGATCCCCGCCCGCCCTACCCGTGCGAGCGCCCTTTTTGAAATCGCCCATACCTAGGCACCAAATTCCCCATCTTAAGAATCTGAGGTGCTTCATCATGGCTATCACGCCTTCGAAGCCAATCTTCTGCGCGACCCACCCCAGGGCCTGCTCTACAGCCTTTGAGAGGGTGAGGCTCCCCCATCCCGCCTGTATGGCTTGTTGGCGGCTGCACCAAGGGCAGGACGAGCGAGCACGCAATCCCGCCGGTCCCTCCCCATCCCAAAAAACAAACAAGGTTCAGGGTGTCTGAATCTTTTGGGGACGGGCTGAGCTGAGCTGAGCTTCGTGGTGTTGTGGTTTTTGCTGCTCGCCGTCTCTCTCTCTCTCTCTCTCTCATCCCCCCACGGGCCCGCTTTGGTGCAACAACCGCGAGCCGTACAGCATTTTCCTGCTGCTGGAAGCGAGCTTGGCTGACGGGACGTTCAATAGGTTTTCATGACCCGCCGGGACAAGCTGGCATGCGTTCATGAGCCCTTTGGCGACGCATTCTACTACGGCCCCGAGCGAGTGGGCGAGCGGTTTGAGGACGACGCCGAGGGACGGGAGAAGTCTGGCTTCTCCAAGACAACGTACGCCGATGTTTTGAAGCAGATTGAGGAGGCTGGCAAAGATGTACGTTTCCCCCGTTACCCCAATTCTCCCTCCGTTGCCTTCATGGTGAGATGTTGTTTTCTGCCATCAATCTCACCCCGCGCGCGCGCCCGCACCCCCGACACCTATCGTCGTTCAACCCACTACCCCTTGCACGTTGGTTCTAGTTGCATAGCTTCTTGCGACCCCCGGTTTAACCCCCATCAATTCGTTGCGTGCCATCCCCCACCGAAAATCAAGTCAATTTTCGGTCGCAAGTGTTCTTCGAGGCTCGAAACAGAGCTTCTCGAAACTCTCAATTGATTTCGGCTAAAGGGGTCGTCGGTTGCGGGGGGGGGCCTGGTGCGCGCCCAGGGAAGCTTTGCGATGCAGCCCGCAGCCGCAGAGACTGTGTCGTGCATCAGCGCTCAGCTACCCTGGGCGACCCCTCGGTGGAACCGCAACCGACACCGAATTCCCCTCCACCACCACCACCACCACCTACACTATCATCGCCATCACAGAATCGCCATGCACATGTTATACAGCTAGATACTAATACCCCACCACAGAAGCGCATCTTCATCAAGGACATTGCGCACTACCTCCTGCCACCCAACCAGCAAAAGGCCTCCATTGCCCCTTCAACCGGCACCACCGCTGAGCCCGGTAACCCCACCGTCTTGCCCCTGGACGTCCTCCGCAAGTTCCAGTGGACGTTCCTCATCCGTCACCCGCGCCGCTCCATCCCCTCGTACTACCGCTGCACCGTCCCGCCTCTGGATGAGGTGACGGGCTTCAGCAACTTCTCCGCCAGCGAGGCCGGCTACGACGAGCTGCGCCGTCTCTTCGACTTCCTCATCCGCGAGCGCGTCGTCGACGAGAAGGACCTCATGGTCATCGACGCCGACGACCTGCTCGACGACCCGGAGGGCATCATCAAGGCCTACTGCGCCCACGTCGGCCTCGACTTCACCGACAGCATGCTCAACTGGAGCGACGAGGACACCAAGCTCGCCCAGGAAAAGTTTGCCAAGTGGAACGGCTTCCACAACGACGCGCTATGCAGCACCTCGCTGAAGGCGCGCGACCAGGCGCATGTGAGTTGCCCCCCCCCCTCTCCTGTTTCCCCGTCTCGGGTGGGCTGTTGGAAGAAATCTGCCGGGGCTGGCCTTTTTTTTCACCAAAAAACGCTGGACGGCGGAAATGGGTGTACTACGCACGCATACTAATACCCCGCGAGAAAAAGGTCATCACCCGTGAGTCCGAAGAGGCCGAATGGTTGAAGAAGTACGGCGAGAAGGGTCTCAAGGAGATCCGCGAGTGCGTCGACGCCAACGTCAAGGACTACGAGTACCTCAAGAAGTTCGCCATTAGAGTCTAATGCCCCCCGAGTTTGTACAAAACACACACTCTTCACGAAGTTGATGACAAAGAATGCGCTTATCATGGGATTTTGATAAATTGGGAAAGGTTTTATTTATCGGTTTACACATATAGTATAGGGAAACACAGGTTTTCTCTTCAGGGATTTTATTGGTCTATCATGGGTTCATGCAACCGTGTTGGTACAATAGTCTACATGGCCAAATGCCAACCAGCCGCCACTTTTTTTATAAAAAAAAAAAACAGGCTGCGTAGAGCAAATAACAAAGTTACAAAAACAACGTCCTCTTCTTTGATGTACACTTTTCCAAGACCCGAGAATGGCGTGACAGGTCCGGCCCAGATTTCATGCAGATTCCAGAGCCTTTCAAGCCTTGCTCTCAGCCTCCTCAACGGCCTCCGTGAACTGGTTCTCTGCCAGTAGAGATTTGACATCCTCAAACACGTCGTGCGTAACGTTGTCGGACCACCGTTCCGCAAAGTTGCGGTCAGCCTCGTTGGCCCAGTATATCGTTGCGGGCAACAGCTCGTCGGGGCCCTCGGCGACCTTGATCGCATCCTCGGCCGCTCCCTTTTTGCCCGCGGTCGTTGCCGTCGGCGGCGGCGGCTCCTGGGACCATTTCCGGCCCACCAACTTCTGACCCTCCTCGAGGACGGCCTTCTTCTCCTGCGGGCTCACGTGCAGCCGGCTTCCCCTGCCGACGCCAGAAAGGACGGCGGCCATGTCGGCGATGGAGTTGGCGCGCTGGTCGTTGAGGGCGACGCCGCGCTCGTGGCGGTTGCGGACGCGCGTCTTTGTGATGCCCGTGAAGGTGTCCGTGTTCTTGGTGAAGCGGAGGGATTCGTCCCAGCAGAGCTCGTGCAGGCGGCGGAATTCGCGGAGCTTCTGGAAGACTGACTGGCCTGCCGCGCCGGCGCCGGCGGGCAGCTGGATAAGTGCCATGGGTTGCCAGTAGTCGCGGCGGAGCTTCGCAGGCTTGGTCTTTTTGCCGTTGAAGGGGAGTTGACGGAGGGCGCGGTTGGACTGTGAGCATGGGATGTTAGCATAGCTGTCGTGTGGAAATGTCGAGGCCCGATTCCGTGCCAATTGATGGCACAATGGAGTCGCGCATATCTTGGCATGTTTTGAGACATTCAAGGACGTACGTCGAGCTGCTTCGAGTGCGAGTAGATGACCTGGTTCGAGGTCAGGTGGCTGTAGACCCAGATCTGCTCGCCGTGCCCCGGCTCGAAGTTGGCGAGCTCGGGCTGCGGTGTCCGGCGGCGCGACCGCGTGTGGCCATGCCGTATGCTTGTCCGGGCGACGCCGAAGGACAGCTGTGAAAACCTGAATACCGGGACCGAGTTCATTGTGTGCAAGGCTGGCCGTCGGTGGGCGTGTTCGTTGTCGTCGTCGGCCCCCCTAAACTTCGGGGACAGCTTGACCTTGCAAAATTTCCCGAAGCTCTGGAACCAGGTCGCGCCGGATCCTGTGGCTGGTGCGTGGCTGATGACGGCAGTCACATGACAAATGTGCACAAGCCACCTCGGACTAACTGCTCCTCGACTAGGACCGGCATCTTATCGATAACTTTGATAAAACCTAGGAGGGGGGGTCCCAACGGCCAATACCGACCCCGCGATTCTAGATTTTAGTGGGTGCTAGGATTCTACTAGTGACGTCGCGGAACTTCCACCAGGTTCTGGTTGCTACCCTACAGCTTCCCGGCCTTACCATTTGATGCTAATTCAGTCCATTTGTTGGCCCACTTCCCGGTTTGCTGTCTGGACGAACCTCTCTCGACACCCATAAATTCGACAACAAGAACAGCTTCTCAGCGGTTTTTCTTCTCGTTCATCAAGTTGTTTCTTGCACATATTAAGATACCCCCAGTTGGATGATAGATTCTTCAAAGAGAAGCTTCACAATTTGAGCTTCCTACTACCCTTCCACGAACCAACATCAAACCACACCTTATCACGCAACTACACACAATCATTACATATACACCACGACAATGAATTCACGTATGGAATTCACCGACAGAGGCGAGAAGGCCGTGCAGGACGCGATGGCCCTCGCCGAGCAGTACGCCCACTCCCAGCTGCTGCCCGTCCACCTCGCAGTCTCACTTCTCGACCCCCCGGCAGACCTATCCAAGGATCAACAAAACGGTCCACAGCAGACATCCTCAATGTTCCGGCAGGTTATCGAGCGCGCACACGGCGACCCTCAAGCTTTCGACAGAGCACTCAAGAAGACACTGGTGCGTCTGCCGAGCCAAGACCCGCCACCAGACCAGGTCTCCGTGGCGCCCACCTTCCACGCCGTCCTCCGCAAGGCTCAGGAACTGCAGAAGACGCAAAAGGACAGCTTCATCGCTATCGACCACCTCATCCAAGCTCTTGCCGAAGACCACACGATACAGACCTGTCTGAAGGAGGCGAACATCCCTAAGGCGAAGCTTGTGCACGATGCCGTCACCCAGATTCGCGGCACGAAGCGGGTGGACAGCAAGAATGCTGACACCGAGGAGGAGCACGAGAACCTTGCCAAGTTCACCATCGACATGACGGCCTTGGCCCGAGACAAGAACATGGACCCGGTCATTGGCCGCGAGGAGGAGATCCGGAGAGTTGTACGGATCTTGTCCCGCCGGACGAAGAACAACCCCGTCCTCATTGGTGAGCCCGGTGTCGGTAAGACTACCGTCGTCGAGGGTCTCGCCCAGCGCATCGTCAACCGCGATGTGCCCGACAACCTCAAGGCCTGCAAGCTGCTGTCGCTTGACGTCGGCGCCTTGGTGGCCGGAAGCAAGTACCGCGGAGAGTTTGAGGAGAGGATGAAGGGTGTTCTGAAGGAGATTGAGGACTCCAAGGAGATGATTGTCCTCTTCGTCGACGAGATCCACTTGCTGATGGGTGCGGGCTCATCCGGCGAGGGCGGCATGGACGCTGCGAACTTGTTGAAGCCCATGCTTGCCCGTGGTCAACTACACTGCATCGGTGCGACTACCCTCGCTGAGTACCGCAAGTATGTTGAGAAGGATGCTGCTTTCGAGCGTCGTTTCCAGCAGGTCCTTGTAAAGGAACCCAGCATCGGCGAGACCATTTCCATTCTCCGTGGTCTCAAGGAGCGATACGACAGACACCACCGCGTCACGATTCTCGACAACGCCTTGGTAGCAGCCGCCAACCTTGCTGGACGCTACCTCACTTCCAGGAGACTTCCCGACTCGGCCATCGACCTGGTCGATGAGGCCGCCGCCGCTGTCAGAGTCGCAAGAGAGTCTCAACCCGAAATCATCGACTCTCTCGAGCGCAAGCTCCGTCAGATCATGATCGAGATTGCCGCTTTGGAGAAGGAGAAGGACGAGGCTTCCCAGACTCGCCTGATCCAGGCGAGAAAGGATGCCAAGAACGTCGAGGAGGAGTTGGAACCTCTCCGCCAAAAGTACCTCAGCGAGATCAAGAGAGGCGAGGAGATCCACTTGGCAAAGACGAAGCTCGACGAGCTCGAGAAGCGTCTTGAGGATGCCGCAAACGCCGGTAACCATGCCAAGGCTGCCGACCTTCAGTACGGCGCCATCCCCGAGCAGCGCGCGGTCATCAAGGAGCTCGAGGCCAAGAAGGCCGCCGCCGACGCTGCTCTCAACGCCACCGGCCAGGACCACAACGCTATGGTTACCGATGTGGTCACCGCCGACCACATCAACGAGATCGTGTCCCGCTGGACTGGTATCCCTGTCACTCGCCTCAAGACGAGTGAAAAGGAGAAGCTTGTCAACATGGAGAAGGTTCTCGGCAAGGTCGTCGTCGGCCAGAAGGAAGCCGTCCAGGCCGTTTCCAACGCCATCCGCCTTCAGCGGTCTGGTCTCAGCAACCCCAACCAGCCACCCAGCTTCCTGTTCTGCGGTCCCTCTGGTACCGGTAAGACTCTCCTGACCAAGGCCCTTGCCGAGTTCCTCTTCGACGACCCCAAGGCCATGATCCGCTTCGACATGTCCGAGTACCAGGAGAGACATGCTCTTAGCAGGATGATTGGTGCTCCCCCGGGATACGTCGGCCACGATGCCGGTGGTCAGCTCACCGAGGCCCTCCGCCGCAAGCCTTTCTCCATCCTCCTCTTCGATGAGGTGGAGAAGGCTGCCAAGGAGGTACTCACCGTCCTCCTCCAGCTCATGGACGACGGCCGTATCACCGACGGCCAAGGTCGTATTGTCGACGCCAAGAACTGCATCGTCGTCATGACGTCCAACTTGGGTGCCGAGTACCTCACCAAGTCCACCAACCGTGAGGGCAAGGTCGACCCGACGACCCGCGAGCTTGTCATGAACGCGCTCCGCAGTTATTTCTTGCCCGAGTTCCTCAACCGTATCAACTCGACCGTCATCTTCAACCGTCTCACCCGCCGCGAGATCCGCAAGATTGTCGACATCCGTCTGCAGGAGATCCAGAAGCGGCTGGAGGACAACAACCGCAAGGTCATCATCGACGTGTCGGACGAGGCCAAGGACTACCTCGGCAACGCCGGCTACTCGCCCGCCTACGGTGCTCGTCCACTGTCCCGCCTGATCGAGAAGGAGGTCCTCAACAAGCTGGCCATCCTGATCCTGCGGGGCAACGTTCGCGATGGCGAGACCGCTCGCGTCGAGCTCATCAACGGCAGACTGGTTGTCCTGCCCAACCACCAGGACAGCGAGCTCAACACGGACGACGATGACATGGATTCGGACGATGCTGTCGACGAGCTCGTCGCAGATGAGATGGATGAGGACATTTACGACTAAGGTGATAACTGGAGATGAAGAAAACACAAGGAAAAGAGATGATTCACGAAATATGATTGTTAGGAATGACGATGTGTAATAATGCAAAGACTGGGAGTCTACAAAGCATTGGGCGTTAGGGATCAATTGGGATTAAGCAGTTGGGATTCTTCTGGTATAGCAAGCAGGTTATAGAACTTATAAAGGTTCAATTGGTAAAGACATTGAAAGCCACTTTGACTCTGTTCACAGCGTGATGAATCTTGGTAAACGTGGATGGTAAAACAGTGCAGTCACTGAAGCCTACTACTACATCTCCTCACCTGAAGGATACGGAGACTGGGCAATCTCGCGCCCAAAGAGGACACGCGAGGATCAAGACAGTATACTTGTCTCAAACGCACTTGAGCAATCTAATGGGAAGACGCAAGACGCTTCCCGGCCCTGATCATATACGTTTGTCGTAACTCTGGTAAAAAAGTATTATATCCAACTTGCTCATATACTGGAAACATCACCGATATTTGTCCAGGTCATGGAACCTTGCCGCACACGCACGCAATGACATCGTCTCGATTCGGGTCCGTCCGTATAGGGAGAGGGGGCATTGTACAGGACGGGAGGAGCCAACTTGGGACTGTTCTGGCCCAGAGACGCCACCAGCAAAGACGCAAGTGATATCCCGCGCAACCCGCAGACTTGCCCGACATGGCTGCTACGCTCTGTACGATGGATGAAGCGGCAGAATGAACATCGGACCCATCCAATCTATCAACAAAGTAATCTTGTAGAACCGAGGAGAGGCTACAAGCTCGTCATTGGATAACAAGATGTGATGAGAGCATGGCTTGGGGCGCTTAAAACGTATAACCTTGAGCTTGGGATGCGTGAAGTTCCTGCGCAAACCATTGCCTGCGACCGACACTCATACTTGCCTCCTCCCGACTTCATTCAACTCGCATTCTGCTATGCTATCCGTAACTAAAGTAGCGACGGTGCCACTGTACTGAGTGGCAGGTCAACCTTGTTGTGCTCATCACACGCCGCTTGAAGTGTTCGCGACAAGCGCATGCCCTCAAACCCCGTGCCTATTTACGGAGTGCCGGTATTGACATGTCTTGCAGTACTAGATATATAAAGCTTAACGCCTACCTGGTCAAGCCTTCGTAGTAGGATCGGGCGCTACGGGATCAATTCGAGCGCCAGCACTGTGTCACCGACCTTGACGCTGCCGGTATTTTGGGGTTTCCAGGTATTTGGGCTGGCCGTTGAGAGAATCCCCGCGTTTCAACGCGCCGTCGCATCAACCCGACTGTCCTGCCGATCAACGAGCTGCCCGAGGTCGCATGACGAATGGAAACCACGCCTTTTTGTTTAGTTTCTCGTGGGCTGGGACGAAGAACCATAGTTGAATTGAACTCCATGCAGCTGCGGTGCAACGGGTTCGACTTGATTTCGTCGACCAGACCAAGCCGTGGGATCTGCGAAACTAGTCGCGGGGACGACGGAGGGGTTCGGCCAAGATACGATGCTATTTTTACCGAAACGACCCCGGTGATCGCCCTTGTCGGAGGATGGGGACCCATGACTGAGAGGTTTACCATAGTAGCCCCCGTTGCCACCCTCCGTGAGCCTCACGAAGGCAAGCCCGGGGACCTAGCTGGAGGTGGGCAGTGGCGGCACGCCTTCCCCAAACCCGGGACCTTAGTGCATTAGAAAATAAATTGTCCAGGCAAGCTCCGAGGCACTGCCGCCCTTTTGCAACTTGGCTCCGAGCCAGGATGAGCTTTGGGGGCCGACGTTGACCCCATCGTAGAGTGGAAGACGAAGGCTTCAGCAGTGCAGGCAAATATCGCGAGTGACGGCCGACCGATCATGCCGTGAACAGTCATGCATTGAGGCTGCGTGGCGGAACGCGTCACTTGCGAGTGGGCGTGGCGGCAGAAGGCTCTGGCTCGAGTTTCGGCGGAAGCCGCGGAGTAGGTTGAGGCTGGAGGGCCCGTGTTGTGTTGCACATGTACAATGTAGGTAGGGAGGGCATTTCATCCTGAATCTGGGACGAGAGAGGGGACGATGTCCGATGTTCGCTAAGAAGAGGCAACGGAGCGTACATGAACGAGGAGAAGGGCTCCCTTGTTCTCTTGACCACGAGCGGAAAGCATCGACACACACGGCTGTGGGGGGCCAACCTAGAAAAGGGGTGGATGAAACGTGTCAGCGCACTTGAAGGGGAGGAACGTTCTCATCGACCTGCTCAAACGGGCGGCTGTTGGTGTCATGGTTGACGACCGGTCCGAGTCAAGAGCTGCGATGGCAGGTGTCTTCGCCGAACGAAGCCGTTTGGAGGTCTCAGGGAGAACGAGATGGGAGGATGGAGGCTTGACCAATGAGCCCAGAGGCTCAATTGACCCCAAGAAACCGTTGGCGCAAACGGCCGTTGACACCTGAGATGGCCGGAACTCATCGTGCCTCCTTTGTTCAACCGTTGGCCGTTTGATCGGACGTCCTTCTCGGCATGAAAGGCCGCGCATCAGCAGATTCCCAAAGTAGAATGTCAGGTCGTCCCAAACTCGAATTGGGGGGGCCCACGGGTGGCTGCCGGCCAGTGGCCCCGAATGCGGTCCTGAGCCACAATGATACGTTGGGTGCCCGGCGCGCCGCAGAGGCTGAAAGGCTCCCCGTCCGTCGATAACCAGTTGAAAGTCAGAGCAGGAGGCTCACGCCAAAATACGAGAAATCGACCGACGGGAAAGCATCCAAAAAGGGTTGCGTTGTAGTGCGAGCTGTTGGCGGCAGATGGTGGCGTGGGCGTGTGCATACGGCATCACAGCTGTGAGCGTTACAAGGGTAGGGCAGGCTAAAGTCGCGTTTCAGATTCCTTAGCAGATCCTCTGACAAGAGTCATCCGAGGTTGTGATTGGAGAAGGGCTAGGGGGCGTCGGGCTGGAGCATAAATGACCAGCATCTTCATCACGCCTTTGCAGTGTTGCACCTGGCGGCCTGGGTTAAAGTGGACCTGGGCTGTTGGTGTCAATGGCTCCATTAGGAAACACGTCGCAAGCTTTGCTGGCTCGCTGGCTGGTTGGCAGTCTACCTAGGTATCTGTCTGTCGTCGGTGGCCCCTTCTCCTTTTATTTTTGTTTTTATTTTGTTTTCGGCGGGAGAAAGTCTCTCTTTTTTGGGTTTTTTTTTGTCTGACGAATGATTCAACAAGATGCCCTGATGAAGTTGCAGGAATGGGTCGTGTCCGAGTCAGGGAATAGCCGCGTACCGGTGCTGTTGATTGTCGACTAGTCCAAAAACTCGCTTAGGCAGTTAGGTGCAGTGAAGGTATCATGCGGTCGGTAATGTGCGCCTTGTATCAGCACGTCGCTGTCAAGCGATTTCCAGTCCAACGATTGCAAATGGACGGACGCAGCCAAGTCGTTCGCAATATTAGAGGGTAACCAACCCCTGAGCGATTTCGAAAGAGCACAACTCCTCCAAGCCAGGGAGCCCGCCGTGTCTTGGGCGCAGTCCGGCACGTTGGGTGGGCTTGCATCATTTTACCCATGACAGCAAGTCACTGCGGCTTCCTCCAATGGTAGCTGCACAACGCTTTACGATCCAAGCCCGGAGGCAAATGCATCAACGAAGGCGCCATGAAGCGAAAACGGCCCTGCTTGGCGTAGCGAGCGGTATCATCCAAAGTTGAATTGACGGTGGAAGGAATCTGTCACGATGATTTGAGAACAGACTATATTTTGCCCCGGCACATCAAGATGCGGACTTGCTACTTGACCTTGGTTGCAGTTAAGTTGCGGGCTGGTAAGGTGTCCCCGGGCTTTCGCTTTCCCCAGAGCCCCAGTCGAAAGATCTTCTCGAAGGCCAGCCAGCCGTGGCTCCCGAAAGGGTCGACGGACTAGTATGGCCAGCCTGGGCATAGCAAGATGTCGCGGCTATAAGACGTCGGGTTCGCTTTGGCTGGCATTTGTAGCGAAGCCCCCGGCTGCAGGATTGGTTGACGAGAGTTGTATGCATAGAGCCTACGACTCTGAACGCACGAGGCAAAACAAGGAGCTGGAGACGTTTCTCCGAGGGAATGGTGTGGTGTGGTGTGGTGTGGTAGCAGGAGACTTGTTGATGGCCGTAGGCGTGGGTAGCATAGGGTTCATGGTGGTGATTCCGATGAAGCCCATGTTAGGCTAGTCGGCCCCCATTCTGGGTCGCCGACAGGCTAGATCCCTATTCTGCAACCGGCGGGCAGACACTCGGCAGCTCGCATCGTGTAGCCAAAGCGGCGATGGTAAGAGTGCTGGATAGATTATTTGGCGAGTGTACGGCCAAGCAGGAAGGTGAGGACAGCATCCCAGTAGGTATGGAGGGATGACACATCGAATGACAGTTTGAGCATTTGTTGACGGCGGTCCCATTGCGTTGGATAAGGGACCAGTCGGGTTTGAGGAAGGGTGGTTGATGGAGGGAGTTGGGAAGGGAGGGGAGAGATGTGGCTCGAGGAGTCCCTAGCATCCAAGATAGGCCCACGAATTGGCATCTGGCATCTGGCATCACAGCGGGCATCACAGCGCCGCGCGGGTCCCTTGGTGGTGAAGTAGTCAAGCTCAGCCTAGAACGGACGATAGTAAGCGGGATAAGGGCCAGGGTCTCGTTTTTGACCATAAGGCTGCCGGGCACGTTATCGACATGGGCTTGGACGGCTTGGCCGTTACCAACAACTATGTCGTGAGACTGAATATGATATCGGGGGATGGAGTCGTAGATATCCTGATGACGAAAGTAGCCGTTAGCGAACGCGTGAGCATCTCGGCAAGACAAGGCAAGGCAAGGCAGTCAGTTGACCTCTGGGTCTAACATAAGGTGCAACTCGGCCTAGTTCTTCCGGACCTCCCTCCGTAGTCGCGATTTCTCCAGAATGGCCTCCACCGGCAGCAGCAGACGGGGTCTGGTTTTCGCACTCGGCAGTTCAGCCTGCAACTCTCGGGGCGGCAAGTCCGGGCCACAGAGGCATACCTAGGTAGCCTGGCATACAGGTCTTCCCGTCAAGCGGTCTCGTGCCTTCCCTTTCTTGTACTATGGAGTTCCATGGGAATGGAAATGCCAGTGGGACGTAGAAGGTGCCACGGCAGAGTTGGAAAATGTGGAGAGGCACAGCGGAGATGGGAGGAAAGGGCCCCCCTACCCCCCACTGCAGACCGCCACGGGTGTCAGTGTCGTCCGTCGTCCCTCTCCTTCTTCTCCCTGGCTTCTTCCGGCGGCTCCACAGCGACCGGAGAGAGGGAAGGCGTGAGAAGGGAAGGAAGAGGTGGAGAGGGAAGAAGGAAGAGCAGGAGAGAAGACTACAATACAAATCCGGTACACAATGGATGATGCCTTACGGAGTATTTCCCCGGTAGGAATGAACAACACATCACGGGAAGGAAAAGGAGAGCAGGGAAAGCATGGCATCTAGCTTGACTAGCGACAACAAGTGTACTGCGTCCGGTCAGGAAAATGGATCACTTCCCCCCCTAAAGACCGCACCAAAGGTCGATCGACTGCCGTTTCACACTGACCTCAACCCTCCGCTTGGCCCCGTTGTGGGCGCCGCGTCAGGGTCAGCCAGTCCCTGTCTTGCTCTGGAGGTGCTGCCCCAAATTCTAAGGAGGGGAGGGGGAGAGAAAGAGGTGACGACTGACGAGACAAAGGTAAAAAGGTACTGACGTATAACTGTGGTTCCCCCAGTAAGGCCATGTATCCTTGTCGAGGATCGAAGTACCCCTCCCCACTAGGAAACCTGATGCTGGCCATAGGTCCCCCTGGGTGAAATGGGAACTGCGGGCGGCGGCGGCGTGGGTTAGATCAGGTACGGAGACCTTGCTTCGCCTTGTCTCTACCTCACACTCGACGCCTCTCTGCTGGGTTTGTATTCTCCATGCCTGAGGTGGCAGTTGTGTACCTACCTACCTAGTCCATCTACTGAAAGGTGGTAGGTATCTGTAGACGCATAGAGAGACGGACAGACAGACAGACTTGTGTGACAAGCCTTGGCTGCCACCTCCGAGGCAAGGTACCCTCCCTACTCCCTAACAAACTGTCCTGACTGGCCAGACCTCTCAACTCCTGTCCGGGTCTCCTAAGGTTGCTCCTGGACCTGGACATTCACTTGCTCTCCCGCAGCACCAGCACCAGCAACCAAGTCCAAAGTCTCCTTTCACCGTTCCGTCCATCAAACCACCACCACCACCACCAAACCAAAACCTCAACTCACATATTCTCCCTGCTGCTCCTCCTCCTCATCTCGTCTTTTCTTCCCCTCTCCCACTCCCACTCTTCCACTTCCACCCCCCAGCCCCCTATCCCTTTCTCCAGGCCTCATCGACCCTATTCTAATGAAGCCTGTATATTGAGATCGTTTAACCTTTTGCTTCTTTCCTCTCTCTCTTTTTGTCTCGTTCAAAAGAATACTTGGAGGAAAGGACAATTAGTTTGGTTTTGGCCCGCGCGACAGTTCGTCAAAGCAATCGGCCCTGGGAACCTGTGAAATCTGATCCAAGAGAAGCCCGACCTGGCGGAACACGCAACGCTAAGCATCGCGCATCGCAGCACCCACATTGACCAAGCCCACCGCTAAGCTACGCGACCACAAAACGGCCACCCGAGAGTGACTGGCAGGAGAAATCTTTCCATCACCCCCCAGCAGCCCAAAATCGTCCATAGCCCACTTGTCCCCCCCGACATTCCTTGACCTCAACCCCCGACCGACGTCGAACTCTCCTTTTATTTTCTCGAGCACCCAGCTGCCTTTCTGCATCCGACTGGCTGGCCTGGCGTACCTTGTAATACCTGGAAAACACGCACAAACACGACTTTCAACCCTTTCGACCCTTCGACGAACATTCCTTACCAAAGACCCCCACGCGAGTCTCCTATCTCGCCCTTCTGCTTCGACAGACCATCACCACTCTGTCCACCCAAGTCAAGTCGACAGGTTGGCAACAGGTCCGGAAACGCCGCAGAAGACTTGCTCAGAACGTCATCGGGAATTGACACAGCGCCGTGCCGTCTCTCTCTCTCTCTCTCTCTCTCTCTCTCGCGAATCCCCCGACCGTGGAATACGAGCCGTTGCTGTCTCAAAGCTGTCCACAATACATTGGGTCCAATTCTCCTCCGCGTGTGTCCATTATCACCCAGGAGAGCATTGTTCAATCCGCCAACGACAGCAACACGTCGGGAAAACTCGAGTCTCACGAAATTTCTCTGATGAGGTTCGGCCTAGATAATTGATAATGTCAACTAGATCCGATCACTTGGCCATTGGTTACCCACCCCAGTCTGCCACACAGAATCGGTCGACTTCACCGACCGCCAACAACACATCCCCCATCGACTCTGTCGCTGGTTCATCCGTCAGATCTCCATTCGGCCTCCCAGGCGGCTTGAATCACTCCGGCAAGATGGCTAGCGCTTCGCGATCAGGGACTGGCTCTCCGTCGCACGAGATGCCTGGTTCCAGCAGGTTGTTCTCCAAGAGGTACGTTACTCACCGCCGGACCCTCTCCGCTTCTGCATAGCCTTTGTCGCTGACTTTTCATCTTTAGAGCCCGTGAGATTCAAGCCCAAGAAGGCGTGCCTGGATTGCCGGTAAATCCATGGGGCGGTCCGCCAACGAGCGGCAACTCCACGCCCCTCCGCGAGAACATCCCCGAGTCGCCAACCGATGGCTTTCCTGACTTCGCCCAACTCCCCACACCTGATTCCATGCCCCAGGCAAGACGCGCTCGTGCTGGAACTGTGCCCTCGCGATTCTCGCCTGGCGGTGCTGGCAATGGCCTGCTCAGTATCCCCGCGATGGCTCCCAAGTCGTCGCGGCCTACACCCTCCCACAGCCCCTTCAAATCTCCGTCCCCTGGCCTCGAGCCAACCGAGACGGCTTCCAACAACTCCGCCCTGCTATCGCGTCTCCGAGCAGGGTCGATGCCTCAGAGAAGCCCGTTTGCGCAGATCCCAGGCACCAGCTCGCCCTTCGGGCCCTCAATCTTCAGCAGCTGGAACCCTGCCGGTACCGGCCGCGATCGGGGCATGACGCTTGCGAGCATTGCTAGCATCGGCTCGACAAACGGGCCAAGCTCGCCGACCCAGTCCCAGATTTCTAGAGAAGGGGGTGGAGAGAGTGATGTTCATATGAGAACACTGGATTATTTGGGACTGGCCGAGACGCCGCAGCCCCCCCGCGCCCAATTGGCAACCCCGTACATTCCGAGCTTCAACGAGTTTACTAAGGCTAACCGTTTCCGTTCATACTCGGTCAACAACAAGGATAAGTATGCCGACGAGGAGGAGGATGACTTTGAGGAGAACATGACTCTCGAGAGTCAGTACGTTGCCCACCTCCAGGACCAACTCGCTGCCACCAACGCTGCCATCCACAACCACAACCTGGCTGTGCAGGCTTTTGCGAACCAGGCCACACGCCCCCGCGCCAGGACCGCCGGTGTTCTTGATACGCCTGGTTCTCGCCTCATGCGTACTTATATGTCTGGTAACGGTTTGGGCAATGCAGTTCCTCCTGCTGAGATCCGCATCCCGGACGAAAAGGATTTTGACGACCTTCCTCAAGCTGTGGCTGCTATGAACCTTGGACGATCAAGCAGTCGTAACGCCGGCTTGCTCAATGCGGAGGACCAGGGTCTCGAGGGCCCTACCAGCGCTCTCTGGCTCGGCAGCATCCCGACTTCCACCACGACGTCGACTCTGACGGAAATGTTCAAGTCGTACGGCCCCATTCTATCCGCCCGTGTCCTTACACACAAGAACTGTGGTTTTGTCAACTTTGAACGGATGGAGAGTGCCATCACCGCCAAGGCCAGCATGAATGGCAAGGAAATCTTCCCCGGAGCTGGCCCGATTCGCATCAACTTTGCCAAGCCGCCCTCTGCTTCGAATACTCCCGGCCCTGACGGCGTTTTCCCTTCGCCCAGCCCTGACCCCTTCTCGAAGACCCAGGACAATGCGCAGAATGCAGCCTCTGGCACCGCCGCTGACAATGGAAACACTGCAGCTCAGTCAGCCAACGCTGCCCCCACTGTGCCTCCTTTGTCCGAGATGACGAACGACATCCTGCGAATCGTGAAGCAGTTCCAGGCTTCGGACGAGGATACTGCCAAGATCTCCCGTAGCCTTCAATCCTCTATCCAGTTTACCAACTTTATCGACGAGATCCCTCCCATTCGGGAGCCCGCCCATACCCGTGTTCACGATGCTCCGAGACTCAGAGACATCAGGAAGAGAATCGACAACCAGAGCCTGTCTCAGGCCGAGATTGAGACGACTGCCCTCGACATGCTGCCCGAGATTGCCGAACTCTCGTCTGACTACCTCGGCAACACGGTTGTACAGAAGCTTTTCGAGCACTGCTCCGACGAGCTCAGGGATGCCATGCTTGCCGAGATCGCTCCTCACATGGCGGAGATTGGTGTACACAAGAATGGTACCTGGGCTGCCCAGAAGATCATCGATGTCTGCAAGACCCCTCATCAGATGACGTTGATTGTTGAGAACCTGCGGCCCTACACGATTCCTCTGTTCCTTGACCAATATGGCAACTACGTTCTCCAGGGATGCCTCAAGTTCGGAGCCCCATTCAATGACTTCATCTTTGAGACGATGCTCAGCCGGATGTGGGAGGTGGCTCAGGGTCGCTACGGCGCCCGAGCCATGCGTGCGTGCCTGGAGAGCCACCACGCGACCAAGGAGCAGCAGCGGATGCTTGCTGCCGCAATCGCGTTGCACAGCGTCCAGCTTGCCACCAACGCCAACGGAGCTCTTCTCTTGACTTGGTTCTTGGACACCTGCACATTCCCCCAGCGCAGGACCGTTCTGTCACCCCAGCTGGTCCCCTACCTCGTGCACCTTTGCACCCACAAGGTCGCCTATCTCACGGTGCTGAAGGTGATTAACCAGAAGGCCGAGCCCGAGGCGCGTGACACCATTCTGAAGGCTCTCTTCTTCACGCCCAATGACCAGGTCCTCGAGGCGATCCTCAGCGACCACGCCTGCGGTGCCACGCTCATCTTCAAGGTTCTCACCACCCCCTTCTTCGATGAGAGCATCCGCAGCCAGGTAGTTGAGAATGTCAAGAACGTGCTGGTGCGCATCAAGGCTCAGCCCGGCCAAGGATACAAGCGCTTGATGGATGAGGTCGGTCTTTCAACCCGCAACAGCGGCGGCGGTGGTCGTGACCATGGGCATGGCAACTCCAATAATAGCAGCAGCGAGCAGCGACAGCGACCGGCTTCTCGCCAGGCCAACATGAACACTCACCACCAACAGGCAGCCCACATGAACAAGCAGCAGTATTACAACCAGATGAACCCATCGGTCAACGCTTCCAACTACGAGTTGGGCTTCGGCGGCCAACGCAGCGAACCTGCCGACGCGAGTATGCCGCCTTTCCCTCCGTTTGGCGTGCAGAACCCCATGTACAACTCATCGAACTCTCCGATGCCGACCCCCGCGAACTTGCAGCAGCTGCAATACCAGCAGAATTTGCTCAACCGCGCAACGCCTCCTGTCAACAACTTCTTTCCCCCGATGCAGGCAGGCTTTGGAGGTTACAGCAGCCCGAGTCCATCAATCGACCAGTACCGCAGCCAAAACCTGGCCAACGGCAGCCCTATTCAGCCGCCGGCGACCCAACTCCCTCAGATGGCACCCGGCCAAGCGCCGTATGCACCCCCTGGATTTGGTATGAACATGGGCATGACGGGTTACGGCGGCTACGGCAACATGGGAGGCATGCAGAACATGGCATATATGCAACAGGAGCAAGTCAATGGAAGACGTGGCCGAGTAAGCCAACCCCCATTCGCACCACAGCGGCAGCATCAACGTAAGCAGTGGCATAACTGACACGAAAGCTCAGAGATGATCCGAACCCCATTTACACAGACGAATCGCTGGTCAGAGACGGTCTGACTGGCTCATGCCGCTCTTATGTTTTGCTTGATACGGAATGGCTTGGTATGGGATCGGCACAGGAGTTTGGTGGATCTGGTTCGTCATGTAAGAATGTTTGCAGGAGTACACGCCGCCCGATGTGTCAGGAAAATGCACAAGTCACTCCAGATGAGGAGCAGGCCATGTCTTGATGATAGACAGGGCAACAACACGAAGCTGGCCCTCCCCCGGATTAGTGGTCGCAGCAACGAGAGGGTTTATATTTTCGTTTCACCCAGGGCTCTAGTAGCTCATTGTCACTTCTTCACCCTTCCTGTCCTTTTCCTATACGCACCTGGGGAAGTTTCTACAACCTTACTATTGCTACCCTCACCATGCTCGTGGCGTGGTATATAGAGAGAGAAAAAACCGAGGGATGGCCGCCCGGATGTTGTCCTGAAACCCCTTCGCAAGAAAGGCAAACGTCTTAAAGATTTGCACTTTGCTGTTGATACGGTCGAGTTTTCACCGCGAAGTGCCAGCGGGGCCGAGCCAACAACTGTTTTGATTACAGCGAGCAAAGCGTGCGGTGGGGGGTTCTGTCCATGTCGAAGGAAGCAAGCGATGGGTCGGCCGGTCATTCGTCCGTGGGTAGTTTATAAAGGAGGAGAAAAAAAAACCCCCCAACTTCACCAGCCTCTCACCTCATCTCGCGCCTGGCCTGGTTTTTTTTCTTTCTTTTTTCTCTTCTTTTTTCGTTGCGTTTTAGATGGCATGAGGACAAGGGGTATTGTTAGTTAGCATTGTCGTAAAAGCTAGTGTTATTCCAAACGTTCGTTTCCCCACTCATGTGGCATCGGTCTCGTGTCAAGGCGGCCCTCGAGGGACGGGACTGTGGCTCTCGTTCGAATCCGGGTATTCCGATCAAGGCAGTACAAGAGCATCACCACGTGGGAGGGGGTCTGCACGCGCACCATGCGGACGACCGTCGTCGATCAAGGGCACAAAAGACGGTGGTACGGTAATGGCTCATGCGGCGTAGCATTCTATCTGATGGCCCCTTGAGGCTCTGTGTTCCTCTTTCATACATTCCCGAACCCTGGCAGCGTCGGCTCCTAGCCCTTCGGGTCCAAATGTGTACTCTCCCTCTCTCGCCTGTCTCTGCCTCTCGAAGAAAAAAAAGGAGAGAAGCCCTTGCCCGGTTCACCCTCCCCTGTCCTCCGGCCCAAAGAGAGAAGAATTACGAGAAGAGGTAATAGCCTATGATACAAGATAAGGCAGAGCAAGAGAGAGGGGAACCCAGGATAGAAAGTGGGAAAGGCTGCCGCCGCCGCCGCCTCCATACGCCTTGCCCGTTGTTCCCATTCCCCTCCAAAGACAGGCCAGTTAACCAGATGCCCGCTACATGCACAAACACCCTTTGTGCTGCTTTCGCTTACTCGTTCGTATGCGTCCCGTTCGCAAGCCCAGTGAGGGTGTGAGAGGGCTCGAGGGATAACAGCATATTCCCCTTCTGCAACGCTCAAGACCCGTACGAACGTCGGGTTCGCTTTCTCGACGGCTGTTCGCGTGATGGATTCTCTATCAACCGGCCTCCCTTGGGCGGTTGTTTCTTTTATCTCGATCGCTAATGATTCGGTTCCTCCAAACGCCAGATCCGCGTGTGGGTCGTGTCCTGGGGAATCAACTGAACGACAATAGAAAAAGTACTGAGGAATGGAATTATCCATGGTTGATGGCATGGCATATCCCGTCGTGCCTTCGACGAGACAAATCATCCATTCCACTACTGTGTATCGACAATCTGGTGTCGAAGATGTAAATGATTTCGTAGAGTGTGTTCAGTGACGCTCAACGTTGGCAGCCTAATCAATATCCATGATGGCCACGTCGTCCTCGTTCCTGTCGTTGGGAACTTCCTGAGATGACTTCTCGCCTAGGCTATTGACTGGTTCAGGGTTGTCCTGGGTGGTGGTCGCAGGCGTAGGCAGGTCGGCAAGGGGCTCTACAGACTCGTTCTTGATCGAGGACGAGTCGCCCTCGGCGCTCTCAGTGCCATCGGTATTGTTATAATCGGTTACGGTGTGGTCGCCCTCTGCGTCGTGTACAGCAGTGTCCGGTTGGCCGGCTGCGAGCAAGCTTCTGATGCGGTCCGACATGGCCTCCATCTGAGCCAGCATGGCTCGGAGACTCTGCTTGTCCGCGGTATTGATCTCACCACTGGCGAAGTTCTCAGCACTACCGCGCGCCATGAGCGAGAGCATAGCTGGGTCGGCAGCCGACTAGGAGCGTGTCAGTTTCAAGTGCTGCTAGTCCGCATAGCGCATCTAAACTTACCAACAGGGCCTGCGTGAGGTCATCGAGCTTGGTGGTCGGCTGGCTGGACGCCAATTCAACCAAGTTGAGCACTGTCTGCTGCTCTGCACGCGAACGAGTGTCCAGGGGCGCTGTGACTGGCTGTGGTTGAGCCTTGGCTGGAGACGGTAATCCGTTGATGTAGCCCGCACCGTCCTTCCGAAGCCTGCGGAATCATTAGCGTTGTCAAGAAACTACGTCCGAACCATGGACTAAACTAACTGAGATATGAAGTCTAGAACGACGCCCTTGGCGGGCAACTTGTAGACACGTCCGAAAGTTTTCACGTCGTTCCAGCCTGTCTCTTCTTCCTCGGACTCCTCTTCTTCGATCTCAATGACGCCATTGTTCTTCATGCCGCGGCTGAAAGCCGGGGTGATGACCGGGGCTCCTTTGATCTTCCGGAAGCGGTGAGCCGGTGCAAGCTCCTTGGGCAACTCGGCCAACAAATCGTCTACGTGCATCGGGCAACGCCATGTCCGCAGTACAGGCGGAATTGCCAGTGGAGGATCGAGACAGTCCAGATGCCAGTAAAGGCCGCATTGGCTGCAGGGAAGGATGGCACGGTTGTCGGCCGCTGGATGTTGGCAGTTATGACAGAGGACAGCGGAGCCATCGGCGTCCCGAACCTTGAAGAAGTCCGGAGCTTCCTCGTACCCTTTCTTCCTGAGGCATTTGTCAGCTGATGAGGTTCTCGACGATGGAGACAGATTCCAAGATGGGACGCTGCTGGGATCATCAGATGACGAGCAGTGAGATTCATCACTTACTTGGGCTTTGTCGGCACCACAATATCCTCATACTCGCCCTCGGGACCAACTTTGACGCCCTCAAAGTACACTTGAACACGCTGTGGCAGCTTGAAGGCTTGGGGGTTGGTCTTCTCCAGACTGTTCAGCAAACCGCCAAAGGGACCCTTGTGTTCGGGCACCCTGGTGGGGTATCTATTGCTGAAACAGACGTTGCAAAACCACTCCTCGGGGAGAGTATCGCCCAGGCCAAGGTCGACGCACTCAAAATGGAACGATCTGGAGCAGTTCTCGCAGCAAACCAGCTCTCCAACACCACCGCACGCCGAGCAGTAATCGTCGTTCTCGTCCTGATAGGGTTTGTTAGCGACGTACACTCGTGGGGGCGATTTGCGGGAAATGAGTAAGGATGGTGGGTGCAGCCTGGCCGGCAAAAAATGAGAGGTCGGGACTGGCCGCTAAACTCAGTGTCCCACGGGATGTGCGCCTTGGCCCCCGAAATCCATTCCCTCTCACGCCGCCGAATGCTCCTGTGCCCCCATCGTGCCGTCATCCCCCAGGGGCCGACTGCACTGGCTGCACTTCTTGCGGCAGCATCTGGCAAGACTGCAGCCTCGCGCTGAAATAATTAAATGTAAAGTCTCGGCTTACCTGGTTTGTTGGTCCTCCATTGGCGATGGATGCACCGCCCTCGCCGCTAGCTCGGGGCACACCAGCCGCAGTGCCTCCTTTCTTCTTCATGGGTCTGGAGAGACGCGTCAGTATTTGACTAGCTTCGACTGTGAGAGCGAGGTGGGATGAAATTCTTAGTAAGGATGATGGCGGCGATGAGAATGCTGCGGTGCGACGCTGTTCAGCTCGCCACCCACAGCTGTCGCACTCATCTCATGGACCGATGCCGCCACACATTGATGAACAAGGTAACAAACCCATGATGCGGAAAGGGGCAAAAGGAGACTCACGAGGTTTTGATGCGCAGACCAGTTCGCTGCTTCTTGGTTGGACGGAGGTTCGTGGGCGTCGCAGCCCTAGAGCTCGCTGTGGGCGTGACGTCTTCGAAGAATGACGGGGCGGTCGGAGAGCTGGTGTTGTCAATCTCGTCGTGTGTCCTTTTGGCTGATCTCGTGGTCCTCGTGCTCAGGCTGAGAATGAGAGTCGGGTTGGGAGCGGGCGTCCGAGTTGACTTGCGCAAATTCACCGCCGGCGAGGAGGCAGCCACGGAATCGGCCCTGCTTCTCATGTCTGATCCGCGAATGTGGCTCTCAGGCTGGGGCGTCTGGCTGATGGTACTATCGCGTGCATTTCTTCTGCGTGCGGTGGTTGCATCGTCGCTGGGCAACACACGGGGAACCTTGTCCTTGTTGGCGTTCTTCTTGCCAGCGGGTTTGGATGGTGCTGCCGTCGTCGAAAGGTTGGGGAAGATGGGCGAAGAAAGTCGACCAGGCATGTTGCTAGCCCCTGCAGCTTGAGATACGTTTGGGGGGAGGGTGGGTGAATTTGGGTTGGATGCGTCAGACACGCTCGTCTTAGTAGCAAGGGATCTGCCGCGTCTCTTCATTGGCTGGAGGTTGATTGGCGGTGGTGCGCTGGTTGAGGTGGTGTCGGTGTCGGCCCCAGCAGCCGTGGCAGCCGTCGTGGCACTGTGACGGCGACTGTGGCTGTTCCCTTGCTGAAATCCCGCGGGAACGGGCGGAGAGCTGGGAGAAGGCGAGTCGGGTGGCAGCGAAGGTGACGCAGAAAGCTCCGACAACGACGAGTCGCTGCTTGCTGAGTCTCTCCGGGCGCGCCTGCGGGAAGGTGTCGCGGCCGCCATTGTCGTTTCGGCTGCCAGTAGAGTAGATTCGTCGTCCATGTCCACGTCGTCAACGGGGGATTCCGGTGCTTTCCTGCGTTGGCCGGGCTTTTTGGTCGGCGTAACTTCCTGATCGTCTGACTTGGCAAGGTCGAGCGAGAGAAGCTTTCCGTAAGGTGCCGGCTTTGGCTTGTGAGGGGTGAAGCGCGCGTTGGTGGAAGGGGGCACGAAATAGTAGCAGGCCTGGTTGTCCTTCTTGCCTTCTCTCTTCTTGTCCTCGATAAGGCGCGAAAACTCGTCCAGAGTGTCTTCGTCGGCTGTTTGGTGGTAAACGTCCTCCAACATGGACAGAAAAGCTGGGTTGGAAGAATTTTCGTCGTAGAGGGTCCGGAGTGCCCACGCAGTGGGATAGCGATAATGCCGGAGCGCCTCCTCAACCGCGACCTCCACGGCCCTTTCAACGATCTCCTTGTTCTCGGGCGTCGACTCTGAAGGCTCCACGGCGTCGCTAGAGGGCGCCATCTGATGGACGGACGAGGATGCGCAGCGGCCTACTGAGGAGCGCGACAGACTCTTCCGTGAATGCGAGGCCGATGCACGACGACCCAGACCCTTTCCCGCGGCTACTTTGGGCGTGTAGTCCTCGTCCTCTTCGTCGTCTTCCGCACCACGCGCAGGCAGAGACTTCCTGGTCTGTTTCTGGACCGCAGCAGGAGGGGAGGGGAGGGACGGGGGTGGTGTCTCTGAGCGCTTTACTGCCGGCGCGCTTGCCGCTGCTGCAGCCGAATTTGCTGAGCTCGACTTCAGAATGATCTTCCTGACGGGTCCCGCGCCGTCCTGGCCCTGCTTCTTCGTCGCCGGTGCCTTGGGAAGGGTCCCGAGGGGTGCCATGTTCTCCGTGACGCCGTATCGCACCAACCCAGCCTCCTCGAAGCTCGGCTTGCTCTGCACCGTCGGCTCCAACCATTTCTGCATGAATGTCCTCGAGGCCTCGCTCGACCCGTTCGTTTTCTTCCCCGATTCCGCTCCTCCATTGGCATGCTGATGCGGGCTGGAAAATCGCGACCGCGTGGCTCTCGTGCTCGTGGGCATCATGGCAGCAGGGCTCTCGGGGGCCCCTGACCTCCTCGCCTTCGACCAGACAGGCAAACGCTCCGACTCGGACGCCTGCAATCGCGTTAGTTCGTGTCTTTGTACCGTGATGTGAGTTGTGGCTACTTCTCTGGTCTTTGAAGGCATTCAGCGATTCGTTTCGGGCGCGTTCCCTCCACTGTGCGACGCGAAGGACTTGGAAGAGTAGGAGGGATGGGGGAGAAAAGGGTGTGAAGCTGCGGGAGGACCTCGAGGATTTTCGGAGGCAACGGACTGGGGGGCTAAAGAGCTACAAAGCTACCTACCTCCTTCTGCCTTTTAGTGGAAGGTGCTCCTGGGCAGGACACCAGGTGGGCGGGCACAGGGGCCCTTTACACGGGCGATACGGTGAGTACAGGCGACAACCAGGGGGGCCGGGGGCGAGTCACAGGGCTCTTGGGTTCCCTTAGCTCAGAGCCACAGCATCACCCAAGCTCACTGTTGGCCCTGTGACTTATACATACTTTTGCTGCACGTTGGCGTCAGCCAAACTGACTTTCGCCGCCTGCCTTCTAAGCCAAGACAGATGCTTCGAGGACGTCACTCGATCTTTGCCTACAGTATGCGGAGAACCCCTCTCGAAGTAGAAAGAGACGAGTTTGCTGTGTGATACTCGCCCCAGGCTTTCGAGACGAAGGGTCTGCGCCTGCAAAGGGGCTAGGTTCTGCGGGAACTCACCAGACAGTCGCCATCCATCCGGCGGGTCTCTGCCGTGTCGACGACGACCAGGGGGGGCCGGCGACAGCAGACACGAGAACCTCTGGAATTGGGCAATCTTGTCCCACTCATCCTCGTGGCTCACTCTGTTCCCCCGGCCGACGGCTTCTCCTGGCGTGTTCAGTCTCATCGGCATTGCCCCCCTGTAGTCGTTCACATTATATTTCTCTGGTTCTCGAGACATCATCACCCTGCGAAGCGAAGCAGTGAAAGAAAGGCGTAAAGAACCCCTAGCCCGAGACTCTCTAGGGTCACTTGCCACTCGGGAATTTGGTTCAGGGGTCCGGCAGTCAGTCATGCTCAAAGGTCTGGGATGCAAAGTGTATGCAGATGACTTGTCTTTGTTGGGCGGCAGGTTTCCATCCTATTCTCAGCCAAAAGAACCAGCCGGCTTATCGGGAGCTGCTTGCCTGGGCCTCCTAAAGGGGGACTGCCCAGGCTGCGGATGCGGCTGGCTGGCTGAAGCTTCAGACGAGCGAGCCGCTCCTCGGCATTCCGACAAACAGTTGCGCAGCCAACCAGCCATCCATCCAACTCTGGCGTAGGACAAGCAGAGCGAGCGTTCCTGTTTCCGGCCTCATCCTGGCGGTGGCCCTATCGACTGCCCCAGGAGCAAAATCACATATTTGACTTTCACGACAAAAACAATTGTGGGCGCAAAATCGGGCCGCCCCCATTGCTCCTCTCATTGACAATCATCGCCATTTTCCCGCTCTGAGCTTACTCCTCGTCGCTCTCCTCCTCCTCCTCACCGCCTGCAGCAGCAGCCTTCTTGGCGGGCTTCTTCTTCTTCTTGTTCTTGTTCTTGCTCTTTCCGGTATTTCTGGAAAGGGGCTGTTCCAAGATCTTGAGGATCTCCTCGTCCTCAATCTTCTTGTCCGACTTGACCTTGCTGAGGTCCAGAGCAGGGGGCGCACCGAGCTTGGTGATGCCGTTCTTCGTGATGGCTGTCGGAGTGTTAGCATTTTGACCATTCGAGACGTGCAGCTGCAGTTTCAGGGGGTTTTACCAATCGTCGAGAGGTAACGGGCGACGGGGGAGTTGTCCTTATCGCCAACAACCTCGTACGCGCGGAAGACGTTGCCACGGACGCACTCGACGACACCGGACTTGGCGTCGCGCTCGTCCTCGAGCTGGCGCAGGCTGAAGGGGAAGGTACCGAACTTCTTCTGGACTTCGGAGAGGATCTTGCGGGAAGTCGGACGCTTGAGGCCGTAGTTGGTGGTGGTGCGGCGGTGCAGAGTAGTTCTCTGGTCGAAGGTCTTGACCTTGCCGGCGCCCAAGCTCACGCCCATCTCAACACCCCAAACCTCGCCGATCTCGGGGACACCGTCGCCCTTGGTACCCTCAGCAGGGGCAAGGACAATCTTCTTCTTGCCCTCAATCTCGTTGCGCTCGAACAGCCATGAAGTGGTGCTCTCAACGAGGTTGCAGTCGTAGGCCTTGACAACCTTTTCGAGCAGGCTAGTAATCTTCTGCTGGGAGGGTGCCTTGACGGCGGCGGCCTTGGCCTTCTCCTCGTCGGTGCCGGAAGCGAGCAGACCGGGGGGGATCATCAAGCGGAGGAGCAGCTCGTTGGCGTAGTAGTTGGCGAGGAGCAAGTCGGCGGAGCGGCCAGTGATCTCCTCACTGGACTTCTCCTTGGGCGTCGCGATGACGGTGTCGCAGACAATGGAGCCGAAGCCGTCGATCTGAGCACCGAGCTGGATCTTGACGGGCTCGCCCTCCTTGATCTCAACGCTGGCCTCTGCCTCATCAGAGGTGAGGGGAGTGTAGGGGGTCACGAAAGAGGCCGGCGAGACGGTAGTAGGGTGGGAGAAACCTGCGCAACGTGATCGGGGTCAGCGACGATTACGACAAGCAGCGACGGGTAGAGACAGACCCTTGTTGACCTTCTTTCCGCGGTATACCTTGGCAAGCTCCTCCTCGATGAGCTTGTCACCCTTCTCGCAGATGGTGACGATCTTCTCGCCGGGGACGATGAGCTCGGCGACAGCAGCCAGGACCTTCTCAGAGATCTGAGCGGCGGTCTTGTACTTGGTGAGCGTGTCGGGGTTGTTAAGCGTGTAGTCTATGACATGGTTAGCCATTGTCTTTTCCGTGTCGAGCCCATGGCGAGAACGCAGCTCGAGTCTCCCGAGTCTCCCAAGGCGCTTGCGCAAGAGAGAGACCTCGTCTGCTTTACGTGGCTTGCTTCGGGTGGTAGCGGGGTAGCAGCAGCGTGGGCAGTTTTGGAGCGTGTGACGCAAATGCAGCAGGAGCACGAACAAGACAGCACGAGTAGTAGGAGCAAGCAACAGGCGCTGCCTCGAGGGGTAGCAGGAGAGCTGCAATAAGGAAAGCAAAGTACTGACCGATCTCTTCCGACATGTTGGCGGTATTTTGGGGGGATTGGCTTAAAAATCAAAGGAATATCTCAACGATAGTGATGCACCGGTCCAGATCTCGAGCGACTGAACTTTGGGAAAGAGATGCAGGTGCAGTGCAAAGTTGGTTGTGGTCCGGCGCAAGTATTTTGACGACAAATACGTCGATTTTCAGGGCGGGGAAGGAGGGGCTCGTTGCTGTTTGTGGGTGCTCGGGCAGGTCAAGGTCAAGCAGGAGCAGGCGCAGGAGCAGGTGCGGCGGGTGCGGTGCAGGCAGGTCCAGTCAGGCATTCCAAGGTCCGGCGTCACGTACCTGTGGTGGGGAATATTTGTGCAAGGATCGCTTAAAACCCCCTTACGCATGTGGTGTGTTCGCGTGCCGCGTCAGGGCCATGCGCCAGCTGTGGGAGGTGACGAGCTTGTCTTTTTTGTTCTCCTTTTTATGCAAACTCGAATGGGTACAGTAGAGTTATGCGCTTCATGCTGGCTGCGGCGGCGGCGGCGGCGGGTCGCCATAGGGAAATTTTGCCTGGGACTGCAGCCTGCAACGGCCGTGAGGTCATAGAGTGAAGGATTTCGAACTCTCGAGGTGTACATACGTACGTACATGTGAGAAAAGAGCAGGAACCCTTATGGCTCGGCCGAGACTGAAGCTCGCCGGGAGAGCATTGCGAGACCAATCCAGCGCAACTCAGGACAACCCATCCATCCAACCCTCCATGCTAAAGGCCCTCACGTTGTTTCCGGTCGGTGAAAGCTCGGGCCGTACCGTTTCGACAGCTACACCAGATGGCATCTGCCGGGCCTCGATGAGTGAATGGCCTCATTTCTGAATACCATCCGCTAGCTGAGTGTGTGCATTCACCGCTACATCTATGGATACCCGACATCTTCTTATTGGTGCCAACCAAATACCGGGTAAAGGTCTTTACCGCGTGGTCAGACTAGGAGGGGTCAGAATGAAGTAAAAGTTCCTGGATTGGCCGCATCTTGCGGAAGCTGTCTATCCATCGTAAAGATTAGAAATGGCTTCACTTGAACCTAGGATCCACTTGCTCGGGCAGCCACATTCGACGATGGGTTTGGGTGTGGCACTCCTGTGGCAGTGCGGATCCAGAGGTGGACGAGGCGCTCAGAACGCGCTCAGGTCGTGACCAGACACGCCAGATGCTTGGTGCGGCAGCAACCGAGAGACGTGTGGAGGAAATAAGATGTACAACTCTGCCTGTTTTGTATGGAAAGGTACATCCGCTTCCTCACTTGGAAATTTTACCATTGGCGCTGGCTTGAACTCACCTGGAAGCCTGGCATTGGCCAGTTTGTGCTAACGCCGCAAAGTCTCCCCTCCAGACTCCGCTGCCTAATCTTACCGCAGGACATTGCTCCAGTACATCGGATGCGTTAGCCTACTTGAGCCAGCCTTCCCCGGTCGAACACCAACACGGAGGACAGGAGAGGCTGCGACAGACGTAGCAGAATCCACCTCTCTCACTTTCGATCGAACATTGAAGCCATCGCCAATTGGCAACCGCCACGACACGCGCAATACGAACATAGACCTGCTTGCGCGTTTCCGCTTCGAGCTCACGGCAGTCGCATCGCTGCGGCGATTCGGGAGCCTGCACTTTTCCCCAACATGGCCGCGCAGCCATCCACGTCTACGCCCACTGCGGCCGGCGCGACAGCATCCTCTTCGGCCTCCACGTCCGCGTCCGTCGCCAACGATCACGATGGCACGCCCCAGTCAGCCGCCGCCAAGGCTCTTCCCGTCCGGGACAAGGACTCGTTCAACAAACTTCAGGTTGAGCGCTACGTCACGCGCGATTGGCACCACTCCGTCGCGATGAAGGACGCCCAGGAGCGCTTCGAGAAGGACATGCAGCAGATGAGGGATAAGATTGATGACTATAACATCGTCAAGACCCAGCGCATCTACTTCCCACCGAGCAAACTATACGGCGAAGGATACCGTGGCTTCGGGAACGGCTACACCGACATCGATCCACGCATGAGAGCGCCCTTTCCGGCTCAGGTCATCTACCCAAGCCAGAAGCCGCGACCAGGAAAACGCCAGTCGCATCCGCTTAGGTGGAAGAAGAAGGAACTGAAGAAGCAGGCGGAGCAGCATGAAGAGCTTGTGCCGATACGGATAGACGTTGACTGGGAAAAAATCAAGCTACGCGACACCTTCACCTGGAACCTACACGACAGGATAATCCCGGCCGAGCTTTTCGCGCAGCACCTCGTTGAAGATTTGGGCGTCCCTCTGGATGCTCAACACAAACCCGTCCTCGACCAGGTCATCTTGCAGATGCGCGATCAGCTCAACGACTTCTACCCCCTGGTTTTCTCCGAAGAGGACGCGCTCGACCCGGAGCTGCCCTACTCTGCTTACAAGAATGACGAGATGCGAATATTGATCAAGCTTAACGTCACCATCGGCGGCGTGACCCTGGTTGACCAGTTCGAGTGGGACATCAACAACCCTCTCAACTCTCCAGAGGATTTCGCCGCCTCGATGACTCGTGATATGGCGCTGTCAGGCGAGTTCACTACGGCGATCGCGCACAGCATCCGAGAACAGTGTCAACTATTCGCAAGAAGCTTGTACAGCGTCGGGCACCCCTTCGATGGCCGCCCGGTCGAAGACCCTGATCTGGTCGCCGCCTTCCTACCTTCTCCACTACCGTCCGTCTTCAGGCCCCAGCAGCAGGCCAAGGAGTATGCGCCATATCTATACGAACTCAGCGACGCCGATTTGGAACGAAACGAAGTCATCTTCTCCCGAGAACTGCGGCGTCAAAAGCGCTCCATCAACCGTCGCGGTGGGCCGCAACTTCCAGATCTCAAAGAAAGACAGCGTACCATCAGGACGCTCCTTGTTTCGTCCGTGCTCCCAGGGGCCGCCACGAACATTGAAGAGAGCACATTATACAAGCGCGTCGCTGGCGCTCCGAGCACTCGCAAGAGGCCAGGAGCACGCGATGGCGAGGTGTCCGATTCTGACGACAGCGAAGACTCCGGGCCCGATTCGCCGGGTGTCTCTCAACTCGGTGGTGGTGGGGGTATTGGTGGTGGTACGGCCAGGACGAGAGGTCTTCGCGGTGCTGCAAGTGCTGCTCAGCAAAGGATTACAAACCTCGGCCGCTCAGAAACACCTGAGGCGAGCATCGTCCACCACCACGAGACTCGCAGAAACGTCGGCCGCTCGCTGCGTGACACTCGTGACGAGACTGAGGAGCCTACCCAGCTGGTTGTCACACTGAAAGTTAGCAAGGACAAGCTGAGGAGACTCCTCCAGAATCCGAGATCAAGGGTCACGCCGAGCGGATCACAGACTCCCTCGACACCCGCACACACTCGCATACCCAGCGCGGCTGCTGCGGCGGCGGCGAGTTCAATGCCTCCGCCGTCTACGCCGGCTTCTAACAACCAAACACTTCCCGCCACGCTTGGCACTCCTCTTCCTCAGGGCCAGATTGGTCGACAGCCTGCACCACCACCCGTTGCTGGCCAACCGCCGCCACCTCCGGTAAGTCACTCTACTTCAGTGTTATGATGGACAGGATCGTGGTTTCATTGGTAACAGAAGCTGACCTTGATTAGCCTCCGCCTCCTGAATGGCTCAAGAACTGCTTGCAGCAACTCAAGAATACGTATACCTTTGACAACTTTGAGGGCATGATGAAATACTCGGCCATCAATCCAGACACGGAGATGCCCATATCCGTACCAGCAGGATCGCAGCCGCCAGAGGGAGCCAAATGGATGTTCCTCCCACGCATTCGATGCCTTGACTGCCCTGGCAAGCTGTACACCCCTGGCCCTGAGATGACGGCTGGTAATTTCGAGGTCCACCTGCGAAACAAGCAGCATCGTCAGAAGGTGGACGCCAGAGAGGGCAAGGATACGTCGCCGGCAGCTATTGGGACATCATAAGGTGATTGCATAGCAATATCGACCCCAAAATGAGTGCCTGGACTGAGTGAGTCAGAGTACAACGAAGCCACTTTGGCAATTCGGTACCGAATGGGCAGCCTGCTACCGCCACTCATGAATGGCCGATCAGGAGAAGAGTTGGACAACAACACAGGAGGATTAATACCTGATGTCCTCCGGACATCATTTGCAACCCTATCGGCCAGTTCATGCCAAACCATGACTTCATTCAGCTCATCCAGCATTGTCGTCAAATTTACAAGCAACGTCCAGGCACTCGGGGGCCCTTTCTGAGCGGTTGACAGCATCCGACGCCTGTACAAGAGACCTATCTTCATTTCTCATTTCATGTGTTGCTTGTAGAACAAAAGACGCTATCACATAGGCATCATGGTCATGGTCATGGTCAGAAGCTGCGTACGAAGGGGGTGCAGAAAAGAGAAGCGAGAGGCAGGTACTAGAACGATTTCCTGGTTGAAGGGGTTTTTTGTTAAAAACAGGTTTTGGGAGTTCAGATCCTGCTGGTCTAGCAGGATAGGAATTGGCCGGAGTTTTTTTATCGATCGGGGTGTGCCTGTGTGTGTTTATAAGGAGCAACTGAAAGAGAGTGTGTCGAAGAGATGAGGGGAGCTGGCGGCGGCGGCGACGGCCTACTCTACCTTGGAACTGTACACCCGACGTTGACGAGCGCGGCTTCTGAGTGGGTCTGTTGGTAGTAGGAATAATACCACGAAGAGGCTCAAGAACTCAACGTTCCTTACATAAGTCTTCCATGTATGTGCTCGCGTGTGTGCCATCCACAGGAGGGAGATGGCCCCGAGGCTCCGAGGTCAGAGGTGCTCTGAATCGTCGATCACGATACGTTTTGGCGCAGGATTACCAAGTTCGCTTCTTTGCTCGTTGCGGCGTCCTTCAACACAACAGACAAACACTCGGCTTACTGTAGAGCATGTATACACTGAAGCGCAACAGGAACTCACCGACTCTGGCTAGAATTAGATTACTATGTTTACTTAACCGTAATAGCAGCATTCCGCCGGCTTCGATCCTAGTATCGGCAAAGAAATCAATCAAACCAACCCCTGACGCAGACTTCAAACAATCAAACACTAAAGACGAGAAATTTTCCGTTCAAAACTCCAACGAGGGCTGTCTTCATCCGAAGAGTTCTTTTGATCAGGATCGACACCCCGTCCGGAGACACGCCGTCTCCGGGAAAGTACATCATGCAGGAGCTCAAAGCAACAAGGTCGTGACATCCAGAACAGCGGTGTCCTGCTCATGGATCTCAGCGTAGGCCTCGGACACGCTATCCTCAATCTCGTCGAGGTCCTTAGAATCGAGGACAATACGCTCGACGTACTGTGCGACGAGCATGTCGAGGTCGCCCTCTTCAGAGGCGGCCAGACCCTGCAGCTCCCCTTTGTTCTTCTCCTTCTTCTTGGCCTCCTCCTTCATATTCTTGATATTGACCCCAATGTCTTTGAAGCACCTAAGCTTGTTCACGTTGCGCTGCTCCCGGGTGAGTTCCGGGCGCACAACGATGGCCTTGAGGCAGAAGTAGAGCTCGGTCAGGATGACGAGTCTCGGGTCCGCGGCGGCCTGGACCTCGAGAGGCGGGAGCTCCCTCTTGGCGAGGGACTTGGTCTCGTTCTTTTGGGGCCTTGGGCAGCCCTTCTCCGCGGCGAAGACGTCCACCTCCTTTGCAAACATCATGGTGCACTTGATGAAGGTCTCGGGTCCGATGATGCCTTCGGTGCAGTTGGGCCTCATCCTCTCGGGCAGGTTCGCGCCGCGGGTCTTGAAACAATTCACGAAGCGATCCTTGGCCGCCAACGTTCGCTCCTTGGGAACTGCCCGGAAGCGCATGAGGCCGCGGCCGATCGGGTTGTCACAGAGGTCGATGACCTTGGGGATCTTGGTGGCGGGTGTGGTTGAGTTGCCGGATGGGGTTTTGGTGCTACGGGGGCCGGCGATGGCGAAGCCGGCGAGGGCCACGACGAGAACGTTCTTGACAGCAACCATTTCGTCGGTTGTATAGGGTCAAGTTAGAAAGCAGATTTGTAAGTGTATGTTGTGTCACTTTCAAAGATGAGAGCAGCTGCGACTACTGAGGATGGATACAGCGGAAGAATGGACGGGGCATTGGCATGATGTTCGTCTGCTTATATATAGCTTTTCCCTTGTAGTCTGGCACGGAGAAATGGCATGTTGGAGATGAGGATTTTCCCTCGTCCATAGCCGTGGCTCGAGTTGTCTATCGTTCGTGACGCTCAGAGAGGAAGACTAAACCAAAGCCTGCTTGAAGCTAATCCAACACCGGTCCCAGAGTTCTTCAATAAGCTGGATAACGACCGAGCTTTCTTTGGGGTATAACTACCTTTGCAGCCGTTGAAAGCCATAAACACCCAATTTCTGTGTGAGCTTGCAACCCGTGTTCATCGCGTCTGCGTCTATGTCAGTCTCGGTATGGGAGTCAAGCCTAAGAATAAACAAAGCATGAAATCTATGAGTCGCAGCAAGAAAAATGCCATCCAAAGAAGAAAACGGACATAAGCCCAACCCATATGACTGGGTATTGTCGACGCTAGCCGCAAGGGTAGTGACGACCGCAGGCACGTCACCGGAAACAAGATCAATAAACACGAAGTCCAGCAATTCTTCGTATCAGCTGATCTTGCACCTTTGAGGCTGGAGATGGCCAAGCTACCATCCGGGTCTGTGGCACCTGACTTGTCGTGATCTCACCTGCTCCTCCCGCAGATCCAGCCGTGTATGCAGGCTCGTAGAACGCCCAGTCCCTTCCGAGTGTAACCCTCGCGACGTGTGCGACGTGTCCCACGACACCACCAAGCTTACTGCCTCTGGATACCAGACTTGGCCACTTGGCTGTATTAGGACTGACATTTGAACAAGCTTTGCTTGGCATATGGTGGACTTCTCTGCTTGGGGCGCCTTCCGTGACAACCCATCGTCGTTTATCATTCCGAAGATATTGGTAGACTTTGAACAGCTTGTAAATACCATAGACCGAGTTCAAATTAAAGCGTCCAGACATTTACCGCGAAGGTCCTAACGACGCACGACTGCGGTTTCGCTTCTGACCAGCATGCCCTTACCGGAATAAAGACACTCCTTTTTATTTATTTGTTCTGATTTTCTGGTGGGGGTGGCTAGTTTGAAACCTCATACAGGCTAATCTCATGTCCGCCCAGCTTCCCCAAATCAACGTTTTCGGAGGGTACTAAAGGCCGGAGCGGGGTGTCCGATGAAATACGACATGAATAAGAAGATCTCCCGTTTCCCCTTGCCAATCCCTGGCTACTCGGTCCGTTCAATGTCCGTTTAAATTGCTCGTGACTTAATGCGTCCAAACACCCTCCCAGCTGTTCGACATTATTCGCAATATACTATATCCAATGTCGCGATTCCCCCGTCCCGAACTTCCGTCATGGGATCTCTTTGCGAATGATTTATAAGTGATGAGGCCGCCTGACGGTTATATAACGACTTCTTGTTCTCTATCCGGTTTCTAGACCACGCTCATTCCACCTAGTTCACCTAGCCAAACCGCCAACATGAGGGCCACCGCTCTGCTGTCCCTCCTTCCCCTCACGTCCGCCAAAGTCCTCTGGGACGGCCGCTTCAATGACCTCTCCTCCTCCTCGGACCTCAACAAGTGGTCTTGGGCCAACCAGGTCGGTCCCTATCAGTATTATATCCACGGCTCCGGCGACGTGACCAAGTACGTCAACCTGTCGCCCTCGTACAAGAATCCCAACGACACGGCCTCGAAGCAAGGCGTCAAGATCACGCTTGACAGCACGGCATACTGGAACGGTCAGAACATGCGCCGCACTGAGCTCATCCCGCAAACCAAGGCCGCTATTGGGTCCGGCAAGGTGTGGTACCACTTCAGCATCTCGCGCAAGGACGTCAACGCGCCGAGCGTCTTCCGGGAGCACCAGATCGCCTTCTTCGAGAGCCACTTCACCGAGCTCAAAAGCGGGTGGATCAGCGGCGAGCAGGGTACTAGCAACAACAACCTGCAGTTCATGGTCCAGGGCAAGAGCCTGTGGAAGACGGAGTGGAAGCCGGATGTGTGGCACAACGTCGCCTATGAGATTGTGAGTCTGGGTTTTCTCGTGTTGCTCTCCAAGATGCCTCGCCCGTGACGATCTGACGCGAGCAAGCTAGAAAGGTAGCCAAGGGAGGCAGTGACTAATAACAAGGTGCTGTAGAACTTCTCTAGCGGAGCCGTTAGCTTCTGGCACTCTGAGGGCGGCGCGCCCCTGCAGCAGGTTGTAGCCCCGGTCTCTGCTCCGACTTCGTCCAACGGTCAGGACTGGCATCTGGGCGTTCTCGAGCTGCCTCGCAGCGGCTATGCCGACGCCAACGAGGACTTTTACTTCTCCGGTGTCTACATCGAGGACGGCGCCATCACCACTTCCGTCACTGGACCTGGTAGGTCCCCATGACCTCGACTGAGATGCCAATGACTGACACCTATCCACGCAGCTGCATGATAAAGCCTTGAAAGCTTCTATAGAAGGCACGGACTTGATGAACATATTTAACCAGGGAAACAACATCGTACATACTTCACCCCACCCTGTGTATATATCACTCTTAGAACGCAAACAAATGAAAGTGGAAAGCCAGGATCTCTCTTTTCCTGTGCAGCTATTCATCCGTTTACCTTGTCAACCCAAATGCCCCGATGAACGAGTCTTGTGTCTCATGGCCCGCCGTTCATGCCGCATCTGTCGAACGGCAAGTCTACAGGAAATCAGTGGTTGTAGTGCCTCGTGTTCACTTCTTTGTCGCCATTGTAGTTTGAACCACGCTGTTGGCAGTAAGATCCGTAGCAGGCACCTGGCAAGAACCGAGAGAGGTATGTGTCATACCAGGGATTGGGCCGAGAGACGGGTCCCAGCCAGTGATTCCGGCCCAGTACGTGCAGTACTGTGTGTTGCTATTGCAGTACTTGTACTTGCAGTCGACGGAGGCGAGGGTGGTGGTTGTGGGACGGTCGGTTCTGACATTGATCACAATCGTATCAGGCTTGACTGTATTGATAGTCCAGAGAGGGTTCATTTCAAGGACGGAGGTGGTGGTGACTGTAGTGTGGAGGTAGGTCATATCGGTGATGGCAGTCGTGACAGCTGATGAAGATACAGCGTAGTTCTCGACGCTTTCGCCTCTGAAGACCGTGACAGCAACTACAGCTCCAAGAGCTACAGATGTGAGGGTGAAGATGATGAGGGCAAAGGTAGAGATCCGCATTGTGAACAATGAAACGGTGGATGTGAACTTGGTGAAGACTGCTTGATGCCGTTCGTGGTCAATTAAGAGCTGCCGTTCTTGTTCTGAGAAACAAACTTACCTTGAGAAAGATTAAGATTTTGATAAAGATCTTGAGCTCTGTGAGTGAGTGGTTGGTTGTTGATTTGAGATGGAGGATTGACGTGTTGTCCAAAGAGTCAACGACGTAAAAGCCAAGACGCTAAAGATCTTGCTTGTCGAAGAAGACGGATTTTGGGTAGGCAGTGAAGGAAGAGAGAAAACAATATGAGCGCGAGCGGCTTGAGATAATTAGACTCGAGTGTCAAGAGGCCTTTGACTCTGTTCTGAGAACTCAATGAAGGCCCTTCAATCGAAGTGGCAGGTGCGATGAGACTGCTTTCCCGAAATGGACATAAAACGAATAGCTGAGGTCCAGTCAGTTATTCCCACGTCTTTGACCACTTTGCCTTTTCTACCAAAGTGAGAAAGAAGGGAGGTGTAAAACTCACAGGGAAGGTGCCCATTTTAAATGATCAGCTTCACCTTCCTAGTCTGATACGTTGCACAAGACGGGAGGATGTAACAAAGCACAGTCTGACTGAAGCTTCTGTTGGACCACACTTCAAGAGGAGAGGAGTACCAAGACGGGTTCATATTTGCACATCTCTATAGAAGCTCAGAGCTGAAGATAAGACTTTCTAGAGTTTTCTCACTGCATACTGATACGACGCCGAGCTTCCTGTCAACTTTATTGCCTTCATCTAAATAGTCGAGAGCCCGACGAGGCGTGTTTGCAGAATGTCAGTTGCCGTTGGCCGAGTATGACATTTCACAGGATGGTGCGTCTCGATAACATACTGTCGACTAAAACGGCCAAGCTTCAGGCCTCGTAATGCCTGTTTGCTTTCCTGATCACAATGGAACGTAATCACAAGGAGGACCTAGCATCATTGTACATAAGGGCAGCTTTTGTGTGAAGAACTGGTCCTGTTTACTATGAGCAACCATGAGCCAGATTATTATACGGGTAGCCAGTCACGCCCAAACCACGTTCTCATCCAATAACCTAGGAAGACGCCAGTTGCGCAGCCGCCTTGATGTACAGTGTGAAGACGATACCAACGCTGGCCGCCCACACAATACTTCGCAATGGGCCGAAGTTGCGGTTATCCTGCAGGCGCACATAAACGATGTTGTACAACGCTCGGCAGCCAACGTAGCCCAGGGCCAGGACGTTGACGGTGAGGGCATCGACGCCGGCCACGTTGGCGGCCACGACGCCGGCTGCATAGAACCCCAGCGACTCAAAGGCGTTTTCGGACGCGGCCTTGGCGCGGAGGATACGGGCCTTTGCCTGGTTCGCGAGCGTGTGAGACAAGAGAAGGGGTTACGGGCCATGTAGGCGCTGGGTGAGTGCTTACAATCTTGTCCAGCTTGTCGTCGGCGGCGACGTTGTTCTGGAGCTTGCGTGGGTTGCAGAGGTCGTAGTGCGTTCCTGATGAGGCGACGGCGTAAATGTTGGGCAACATCGCCATCACAAAGGCTGCCGGAACCTACGCGCGATTAGCTTGAGATGCATCACATACGAACGATGTCAACTCACAGTGTAGAGGGAAAGGCCCTTCTGGGCAAGATCAAGACTGAAGAAAGACATGTTGATGAGCGTCACTGAGGCGTTGAAAGATGCCGGGTTAAGATGCTCGAGAGGGTACGAGCGTTAATATGTTGTGAGGGCTTGGGAATGAACTATGGTGGGAATCTTCTATTTATTCAACGTGAATCATGGGAAGCACGGCCTTCAACGTGCCCGAACGGAGACACTCAACGACCTTAATCCAGTGGGGAGATGCGGCACCGAGGCAAGTTGGCCGCACAGGTTTGGCGTGTGAAGTCATAACTACAGATGAGTTTAGCAAGGGGTCCGGTCTGTCAACCTATCAAAGGTACACCGCGAGAGTATCTCTGCGACAACGGACGGTTGCGGGAACGCTAACTCTGGTTGCCAATCTAGTGCCAGGAGACTAACAGGTCTACTAGTGATGACACTTTTACAAAATGACATGGATGAAAAAATGTCTAGCAGATGCAACACTCGATTGGCCAGCAAGATCTCAACCCCTGTTGAAGTATCAGGGTGGGATCGTGATGTTACATCCAAAAGTCGGCATTTATACACACCGACCAATTCGACATTTGTCCTTGCATAACTTGCAGGATTTAGCGTTGTGTAAGAGAAATACCCCAGAGTCCTGTCCGGCCCTGCCATTGGGGGCGGAATGGCATCACACAAACTGGAAACGTTCCGATGCGTTTTCTTTTCTCCGGCCTTTTCGTTTTGTTTTGTTTTGTGCACCCACCCATTTTGTTCAGCCTCCAAAATCGCACCATTGGAGTATATTTGTTTCTGATGCCGCTGACTCTTTACCCAGCATCGGAGGTTATGGACGGAATGCCTCTATCTCATGTTGGGCCGTTTCGTTCTGAAGACAAGGTTGTCATCTGAGGGGAATGCGACGTCTTGGCAAACGCACATACACATCCCTCGCGACAGATCACCAGCAGCGGCGCGCTTGCCTTTCACTCTCATGTCCTTGCGAGTCTCTGACATAAGACTCTCTCCCGAATGACTGGTCACCGCGGAGGAAACAACATTTTTGAGGGGTGCCTCACTTACACAACTAACTCTCGACAGCATTTCGATTGTCCATTTCTCCAGCAACAGTTTCTTGCGACAAGCCAGCTGTTTCATAACGGTCATCATAATAGGGCTTCTCATCGACGGAGACCATGAGCTCCGGCCAATGAACGCTTTGAGCGCTCATCGACCAAGGCATGACTGCGGTTTCCCACGCTGCTTTCAGTACTGGGCTCACGTTCTTCTCCCCTTTCCCGCCAGGATTGGACACAGCTTAGCCATGGAGCAAGGGCAGCAAGAGTGTCCTCAACTGGACTTGTCGTGGTGGCTTGTGCAGGCAGCAATCCGATGTTGTGAGTGCCCACAAACGCGACCGAAAACTTTTCGCCCACAAAGTCGCTGACTGACTTGCACCAGGCGGCTATTCTGAGGTATGCAACTGACTCGAAACTCACGAACCTCCGTTTTGGAGAACTTGCTCCGCCGCGGAGCCATGAATGTTGGGTGGTGCTCTGGGCTTCCGGGGGAATTGGGACGAGCTCTCGCAAAGCGCCCAATCCCCCGACTCATGCTCCCCAGGTTTCCTCAGTCTCATCCTGGTTCGGGCCTCCAGTCGCCAACGGCAGCAGGCCTGCTACTCTCACCATCAGAGTCCGACGAATCAAGCGATTCGATTTTGACAAATCTCGTCTCAACGGGGGGACCCGAAGGCGACCACGCTCATTTGCAATTCTCCAGTGAGATGCCAATAGATCGCAGCTGTTGCGACTCTGCGTGGCTTTCAGTGCATACTGATGCAACACTCACCCCTGCATGCCATCGAAGAGCGTCGAGCGACGACGTTGATATCTATGCGGGAAGAGCGCCTCCCCAGGCTAAGAAGAAAGTTACAAGAGCGATCCATGTGTTCGAGTTCAGCTTCGTTGATGCCTAGTATGTGCAGCTACTGAGCGAAGAGACTAGACAACTGTGGTTCTCAATAGCCTGACGGCTACAGGTATAGCTCTTGCTACAACATACTCGGAAAGGGCACCAGGAGCATGAAACGATGAGACGGATGCGAGCCTAGCATGAGGGAAGCAAGCCAGTCGAGAGGAGATCAAGTGGGATCCAGAAGGTGGAACAAAAAGAAAAGAAAAAAAAAAAACCAGGCATCCTTGGGCTGCAAATGCGTTCAAGCAAACAGCAAACGGAAAATGCATGCACCTCTGGAATGCGACCAGAGCAGGGATGCTGATGAGACTGGATGCCAGACCACACAACTTTGAGAAATTGGGTTGGTCTAGACGAAAGCAGCATGGCGGCGTAGCACGCGCGCACACTGACTGATTCATCAAGCGGGAAGACTCGCCAACCAGCACATTCAGCAAGATACTCATGCATTTTGTTTTGCGTCAGGTTGCTTTTACTAGTTACCCCCAGGGTACGTGTGTGGTGTGTGGCCGGACTTGCATGAGAGGAGGACCTGGGGGGATGTTGAACGGTGAGTGAGTGAGCGAGCGAGCGAGGGATGAGAAGCGCTCCCGCTTCTCGAGAGGAACGGGCGCGGTGCACTTGGGCGCTGGAGAAGCACTGAACACCCTTCCCAGGTCCCCCAACAGACAGATCCTGCTCCATAAACTGCAAGGAAGCGTACGCCGCAAAAAGTTGGAGGGTCCGGTCCAGGCGTCCCCATTGGAGAGGCTATCTGGCAAGAGAGATTACGCGCACTGTACCTTCTCCTTTTCGCCCCCCGGCTCTTGATCCTCGCGTCACTCATTCTTCTACTTCAACCTGTTAAGGGTGGGCCATGGCTGGTACAGTGTCCAACTTATCCGATAACAAATCTTTTCCATCAACCCCCCAATCTAGCAACTGCCCATTCGGCCTGTGACTTCCAGAATCACCTACTCGTCCAGCGGCGCCCGTAGACCGACAATTTTCTGGTCGACCATCCACGACGGAATTCAATCGCGATCAATTGCCACGACCCAACACCACCCCTTTCATCACTTTTGATCGTTGATTTCATCTCTGCGACGCACGGAAAATATCTTCGACATTCCGTTTTTGCCCAAAACGGATGTCGCGGCAGCTCATGACATGACTGAGGTCGGGCCTGCCGACCGCTCCAGGCTTTTGCGATTAAAACGCGATGAATTCTCGTAAGTAATTGCACCGTTCGATAGAGCTCGCTCTTGCGAGCCCGGCGATACCAATTTCGTCGTGTTGATAATTTTTAGTTCAATTGTAACGTCGAGGAAGCGGAAGCTGCGCCAGCTCTTCGCTGTCGCGACCGAGAGCGATGCACTCCCGACAAACGACTTCGCGAACCCTGACGCGCCGCCCACCTCAGCAGCCGAGCTGCAATTCCTGCAGACCTGTGACATCTCACAGTACGTTTTAACTTTCTTGTCGCGCTTTTTTGGTTTGATTTGGGTCGCGTCTGGGTTGCTTTTGCTGCTGGTTCGTCGCTTACACGACTTACAGAGGACGGAAGCTCAACGAAGCGAATGTTCCTGCCCGACCTCAACTGCGCTACGATGTCTTAAGGAACTCCCTCGATAACTCTGGCCTTTTCGCACCCGAGCCTGCGCCTGCGCCTCCCGCCAAGCAAGATGCCTCTGCCGAATCGCAAGTGAACAACGCTCCTGCGCCCGCCCAACGACGGCCTGTAGCTGCAACCACCGAAACGAACGGCATCGCACCGTCACCTCGAACACCCGCTGGCTTTACTCTTCCTTCATCACTCCCGCCAAAGCCTCCGACGCCTGTATCTACTGCAGCGACGCCAGCGACTTCGACTCGATCCGACGTTGCCAAACCGTCTGCTGTACCCGCCGTTGCCGTCTCGCCATCATCAGCGTCGGTTCCCACGAAGGATCCCCTCCACGCATCACGGGAAGAGGGTAGCGAGGCTGCAGATGCAGATGTTGCTGAGAAGCCCGCGTCCTCTCCCGTGCGCAACGAACCTAGTGGCGTCTCTAAGCAGGCAGAGTCCAAACCAGCCGATGCGCCACAGGTGGTTTCTCCTCAACCCGCCCCTCAACCACCGGTTGCCCATCTGCCCCCTCGGCCAGATACTAAGAGACCCGAGGATACGAATCCTCTGACTGTGAAGCTCCCGTCCGATGCCGCGAAGGTAGCAGATGGGTTTTCTTCACCGGGCTCGACAACACAAACAGCCGCGACCCCTGCTGTTCATGATGTTTCCACAGATACCAGTCCAGATAATGAAGGACCTCAATATGTGGAACGGCTGGAAGTTCGAAATGAGGCCGATGCAGTGGACAGGGCCGATGAAGCAAAGGAATCCGATACCGGGCGTTCTTCTGATGCCGATCCGCTCAACGGCAGAATTCCGGACGGGCCCGAGGCCCAGCTTCTGCAAGAATCAATGGCGATGGACTCCAAGCCAACACCACCACCACTTGAAAACACCGCGAAGCAGCCGTCGCCACCTACCGTCCCTGCTGTACCCGTCGCACCTTCAAAGGAAGCACACGAGTCCACCATACCCTCTACCCAAAGCATTGCGCGAGATGCTCCCCATACGACGGTTGGGCCCACGATGCCTCCCGCACCCAAAGAAATTCCGGATAGCCAGGAGTCTCAAACCGCAGATAGTATGGACGTGGACCCGCCCAACAACACCCAACCAGAAGAGAAACCTTCTGTCCCGGTACCAGATACCAGTGTTCAACCTAGCCCAGCCGAAACCCAAACCCCATCTCAAGCATCAACGGAGACGCCACAGGATCCAGAGAGAGCAGTCACTCGAACCGCATCAGGCGCTATAAGACAAAAGTCTGTTGCCGAAATCTTGGGAGAATCCAAGCCTGCAGACCCTACTCAGACTGGCGTGGCTGTCAGGGTACCACCGAACCAGCTTACGCCAATGACATCTACTCCTCAATCCCCGACGAGACCAAAAGTCTTCGCGAACAAGAAGAAAGAGAAGGAGAAAGTCAAGAACAAACCTTCTGCTGTGGTCTTTGGCAAACAAACCAAGCGATCCGTCGACAAGTCCCTCGTGCCCAGTCAGCAGAAACAAAGCTTTCTTCCCACAGACGACTATTTCACGCCACTCTTTGTTCAGGGCTTTACCCAGACGTCAAAGTGGATGAAGCCGATAGAGGTTATTCTCAACCAATCCCACAAGACGGTATCTACACCGGACGCCTATGTGGCCATCCAAGACAACCAGGCATGTCGAGTACTCCGCCGTGTCTATCACCTGCAGCAGCATGACAAATGGTCGTTGCGGCAGCCCAAGAGATGCCCGGAACCTGTACGCCCAGAGTCCCACTGGGATGTCTTGCTCCAAGAGATGAAATGGATGAGAACAGACTTCAGGGAAGAGAAGAAATGGAAGCTCGCGGTCGCTCGCAATCTTGCACACGCTTGCGCGGAATGGGTCGCTTCAACAGAGGAAGAACGCAAGGAGCTTCAGGTTCCTGCTTATATCCCGCCGAAGCCCCAGTCGGTTGACGCCGAGGCCGACACATCAATGGTTGATGCTACGTTGGATATTGTCGACGCCCAGGGGACGCCTGAGTTGGTGCCCTCTGGAGACCAGGACTCCCCCGATCAAGTCGATGAGTTGCGTGAAGAGGTTCTTGAGACGATCGCACCCTCTGCCATATTTGCTCTCGAAGAGGACGACGTCGTGTTTGAGCTTCGAAGCTCTCCGACCGCCGATCAGCTGCTGCAGGAGCTTCCGATGTACGGAGCGCCTCTCAAGGTTCCTGCATTTGATTTTACTGGCCCTGAGTTCGACCCTGATGCGCACTGGCGTCGCCCTGCTCTTCCGCTCAGCAAGTACGTTGAAGGCGAGATGAAGCTCTCATCAGAGGGGCCCCCAAGGAAGCGGAGCCGATATCAGTACGAGGAGGAGGAAGATGATGAGGACGAGAAGATAGTGTTTGGATCTCATCCTACGAAGAAGATGAAGCTGCCGCCGCAGAACGTCAACGTGGCTCTGTTCAATCCCGAAATGAAGTCTATCAGGGACCGCCTCCACGCGGGCCATCAGTTCCGACCCCCGGCAGAGTATCAGATGCCGATGCAGAGCTTCTACGAGTGCCGCAGCCCGTCACAGTGGACTTTACCCGAGGATGACGAATTGCGGAGTCTGGTTCGCGAGTACTCGTACAATTGGTCACTCATTTCCAGCCTCCTCACTCCAAGGTCTGTTTTCACGTCCGGAGCAGAGCGGAGGACGCCGTGGGAATGCTTTGAACGTTGGATCAACCTCGAAGGCCTTCCTACAGACATGCAAAAAACACAATACTTCAAGGCATATCAGAATAGGATTGATGCTGCCAACCGCGTCATCATGCAACAGAACCAGATCGCTCAGCAACAAGCCGCTGGCTCGACAACGCCAGCGACGCCGGTCGCTAGGCGCAGACCGTCGACGCCTCTTAGGGTCGAGCGACGACGCAACCAGAAGCACCTGACGCTGATCGATGCCATGAGAAAGCTGGCCAAGAAGCGGGAGACTGCAGCTCAGAAGCAGCAGCATGCCACCCAGATGGCTGCTATGCGCAAGGCCAACGAGGCTGCGCAACCCAGAGGACCTACCAAGACACCTAGAGACTACAGCTTGATGAGGTGGGAGCGTGACCAACAGCTCGCCGAGAAGGTGGCTCAATTCCACCAGCGCCAGGAGACCCAAAGAAGGATTGCTATGCAAGCACGGCAAGGTCAAGTCGCTGCCCAGATTGCAACCACTCCTGGTGCCGGCCAGGTGCAGCCAACCCCCGCGGCGCAGGTCAACGGCAACATTCCTCGCCCGAACATGCCAAACCAGCTCGCTGTTCCGGGCCAGGCCGGCCGAGGTCGTATGCCGATGCAAGCGCCGACAGCCAATATGGGTGGTGTTCCGGCCCAAATGGGCGGGCTAGTTCCCCCTGCCATGCAAATGAATGGAGTTCCTCAAGCGCAGATGCAAGCGGCGATGCAGGCCCAGCATAGGATGCCTATGCCCAACCCGCAACCTGATGTCAATCTCATGCTCCAGGCTCGTCGCATCTCGGAACAACAGCGGCAAGCTGTACAGTTGCAGCAGGCTCAGCAGCAGGCACAACAACAGGTCCACCAACAGCAACCGCAGCAGCAGCAGCACCAGCTACCACAGCAGCAGCAGGGTCAGCCGATGCATCAGGGAACACCAACCTCTCATGCATCTCAATCTCACTCTCCGCCTAACATGCGACCTGCTTCGGTCAATGGCGTGAATGGTGCTAATGGTGTCAACGGCGTCAACGGCGTCAATGGTGTAAACGGCGTCAACCAACAAAGCATCTACGCAAACGCCCAAGCCATGATGGCATCAATCAACAGTGCCAATAGCGCCGGAGTGTCAACACCTCCAGCTGGTGGTCTTCACATGCCGAATGGCGCTTCGGGCTCTCCTCGACCCCTGACCCAGGTGCCTGCAAGCATTCAAGTCCAGCTTAACAACCTGGAGGCTCAGTACAGGGCAAAGAACCCGAATCTGACGCCCGAGCAGGTCCGCCAAGCTGCCACGGAATATCTCACGCGCTTGATGATTGCACAGAGAACGACCATGTCGCAAAACGCTATGAATGCGGCTGCCGGCGGTGGAGGTGTTGCGTCTCCTGGTATTGCTAATGGCCTTGCAGCCACCACCAGCCCGCATCAATATGCCGCTCTCCTCAGACAGCAACAGCAGCAACAAGCGGCTGCTGCTGCTGCCCAGAATGGCCAGCCTCAGACTGGTCAGCACCAACAGACACACCATCAGCAGCACCATGGCCAACAACAAGCGCAACAGCACCATCAGCAGCAGCAGCAGCATCATGCTCAGCAGCAGCAAACCGGCCAGCAGCAACACCCCCAGCAGCAGCATGTCCAACCGCAGCATACTCAGCACCAGCCACATCAGGTTCGAGCTCAACCTACGCCACAGCCCCAGCACACGCCTCAACCCCCCCAGTCTCAGCAGCTGCCGAAGCAGCAGCAACAACATCAACCCCCGCAGGTCCAACGGCCCCCATCGGCCCAACCTACTCAAGCAACGCAGCACCTCCAACAGGCCCAGCAAGCTCAAAAGGTGCAGCAGCCGCAGCAGGCACAACAGGTCCAGAAACCCCCGACGCCTCACACGCCTGCTCAGCAGGTCCAGAAGCCTCCTACACCTCAGATGGCCCAGCAAGCACAAAAGCCTCCGACGCCTCATACGCCCGCCCAGCAAGTGCAGAAGCCCCCCACGCCACAGATGCAGCAGGCCCAGACACCTCATGTGCAGAAGGCCCAGACGCCTCAGATGCCGAAGGCTCCGACACCTCAGATGCAGAAAGCTCAAGTACCCCAGACACCTCAGCAGGCTCAACAGGGCCAACAGGCTCAGCAAGCCCAGCAGGCCCAGAAGCAGGCCCAACAACAGGCGCAGCAACAAGCCCAGCAGGCGGCACAACAAGCCCAGCAGCAGCGTCAAGCTAGCGGCAGCGCAACACCCTCTGCCACGCCCGCGACGTGAGCTGGGTAACGGGGTCTTATTCCTTACGATACCACCTACACCAAAACACTACAAGAAGACGACTGGACGACTTTGAAAGGGGCGAAGATGAGCGCCAAGGATATGGTGCGAGAACATCACGCCAAGAGAAGGAGTCGCGGAGGGCGCGGGCGGATGCCCAATAGGGGAAGGAAAGATTAGGGCTCCACCGCAGTGTCGTCGCGCCGTTCGCTGCCCCGTCTTGCCAACAAACGCTTTTTTTTCCCGAGTTAGACGGTGTTTGGCAGGGCGGGAGAACACCGACGGCGCGAGCAGACGGAAATGTACATATAAACAAAACACCACACCAATTGTGAGATTCTCGCTGTCAGCGGAGAGGTTTTAACGCAAAAACACCCTAGCAGCCTTGGGTTGTATATAAACCTTTTTAATGCGAAGACGAAAGAAAGGTGGCGGCTGTTGTAGCAGCTGCACTGGGGCACCAACTGCCTACTATTAGATGGTGGAGGAAGGCGAGACTAGCTGCCGGCCCATGAGGAAAAGACGAAATGAAAAAAAGGAAAGGAAGCCACTTCGTTGTTTGATCCCACTTGTCGTTCCGTGATTCATCTCTGCTGCCATCTCGTGTTGCGATCTTCAACGACGTGTAGGCCGATTCGCATGCGGCCAAGTTTTCGTCATCCGCTTGGTCCCAGGACCTGATGATGCACAAAACATCTTCGCCAGCTAACGTCTCTTTAAGAAAGCCGGCATGGCTGCTCGACGTCCAGCATCGACTACAGCCGAGAGTCCCCAGAACATGGATGTGACGTCCGCCATCGAACACAATAAGCACATGCACGGTGAGTAGTGACACATAGTATAGTGATTTCATCAGGTTCACCATTGAGAAAATGGAGGCCTTTGGGAAAAGCCCAGCTCTATCATATACGCCCACAACGCCGCCTTGATGCCTAAGCCTCCTAGCATCGCCTAGGAGTGCGTTACATGTCCGATTTCTAGAAAAACACAAAAAGGAAAACCCACCACCCTTGAACGGCATTTGCAAAGAACCCAACATCACACAAAACATATCGACAAGCAAGGGCCTCAAACCTGGCCCGGCCCTGGACCGGAGCCGTTCCCACGGCTGCCGCTTCCCCCGTCGAGCAGCAGCTTCGGCTTGATGTAGTCCTCGTCCAGCTGCCTAAACAGACCCGCCGCGTCCTCGGCGCCGTGGCTGAAGAGTTGCCTGATGGCGGACGTGGCCGAGACGTGGTGGGGCGCGGTGGCAACGGCGGCCGTGGGCTCCGTTTGCGCGAGAAGACCGCCGGAAGTCGCTGACGACTGGGAGGCGCCAGAGATGGTCGGGCTCCTCCGGCGAGGTTCGCGACGGGCCGGAGGCGGGAGGTCCGACGTGTCAATGTCACTTCCCAAGTCCGAGTCCGTCGTGTTGCCGCTGCGTCCCAGGAGATCGGCTCTCTCGATTTCGGAATTTTTGCGGCTCAGGCTCGCCTGTCTCTTGATTGGGTTGGGCGAGTGTGAGCCGGAAACGTAGCTACTGCGCTCCCCTCCCACGGGAAGCCGATCGCCGTTGCGCAACCCAATATTATCCAGCGACAGGCTGCCGTTCCGTCGAGGAGTGTAGCCGATACCGGTACCAGTGCGCTTGACGTATTGGCCGCCGTTGAACGTTTCAATATCAAACTCATCGTCGCTATCGATCTCGTCTACGACACCGGTCCGGATCCCAAGGATCTCCAGCATGCGTGCAGTCGTGCCGCCGAAGATGATGACGGTAAGGACCACAACCACCAAGACAGTAGCCTTCAGCGCGTAGGAGTTCTCGCCAGTGAGCAAAGCCGCAAGAGCGACACCGACGGCTCCACGCAGACCAGCCCAGAAAAGCATGGCCTGATAATTGTACGGAAGCTCATCGCTCACGTCTCCGCCTCTTCGGCGGGCCCTGTAACGAATGACCCAGTTGATGAGACGGGACAAGGGGAACACCGCCACCCATCGCGCTGCGCAGACTGCACAGACGGTGATGATGATGAGAAGGGGTCGGAATTGCAAAGCATTGTCTGTAAATAGTGCAAGGCCGAGATAAATAAAGATGAAATTTTCTGACAACTGCGCCAGAATCTGGAAGATGAACTTGGTTGTAAGCTGGGTTCGTCGTGACATGTTGAAATAGGCGTAATGCTTCAACGTTATGCCGCAGAACAGCAAAGACACAATACCTAAGAGCTGGTCAGCAATGTGTTCAACTAGCTCAAGAGTGGCGGGCGGTGAGGATATTACCGGACATGTGAATAGCGTGAGAGAAAAAGTACGTAGCATATGCAATCAAAACAACCAGGCAGCTCTCGTTCTTGGGGTATCGTCGGATGTAAGTGAGCTTCAGAAGCAGCGCCATCATAACACCAACAAGCACGCCAATCAACAGACTACCGAAGAAGACGATCAAGAAGATGCCAATACCCTCAAAGAAGCTCAAGAAACCAAGCTTGGACGCATCGCCTTTCTTATACTTCTGTGCCGTCTCAAAGATAACGATAGCAATGGCGTCGTTGAGAATCGACTCGCCAAAGATGATGGTGTACAGTTTGGGATCGACCTTGTACGAGTTGAAGATGGCCAGAATCGTTACAGGGTCGGTAGCCGACAGAGTGGCGCCGACAGAAATGGCATCAACGAACGACATGCTGATGGACTCGACTCCGGTCAGGGCATAGAGCCAGAGGATGAGGCCAATCACAACCGCCGAAAGGAACGTTCCGGCGAAAGCGAAGGTCAAGATGGTGCCCATGTTCCTAAAGAAATTGGCTTGGTGAAGCTCGTAACCCGAAGCTAGGATAATCGGTGGCAGTAGTAGGTTGAAGAAGATTTGGTAGTCGAAGCTGATGAGGTTTCGAATCGAATCGCCTGAAGTCACGAGCAACAGAAGGCCGACAGTCATTCCTGTGCAACTACGTGTCAGATGCTATCGGAACAAGTGGCGACGCGACGACGGGGACGAACCTGCAAAGATGGAGATGACTGTTTCATGAACAGCCTCAATCTTTCTTTCTTGGAGAAAGTAGCTCGTCAAAAAAGCGATGATGAGAAGCATGATGGAGATAAAAAGCGCCCATGCAGCGAAAATCTCCTTTTGGGAGCCATCGGAGCCTGCGTTATGTGGTCAGTCGCAATCGTCGTCGGGCGCGCAAAGACTGGAAGGGATCGGTCGGCAGCATACTCTCAGGGTCGCCTTCTTCGGCGGCACGTTCTGGCAAAGCAATGTCAGTTTGCGCACTCCAACCAGAAAAGGCAGAGAGTGTTGACAATACGTACGAACAAGGCGCAGGGCCGTCCCCGCAATATCCGTCGCTGACACCATGTTGAGAGTGCGAGTTTGAGGCGATTTCGGCGTTCACGGGTTGGTGACGGAGTAGGATCCAGAATCGAGAGGGAAGCAGACTGACCGGCGGCTCGCGCGTGAGCTCCGAAAGTGACGGATGGCGATCATGAACAGGCCAGCTCGTCGGACGCCGCAGAGTCGTAGAGGAGAGTTCAGTTCGGCGGAGATTCGTGGACTGGCGACGAGAGTAGAAGGTAGCATTCGAAATATGTCGCTAGAACAGACTCCGAGGTCATAGAGGTAGGTGTCCACTAGAGGTACTGGCGCAGGCTACCTACAGCAGGGAGCCAGCCACTGGCCAGAGGCGGCTGGCACAACGCAACAATGGCTAGAGGTGGCTCTCTAGGGATGCGGTGATTGGCTGCTTACTGTTTGACTGAATGTTTTGCTTGCGTAGCCTCGGCGGGGTGGTAGAGCTACAAGGAGCGCGAGCGAACGTCACTGGCTGAAGGTGGAAGTTGAGTGCCAGGCGTCAATCTCGAAGTACCGGGTACAGCGGGCCTAGGGAGTGGTAGCTCCCGAATACGGTTAGACCGTATTGTGGGACGCGGATGCAACGACCAGGATGCCCACCAGAAACGCCTAGTGGGATGAAATATCTGATAATGACGCTCGATCTGTTTGAAGAATTCCCGCTTACCGCATAATCGAGACGTGCTCTTCTATTGCATTATTGGGGTAAAGGAAGACCAGATGCAAGCGAATAGGGAAACCCCGCCAGGAATTGTATTGGGCCGAGCTTGGCCGCTGGAAAGCATGACTTCATATGATCTGGCACGTGCTCTTTCTACCTGCAGCAGCAGAGGTCTAGATTTCTGCGGATACACTAGAGTGTCGGTCGAACTGGGCCCAACACAGCTGAACCCCGTTGTTTCCCCAGCCAAAGCCCAGACGGGCGGTCCGGAGTCGTAAGAGGGCCAGTGGAAGGGGATGAAGAGGCCATCCATGTTGAGGGTGTCGTGAATGGCGCACTGCCGGTAAGACATCTGACACTTCGCACTTGGGAGGGTTGCTGTCGGTGCACTTGTTGGGAAATCGGGGTAGCACTTGATCAAGATCCCTCGTGAGGAGATTTAATCAGCCGGATGGTTGGCACCGTCAGCCGGAGACGGCTGTTCCACCACACGCGACGATACGGGGTTGCCATCCGACATGAGATGGTGAGATTCTGAGATTGTGCCCTACGGTACCTTACCTGACCTGAAGATGGCTTATGCAAAGCGCACGAGGCTTGCACAAGTACCCGTATTAAGTGATGGAGGATGCACGCAAAGCTTGGGTTTCTAGAGGAGCCATCTTGTATTCTTCAATGTTATCTTCTGACCGTCTTCTGAGATTGACAGAATGACAAAATGACAACGTCGTCGTGCAGGACTTCCAGGTAGCGCAGGAATCAAATGCAGTAAATGGTCGGCGTTTCGCTTGGGAACCAGAGATACCCCTAAAAAAGACAGGAGCAAACGGGGCGGGCGGGAGAAGGAGCTACGGGCATGACGTACCGGGTGCGGGGGGTTACCCTTGGGCACAGCACAGGACAGGCCTGAAAGCAAGGTCTCTTCTTTCACCGTCACTGTGCGATGCCATCGTGACTTAGACTCTCGGGTACCGGACCTACCCCCTTCTCTCCCCTCTTGCGGAACCCGCGCCGCCTTGTCAACCGTGGAAGATTCCATCGATTCCACCACTCAACTCTCTCCATCCCAAACGAATAAATACAAACACTTCCCCCCTCCCTCCATTTCCACCGTCGCGTGTCTGGACCCTCACTCACCCTGCCCGCATTCTCATCGTCACCAGCAGCGCCAGCACGTGTAGCGTCTGAGCGTATACCCGACTAGCCCATCCGTACCCAACGTGCTACTGCGTTAGTCTGCCCAGTGTCGCCTCCTCCGTCAACCATCGACAGCTGCGCTCCTCCTCGCCTCCTACGAACCATTCAGTTGTTATCCGCCCCTGGTTTCTCTACCAGTCCCACCGGAACCCCACGGCGCATTCGCCTGCCGCTCTCCCGCCACCCGCTACTCAGCTTGACAAGTCTCGAGCTTATCAGACCAGCATCTTCTTACCTTAGCATTAGGTACATTGACATACAGGCGCAACACTAGCACACCACCTCAACGTGCGGTACTTGTTCTTATTCGCCCTCACCCGCTTTCGACTGCATAGCCCGGGCTCGAATCAGGAACCGACCTGCACCATTCCGTTGGTCATTCCGCCAGGGCGCAGTTTGCAGCCAGCGAATGACGCAAAGTCCTGCCGCCGGCTCTGTCATCGTCAGAAATCGAATCACCCTGTATCAGGAGTCCGTGTTCGGGGGTCTCGTGGCATCCTCCTACTTGACCGCGTGACGGCCACACAACATTGTTTCTTGCCTGACTTCGCTACGTCAAACGTTCTTTATTACTGCCACGCATCGCAATCGATCCTTAGATACGCTTCTCTCTGGAATTGATTAGTCGACTAGCTCGTCATCTCGTGCCCAGCAATCGGCACGCACCCCGAACTGAACGACCGCTCCCCAGGTTGCCCCATCAGTGGGCTTTTCCGAAACCAGTCTGTCGAATCGCTTCGTTACCGAGTCTGTCGCAGCTTGACGTTTCTCACGATCGAAGATGCCTTCGTCTCAGTCTCAGTCCCCCAGAAGGGGTCGTCCGATGCCCTCTATCGAGCAGAGCACTCAGTCTGCGCAATCAAACCCGAAAAGGGAGAGAGGGGTAGCCAGTGAGCGATCACCGTTGCTATCTCCGGACAGCGATGACGACGGTTCCGCCGATGGTAACACAATTTTGGATGATCAGGAGGACTCACAACAGACCAAGAGCATTTGGTACCTGATTCTCCTTACTATTAGCATCGGCGGCCTGCAAATTGCATGGTCTGTCGAGCTCTCCAACGGGTCTCCCTACCTGCTCTCCCTGGGGTTGAGCAAATCATTAATGGCCTTGGTGTGGATTGCTGGCCCGCTTACCGGCACTCTCGTTCAGCCCTATGTCGGCATGATGAGCGACAACTGCCGGTTGCCGTGGGGCAAGCGGAAACCCTTCATGCTCGGCGGAGCCGTCGCAACCATCATCTCGTTGATGTTCCTGGCTTGGACCAAGGAAATTGTGGGCGGCATCATGAGTCTTTTTGGCGCCGACGTCGAATCTTCAGCCGTCAAAAACTCCATCATTTGCGTCGCCGTGGTGGGCATCTACGTCCTCGACTTCGCCATCAACACCGTGCAAGCTGCCATCAGGGCCTTCATCGTCGACTGTGCACCAGCCCATCAGCAGGAGGCAGCCAATGCCATGGCAAGTCGGATCACCGGCTTTGGAAACATCGTTGGATATGTCGCGGGCTATGTTAACTTGCCAACCTACCTCTGGTTTTTGGGCGATACCCAGTTCAAGGTCTTGTGCGCCATCGCCAGCATAGCCCTTGCAACAACCATTGTGGTGAGCACAACTTTGATCAAGGAACGCGACCCCCGACTCGAGGGCCCTCCAGTTCTGGGCAAGCCCGGCGTCTTCTCGTTCTTCAAGAAGATCTTTGCCTCCATTAAGCGTCTGCCGCCTCAGATCAGGAGGGTCTGCCAAGTTCAGTTCTGCGCCTGGATCGGGTTTTTCCCGCTTCTTTTCTACACCTCCTCGTACATTGGTGAGATCTACGTCGAGCCGTACTTGGAGGCCAACCCCCACATGAGCCCGGAGGAGCTTGATCGACTTTACGAACGCGCAACACGAATTGGAACTTTTGCTCTTCTGGTCAACTCAGTCGTTAGCTTGCTCACGAACGTCTTTCTCCCATTCTTTGTCGCCCCCACCTATGATAGCCAGCCGATTGGCGACCTCCAAGGCGACTCTGACAGTGCAGATTTTGACAACGAAAAGTCGTCATGGCTCGATAAGCTGCAGATCCCTGGCTTCACCCTTAAGCGAGCATGGTTCGCCTCTCTCATTCTCTTTGCGGGCGCCATGTTCTGCACCGTCATTGTGCGCACGGTAGAGGCAGCGACGGCCCTGATCGGCCTGGTGGGAATCACTTGGGCAATGACCTTGTGGGCGCCCTGGGCCATTATTAGCGCCGAGATCAGCCGAAGAGATGCAAAGATTCGACAGGCGAAGCAACGTCAGTTTAGCCCCAGCAGAGACGCAGAAGGTCCGGCGTCACCTTCCCTGAACTCTGTCGCCGACTCGGACCTGACTGATGGCGAAGAGGCCGACCAGGCTGGCGTCATCCTTGGCATCCACAACATGGCCATCGCCGCTCCTCAGATCATCGCTACCGTCGGCTCGAGCGTCATCTTCCGAATCTGGCAGAAACCCCGCGGCACCCCAGGCGACCACTCCATCGCCATCGTCCTGGCACTTGGTGGTATCGCCGTACTGGTGTCATCCTTCTTCGTAGCTAGCATCAAAGAGAGCGCCTCGTTGCCGGCGGACGCCATGATCGTCGCTGAGGAGGGCGAGGGTGAAGGCGAAGCAGGAAGCCGCCCTGGAACGGCCCGGAGCCGCAACAAAAGCTACGAGCATCTTCCGCGGGCTAGCATCAAGCGTGCGACCCTCACAAGAAATAAGAGTTTCGGAGGTGCCGAGTACTAAGATGCAGTGCTTGGGTTTCACTCTTTTGGCGTTGGGATTGCGTCAGGGAAACGAAAGGGGATGAATCAAATCATCAATCGTCTCATTCCCCTGAAATTGGATTAACGACTTTGGAGACATGCAAGGAGTTTGGGCTCATGAAATGACCAAGGCGGGAAGGGCTCGGCCAATCTGTAGTTTTGATTCTTTTTTCCCCCTTGCATCAGGATGTTTTGTGTTGGGACGGAGCGCATCAAAGGAAATAACACGATAGGAATGGATATGGTGTGTTTTTCTCTCTTTCACTATCACCAACTTTAGAATGCGAGGAGAGAAGTAGGAAAGAGGGTCATGACTGTGGTAGACCATGATACACAAGCAGCTTTGCCTGCTTAGAATGGCACGGCACGCAGCCAACGGAATCACGCTATGTTTCAAGCGCCTAATTTACTTTGATCTACATCATTCATTCCATAGTGAAAGGCATGTACGTCATTCATACACAAACCGGGATTCCAAATTCAAAGCGAGTGCAAAAGATGATATTAGAAATGGTGATGAAGCTTTCCAATTATACCCACAACTACCCTATTGCGATGTTCTTTCTTTCGTACAATCATCCGCCGAGAGAGTACTCCTTCATACATTGGTAGACGCAACACAAACAAACAGGTCATCAATTCTTTCCTTTCGTTCCCCGGACTCGCGAGAGTGGTCAAGGAACCACGACATGCTCCAACTTCTCTTTGGTGAAAATGCCCATAATCAGAAATAACCCGTAAACTCCTTTCGGGCCTGTCGCCCCGAGTTACGACAGGTTTACCGACCCAATGCAATCTTTTGGCTGTTTCCGATGCGTAAATCGTATCTTACCGCCAGTCATACTTACTCGCCCTTGTGGGGGGTTTGTTCACATCAACGTCGTCTCGGTCGTGGGCCGTTTTCTCGCGTTTCGGCCTTCGTCTGTTCGTCATCGTCATCGCTGTCTGTCGTCGACATAGTCTCCGCCGCCGGACACTGCGTTAATCGAACATGTCCGCCCCCGTCGGTCGGCTCGCGCTGCTCCGCCTGCGCTCCTGTCTCCTCCTCCTCCGGTTATCAGCTGCTGCGGACCCAACAGGGTTAGTCTGCGGTGCGCTGGGCGAGGGGCTCATTTGGCTCCAGGTACCATGAGTGTTCTCGCTGCCTATGCTAGAGACCGTGGGACCGGCCATCGGCGTCGATTGGACTGGTGGGCCTCCGGAGTAGTACGCCGAGTCCTTTGGTTTCCTGCCCGCGGCAAATGCGGGATTCGGCGGCGGCAGGGGATCTCCAGCTTCGGCCGCGTGCTCCGCCGCTGATTCGGCTCGTCTCTGGCTTGAGTCGCGGCGGTATCTTCGGCCGCTACCCACTTCGATTCCGGATAAACTGCTTAGTGAGCCGCGCCTCCTCCTGCTTTCGCCGCGCCTGTTGGCGGCGGCCTCCTCTTCCGTCAACCTCCGCAGCGTGATGTTTCTGTCCTTGTCATCGTGAACTCTGACTTTGACGCTCACAGGCTGCGAGCGCTCAGAGTGGGCGCGGCGCCGGTCCTCTGCCGCTGCGAGCGCACTAGCCGACGCGACTGCTGCAGCCGCCGCCTCTTCTCCGGCTCTCCTGCGCTTGGACGAGTCTCGTCGACGAGGTCGTCCGCTAGGTGACATGTAGACTTCGCTCTCAGACTCACGGTGGAGTATGCCTGCTGGGTCGGGAGGCATTGACGGCATGCTGACAGAGTCTATAACATCATGTCTTGATGTTGTTTGGGAGTGCCCGACAGGGTAGATAGAGGGCCCACCAGGTCCGGTGGGCGTCATAGGTGGTGGAGGTCCAGCAGATAGGGGTGGCATTGGTGGCCCTCCGTAGCCTGCGCCCGGAGGTCTCGGCTCCAACTCGGAAGATTCAGTTAGCTGGGTGATCTCGGTACTCAAAGCCGACATGGGCGGTCTCGGACGCCGTCCACTGGCACGGCGGGAGCCCCTCCGGTCTCGTGACGGAGATGAGAAGCCGTCTCCCGTGTACCTTGAACCAGTAATTCCTGATCTCATTTCTTCTTCATCTCGGAGTCTCTGCTCCTCTGCGCGTTTAGACCTTCGGTCGGCCAGCTTCTTAGCGAACCATCCCAGGCCCAAGCCGGCCAGGATGCCCTTTCCGGCCCCACCTGCGGGGCCGGTGGGTGGGTCGTCTCTCCGTCTAGACGGGCTGACATACGATGAGTATTCCGAGTCCTCGAAGCTGTACTGCGATCGTGTTCTTGCATGTGGGGGTCGGTTGGTTCGTGGTTCGGCAGCACTAAGAGCTGCGGCTGCGGCTGTTGGCCCTCCAGGGGGTGGTAGGATGGAACCATCGCGTGGTCCACGTCTAGGTGGCGGGGTATCCTCGGTCCAGTCGGTGTAATCAGTGTATTCACTGGTAGCAGGGTAGCTCCGGCTTGGGCGTCGCCTTGGGGTCTCTGCTGATACCGCGGAGTATTCTTCATCGTACGTCCGTTTCTCCTTTCGCTTCATGAGGTTGGAAACCAGCTTGCCGGCGCCAATGGCTGCGCCAACGCCAAACAGCTTCGTCATGAAACCGCCACCAGACTTCTTGCCATCCCGTCGGGAGTCCACTTCGGTGAACTTTTCGTCTTCGAGGTAGGTATCTGAGCCCCTTCTGGAGGTAAGATAACTTGCTGAGCCCCGCCTGGAACCGATGACCTCTGGTCCGCGGCTGCGGCTCCTTGACTTCGATCTTTCCCGACTGAGCTCCTTCTCCTTTTCCTTGGACTTCTTGCGGCTAAACAGCGCTGCGAGAGTAGCACCAGCCGCGAGAGGCGCCAACCATTTGCGGCCCTTGGACTTCTCGGTGTATACATCGCTGTAGTACTCTGAATCGGTAACGCCGCTCGGGCCCTCAGAGCGGCCTCCACTGACATAGACATCGCGACCACGATCAGCGCCCTCGGCACGATAACTAAGGATGAAGTAGACGAGCAACAGGAAAGCCACCCAAAGGGAGTAGATAATGAAGGTCCACTTGGGAGAGCCATAGAGCGTCAGGCCGAGAGGGACCTGGATGATGCCGAGCAACGCAATAAGTCTCCCGCTCCAGCGATGAAACATCTTGCGGATCGAGCGTCCACGGATGTGTCGCACAAGTCGGCCGCCGATAATCTGGAGTAGGAACATGACGAAGATCGCTATGCCGATGGCGTGGTGCGGGTTAGTCCAACTTCGTTCGGGGCCTACTGCAAACCAGCCCAAGACAAAGACGGCAATGAGCATAAGCACGGCAAGGATATTCAGTTGAGCGTGGTAGGGTATCGCGTAACCGGGCTTCGCCGTGTAGAAGCGGGCTGTGAACACGGATACCGGAACGATCAGGAGGAAGATGATAGCGGCCATAACGCCGTGGGCGAGTACTAGAGTATGGTACTGAGCGACAGTCGAGAAGCGGTTGCCCATGCCTAGATTGCGCGCGTGTTAGTCGGCATTCCCGGCCGGTGCTCAATATTGCAGATGCTCACCATTGTACTGCATTGTCTCAAAGTTGAGGCCGACTAAGTTGGGCAGCAGAAAAGTGTTCTTCTCAAAGTCCCAGGTGCCGTCGCCGACTGTCATCGTGTTGGAGTCGTACGAAGCGACGCCCGGCGCCGAGTACCCATCTGCCGGCGCCATGATGGCGACGACGGGCAGAGAGGTCCTTCAGTCGGTGGTGCGGTCGGGTTGAGGAATGCGGGATATCCGTTTAGGTCTCTATCGTGGTCGACTCGACTCGGAAAGGACCCCCGAAGAATGTGTTGTCTTGAAATGGGGGTGGCCGGGGAGGGTTAGGTCCCTAGAAGTCGGTCGATGAGCGGTCCGGACGCAGGTGGGGGATTTCGGTGTTGGTGCGAGATGCGCTGGAATTCATGAAGCAAAGAAAACGGAACTCTGCTTCACAAATCTGCGGATGTTGAACAAGAGAGTATTGCGGGATAGGTCTCAGGGTAAACTCTCCTCGGTAGCCGCGAAAGAGAGAGACTAGATTTCTCTCAGGAAAGAGAGAGTGGGATGCGCCCTGTCTGTGAGCTCACCAGCAAGAGCAGGTTACAGGCCTGCGCTGACACCTGGAACCCGACTCGGCCTGCGGACCTGGTTGCGCGGGGTAACGAAGCCTTGCTCGGCGCTACACCCCCCTGTACCGACGACTGTCAGCAGCTTATCGATTGGCTAAAGCTCTTATCTGCACGTGAATCAGTCCACTAGGAAACCGGGGTCTCCATTTATCTGAACAAACCGGTGGCTGGGGTTAATTTGGATGAACCAAGTAAGCGCAGCTTGACTTGGGATTTTTGACAGAACCTTTTTCTGAGGGTGAAATTGTTGATGTTCCTCGATACAGCAAACCGTTGGAAAAGGAACAGAGAAGAGGCACCAGGTCGGGGGGAATGAGTCACCCGTGAAGCTGCATACCACCTGCCGCTTCTTAACGGAGCCAGAAACCAGCAAACAGCTGCAGCCTAGGTAGGACGTTCAGCATCAAAGCGGCGTCCCACCGTCGGACACGTCAAGCTGCACAAGCGGAAGCGACTCTGCAACGTCACCCAACCACGACCGACTCCGTTTTCCCAGCCATCCAATTCGCATCGAGTTTTTATTCTCGAGGCTGACAATCAATACCCCTGAATACGAGCCGCAAACCTGCATTTGCGTCGCGTCACTCTTAATCCCCTTTCCCCTGCAGTCACCGCCTTTTGCTACCGAGAACCCCCGTCTTATACGGGCCGGTCCGCTTCTTCGCCCTTTTTTGCATTTCCATGGCGTTCGTCCCCGTCTGGTCTCCGCCGACCTAAGTTTGTTTCAGGAACAGACACCGCGACTCTGAATCCATAGAGTTGTCGCAAGTTGCGGAGGCCTCAAGACGAGTTTGGCCGAGAATCCACTGTTGGGCACGAACACTGATTGCTGTGTACGATCATCTAGGGTCGTGGACACTTGGAGGCTTCCCAACATGCTCTCATTGTAAGAGTCGCCTTGAGGGTACGGTCAACGCCAGGGAACGTTCACGCATTAGTCATTCAGACTCAGTTATCAGTGCCAGTACTACAGACTTGAACCCAACAGCTTCGTCCAGGCCAATCAGTGGTGTCCGTTAGAGCTCCCGTTCGAACCATGCCCGGGAGCCCTAGCCAGCACGGTTCCATACCTAGAGTAGTCGTCTTTGGGTGAAGGGACGAAGTTCTCGGGTTTCAACCCGGCCCGCGACTCAAACACACAGATGATGTCTGACCCGCCAAACAAGAAGGTCGAGATCTCGTCGCCCTTCTTCAGCTCCTGTCCCACGTGCACTGACAGCTTAACCGACGAGACCATGGCCATGCCGATCGGCAGTACGGCCACCTTGCCGAGCAGGTTATTCTCGATAACCACCAAACCCCTCGTCTGCAGGAACTGGTAGCCCGGCGAGTCGGGGGCCTCAGGCTTGCACTTGGGGTCGTCTTCTATGTCCTTGGCCCTCAGAAAGAGCTTGCGGATAGGGCGGCACTGCTGGTCGACCTCGAGATAGGCCGCGCCCTGGATGTTCTTGGCTTCGATGACCTTGCCGGAGACGGGGGCATGCTGACGATGATAGTTGAACGTGTTGAGGAACGCGTGCATCCACACGCCTCCCTTGAAGTGGTCTGCGAACTTGCTGCCCTGCAACAAGGTGCCGATGGTCCATGGGAGCCCCTTGATCTCGATGATGCCCGTGTCTTGGATGTTAATGATGCTCTGGTTCGGAAGAGAGTTGTCATAGGTGCAATCCGCTGGGTAGGTGATGACGCTGTCGTCATCCTTGTCCGCGATGGGTCTCATCCCATCTTTGAGGTGTCGAGAGAAGAAGTCGTTGAAGGTGCGGAATCCGCCCCAAGGGATTACTGCCTCGTGGAGAGCATACTTTGGCGAGTCGACGAAGGTCTGAAAGGTCTCTTCGTTGATTGACGCGGGAGTGTCCATGAAGAGCCCGATGAGCTGCGCAAACACCACGATCCAGCTCGACAACGGACTCAGGGGCTTGCCGGCGGAGCTCGGGTGGACGGGCGTCTGCAAGCTCAGCAGCGGCTCCTGGTCAAGGATGAAGTAAAACAGGCAGAGGATGTCGTATATGTCCTTGGCCTCGACGTTCTCAGTCGGCGTCCACTTGAGCATCTTGTTGGCGAAGACGAAGAAGCTCTGGGCGTCCGAAATCTCCATGGCCTCCATGAACTCTGGCACCTTTTCCTTGGCCGACCGAACGGCCCTAGTCAAATCCTCGGACTTTATGAGGGACATCAATATGACGATAACCGGGTTGAAGTGGACGATGCTGTCCGGGCCGCCGATGGGCTCAGAAGTCATCGGCGGCAGGGCCTTCCACACCTTGCCCTTCGACGCCCAGCCTGGGACAGATCCAGGCATGTGAATGAGAGGGTTGGACGGGGGCGGCTGGAACCCAATCTCCTCATCAGTTGCAGTGGGAAGTCCGGGCATGTTGATGGTTTTGTGGTGATGTTACGTGGATAGGTAAGTGATTGGAAGTATTCGTCTGACTATGGGATGGCTCAGGAGCTTGATGACGGAGTGACGCCTAGCTACCATCATTTGAGCCGGGGGTTCTAAGCCGCTTTATAGGTGAAGCAGACGGTATTCCTCCATGGCAATTGGCTCCAGTGTGTTCAAAAGGTGAGCAGCTCATCACCCCCGTGTGAAAGTGAGCAACTTGCGAGCACCACTAACAGCTTGTCGACCCTGAATGCGGAGAAATCACTTCAAAGCAAAACACAAGCCAAGACTCTGGTCAGTTGTCTCACAGTCCCTCCGCGAAGCCGCAACCCCGCGCGGGTGTCTCAGTCCTCCTATCTTGACACCCACTCAAGTGTAGCTAGATCGAAGCACAAGACGGGTATGTCAGTTACGCGGGTCCCGCCAGACCTGGTACAGCATAGCCAAGACTTGTCGCCTGCGAGCCACCCAATTCGTCTGGAGTTTGTCTTCGACTACTTCTCCTCGGCAGCGTCGACCATCATGGCAAAGAAGGGCATCGAGAAGCAGGCTCTGCTTTATTGGAAGAAGCCTCAAGGGTTACTTGGTTTCGGTGAACCATAAGGCGCTTCGGACGCCGGACTTCAGACTGGGCCAACACCATGCCTGCAGTATTTGATGCATGAGACGGCTTCGTTTGTTGGTCGTATCACTTGTTGATCGGCTACAACTCTTGTGCGTACAGAGTTAGGAACGTGAAGCGGGCACCAATGAAGCATTGATGTAAAGAACTAACGACGGGAGACGGACGCAACATGTGTCGTGGTCTGCTACACTCAACGGAACTTTGCCGCTTCCTTCGTCTCTGTTTCCGCTGTCACTCTTGTTGCCCCTTGTCCTGTCTCGTCCTTGTGGGCCCTCATATGTTCCAGTACATGGTCCAAAGTGAATGCCTCGAGGGGCAGGAGTAAACAAACTGAGCATTCGATCTGTCTCTCAATATGCCATACGCAGCCGTCACCAAGGAGGGGTTGGTGGCCCGGAACGAAGCGAGTCCACTAGCTCGTTGACAGACAGCAGCCTAATACGGGATGGCCCGCTACCAGTTGGTGTTATTGGCCTGCCAAGACGTGTAACAGCTTAGCATTGTTGCTGTTGACCAACGACTATGCTCTGCCAAGCCTGCTTACCTTCACAGCCGGCAAGACAACCAGGAGCAAGTCTAAACTTCCCATAATCTTTATGACAACAGCTTTACCGCATCGTTGAAAGGTGTGTGCGAACGGAGATGTCAGTCTTAAAGAAGTAAAGTTTGCTGCCTTGGCTCAGGGGAGTTAGATGACGCAGGCTTTGCTGTTGAGATTGATGTTTCAAATAACGACAGCTGCTACCGTTACATACTCATAGCGACTGCTTCAAATGGCAGAGACTCTGGTTGAATTCAACGGGCTATGTATCCCATTATGTGGCCAACCCTACACAAGAATACATTCAAAAGACGCCAACACGAATACCTTAGCAGGTAGTGCCTGAAAAGGTTCACAAAAGAAATTAGGTATTTCGCGGTTTGAAAATTTCAGAAAGGCTTTCATTACGATTAGGTATTGAGGAGTTCTATCATTGTCCATCACCACGGAGCAAAGGGTGCTCAGATAAGAGACGCCGGTAGGATGACGTGAATGTCGATGACAAGCTTGACCTCGGAAGGGGCCAGATAAACGACCAGGTTCCTCACCAACGCCGTGTACATGCTCGGATCACGTCCGGCATCAAGGTCAGGGGTACCTTATGACGAAGGAGCCCATTCTCTGTAGACGTTGACAGCGGAGCAGGTACTGGCTTTGTTAGCATGTTGTGCATCGGTAATAAGTGATGGTCAAGAGTTCTTACGGGTTGGACGCAGCACCGGCGGTGACCCAGACGAGAGACTTGTAGAAGTAGTTGCCGACATACGTCCAGCAGACATGCCAGCGGTAGTACGCCTCGGAGGAGGAATTGGGCTTGTTTGGGGCGGCCTTGGAGTCGTCGGCGCTGGAAGCGATAAAGAGTTTCTCGTTCTCATCGAAGCCGAGGCTGAAAAGGGCGCTGTCACCCGGCGAGAAGATGGGGATGGCGCCGTTCGAGACGAGCTGCAGGTTAAGCTCCATGCCCGAGGAGATGGGGTCCACGTTGCCGAAGGGCTGGTTCCAAGTCAGGGCGCCAAGGATGTGGCCCTGGAAGTCAGACTGGGTCTCGTTAAGGAAATACTGCGTGTGCGTGGTCGAGCTGTTGGCCTCCTCTACGGGGCTCTGGGTCTCCGGACAGAGGCCGGCTTGGCCGGCGCCCGAGTGGCAGGATGTGAGGTAGGTCGAGCCAGAGCCGCCGTCAGAGGGGGTGAACTTGAGCCAGAAGGGCTCAGTCTGGTTGGTGAATTGGGCGGAGGCCACGGTGGCGCCCAAAAGGGCGAGGACAGAGGTAGTCTTCATCTTGAGCGCTGGAGATGTAGTGACGGTCTGTACTTTGGGAAGTGATTATTGATGCTGAGGAAGATGAGCGTGCTGGTTCTTGATCTTTGTCTTTATACTGGTTGTCGAATGCTTAACATACCTTGACAGGTTTCGAGGGATGATGTAACGGTCCTCGAGGATTGGAAGTGGTGTTTGATGATGCGGTGTCTACCTGAAGACGGATGCACATGGGCTTGTGCAAGGACGAGGTGGCGTGGTTTATATTTGGAGAGACATGTCTGGTACCCGCCGTCCTGCTTTCGGCTTGCCCTTCCACTTCATTCTACCCTGCCATCTTTCCTGGTCTGGGTCTCGGACGACGGTATAATCCAACAAGGATTCGAATGGACAGACGAGAGAGGGGAAAGAGGAACAGGCAGTCGGGGAAACCGCGACCCTTCGTGCGGAACCCCGCTGAATTACACGCGGGCTCCTGGTAGCATCGTAAGGTTGGTGTCACCTTAGGGTGGCATGAGCGCAAATTTCGGGGCCTAAAAGACGGCCAAAGGAAAGCTTCTGCGAAATGCTGTCGATCAACACCCACAATTAGTATCCGTTGATGGGCACGGGGCTAGTGCATATGGGCCAGTAAGGGAGGGAGCTGGTGTGCTAAAATCTGGGGAACCCAGATTGGTTGTGACGGTTGTCTGATTTGGATCGTCACTCGATTGTTCGGAGGCGACACCGCGTCAAGAAAAATACCACCAACAATTGGCTGATTGCATTCTCACACAACAAATTTCGACGATGCCCACAGTATGATCATGCTGACTCGACCCGGATGTCAAACACCCATAGCGTCCATGTAACCTTACTGCGCGGGTCGACTTCCAAGCTTCCGGCCGTGGGTCGATCTGAAGTTGATGAAGTTGATGATCGAAAAGAGGAGCAAAAAGGGCCTAGATCCGCAAATGCCTCAGCGAGCTCACAAGCTGGAAGCGCGTATCTTGTTCTGTTTCCCTTGGAAGAAGCTCAGGAACCCCCCGCTTCCTGTCATCGTGGGTAAGGAGTTCACGGTGGCGCCCACGAGCCGGTACGAATCGACGCCACAGGCGCGTCATCGATGACGGTAGTACGGTTTTGAGGCCGAAGGCCAAAGGTCAAATGTAACCTTAAGGGAATGCATCGTGTTGCAATACGAACTTGCGTGACATTGCGGATTTCCGCCTCGGATTCTCTGGAAGCTTGTCTAGTTTCGATAAGTGATAATCAGGTGAGGGGTAATTGGAAGGGCGGATGTTAACAAAGCTGAGAGCCACATCCATTTGAGACATGACGTTGGAGCCAGCGAGATTGTGCCGGCAGCGCCGGTTCAATCTCTTAGCTGAGAAAGGAATCACGGGAATTTGCAACCCTTCTGCATGCCGATCTCCCGTATAGACAGCATTTCGCTATTGATCCTGCACGCTGCAATGTTGGGCTCGTAGCCGCTGCGAACTAGAGACTAATGAGGGGTTAATGTCTTGCTGAAAGCGGATAGAGCAACATGGCCGCCGGCCTTATTAGGCAATCATGGATGCCTAGAGGGCCGACGCTGCATGATTCTCCAAAAGGTTACGTTACGTTTCGAATAGATGTCGTGGAACTCCGATATTACGGATTTGGAGCTGGCCGGCTTCACAAGAGGTGTTCTTTGGCAAGGTCAATTATGGGTAACTATTAATATCTACAAAGAATTTGTTGGCCACGGATTGAACACGAGTGATGAGAGCATATCATCCGCCCCATCACATGGCCATCGTGACTGCCGACCAGTCACCTCCTAGCCACAGACGCCTGAGCTCGCAATCGTGTTCAGGTCTGTTGGTATAACTCCTGCAATCACAGCGTCTAAGGAATCGTCAGCATGTGTCACAACTCTTCAACAAGGGGGTAAAACTCGCCTCTGTAAGACCACCGGTAATCACCAAGCTGCGCCTTCCACGTCCAGAACACCCAGCCGGCTGTCGATCTCTCGTACGCCAGCACCTGGGCTGCGAACCACTTTGTGTAAAAGTCTTTTTGCGTGTCGCGGTTCCAGTCGTCCGAGTTCTCGATGTCGTCAGGCGGGCTGATGCTCCACTCGCCGACGATGGTCGGCCCCGCAGCGTCGCCGTTGCGGTTGTCGGCGCACGACGTCGAGATGTAGCTCTCGTGTGTCCAGGGTACATCGTTCTTGTTAGCCCACTTAAGGTAGCGGTGGTCGTCAAAGGCGGTGAAGTATGTGTCGTCGAGGAACTCAGTCGGGTTGCCCGAGCCCCAGAGCGAGGACATCATCTGTATATGGACGTAGTTGTTGGCCGTCACGCCGAGGTCCTGCTCGACCTTTCGGATCGCCTTGAATCGAGTCAGTACGATTTTTGGAAGTGGAAGAGCTATAACTAACGTTATAGGCGTTCTTGTAGAACGTGCTACGTAGGGATTGCACTGATGAGTCCCAGTTCGTGGGCTCGTTTACAAGCTCGATAGTGCCAACATTTCGAAGCTCGGTATTGTCATGAACAAGTTTCCTCAGGAACTCGAGGAATTGAATCGCCCGGCCGTACTGATAGTCGTTGTAAAAGCCCGGAGTTGAAGCAAACTACAAAGAGTCAGAAGGGCAGTGCAACTCGACAGAGATCGTCTTACTTGACCGGTAAACGAGTTTTGCGCAACTTGGGCTCCTGGGGCACCGTGCTGGCTTTTGAGGCGTTAGACAAGCACGAAGACCTGCATAGATGGTGAAAACTCACTCCAGGATGATGTAAAAGCCACGATCACTGGCCCATCCACACAAGCGAATCAAGTACTTCAAGGCTCCCTGAAAATGTCAGCTTCCGCTTCGGCTGAGGCACATAATGATAAACAAACTCTTGGGAAGTGCTCTGAGTTCTTGTCGACCAATGATTCGTCAAGCCAGTAGCCAAGAGGAATCCGGATGGTGTTGATGCCGTAACCCATCATCTCATCAAGGTCGCTTTCGGTTATCCACGTATCCCAGTGCTTCTGGAAGGCGGCATCAGATCTGTCCTGGCCGGTGTTCATGACACAGTCAAACTCAGACTGTTGACCACCACAGCCAATGTTACTCCATTCGCTGTTGGCGATCCAGGGCTCAAAGACGAAAAGAGACCCCAGGTTGACGCCTCTGATCTTGCCTGAGGCTGTCCACCAACGCTTGCTAATGCCATCCGACTCGTCGACGGTGGTGTTTTGCGAGTCAAAGAGGCTGAAACCACGGGTATCCAGCAGCTTCCTGGAACCGTCGTTCGGTAGCCATGCGTATGAGAGCTGAGCGGTGGCAGCAAGTGCCAATAGACTGAGACGAACCATACTGGTGATATGGTGGCTTGCTGGCCAAGTTGTGGAAAGACGGGTGCAGAAGGTATCGGGAGAAAATCGATTGGGGGCAATGACCGGCCGTCTTAACAAGCTTCTGGTGCCTGGAGCATTGCGGGCCGTAACGGTGGCTCTAGCATTCGCCGACTGTCTGCCGAAGCCACGGAGTAAGAATTGAGATTATTCAAGGGGCGCAGCCGCGATGCGGTAACACTGGATTCGCTGGGGATAAGACGCTAATGCAAATGCCGATCATTGAATGAGGGATGAGCCTCTCCTCGCCAATCCTCGATGCCGTGCCGGCGTTGTCTTATTTGTTCGTCAGCATCCTCTCACCAAGGAGAATAGCCTTTGGTGTGAGCCTATTTCGGGAGGGAGCAGGGATTATGGCATCGAATTGCAGCAGTTCATCCAATCCCTTCCGAGTGGTGACGGCAAATGGACCACGTTCCTGCATGCAACGTCTCAGCTCCCTAGCCGTGGAGCAGGGAAATTGACGGCTGCCTAGAGATGGCTTCTACCTAGTCTCCCCGCCAAATTGCCTCATCAGACTAAACGGAAGGATTGCTGACTGGCCCCCCTACTTTAGCTGAGTGGAGGATCGGACGCGAGACGGCCGGACAGAGCCGGCGACGTCCTCTACTAGGTTTAGGCTCAGTTCGAACCTGGCAACTTTCTGGCCAGCTGGTGGGGGTTATTTGCTGTGACTACAGCGCCATTAGTCATGAGCCAATGATCCAGTCAGCGCTAGAGTGTTGGAAAGCCGAGTAAAGCCATCAGGATAATTGAGCGAGTTTATCAGAAACCACCGAGCAAAAACACACACAATGCTAGAGCATTTTTTGCGCCGAAAGTGAGTGCTACTTCTTTTAATTGTGCCATCTCTGAAACTGCGCGTCATTCTCTTATCAGGTGTACCACTGGTCAATCTTTTTTTTCTAAAGTGTGAACCTTCGTTAGAGAGGAAACAATGAAGCAGGAGAAGGAGAAAGCTCGGGCTGTTGACTACGTCGCCACTGGTTAGAAGGTTGCCTTGCTCCTAAACGTTGCAGTTTTTATTTGGTTTGAGTCTCTGGCAGAAGAAGGGAATCCCAACGTCCTCCTACTTACCTTGATTTTACGCATGTAAACACAGCCTCTCTCTTCGTTAAAGTCTCTGGCCAGTTTCATGTATCCACTGGACGAGTAACTGTTCCATCTTTCACTCATGTCAACAGTCCCAGAGGTCGAGAGAAGTCAGGCGGCGCCAAACCTATCGGCAGCATGGCAGAAACCGTTGTCATGGCATGGAAAGCTTGTAGAGCGGCCACAGGGCCGCCGCCAATAACGCTGCCTTCGACCGAGAGATTGTGAAGCTGTTTCGACGATAGCTACGTATAGATGGGGAGCTGGGAATGTCATGTCTGTCTCGAGACGGGACTTCAAACATGGATGAGAGGTTGTATGCCTTTCTTAAGAAACATTCAGGCAAGCCCATTTGAAGCATGCGGAACCACTTTGGATATACCAACTTCGACGCTTTTTTGGCCACCTTTAGGAATTTTTGAGGTCCGAGGTGTGGCGCCGTTCGATTTCTAAATTAAGCGCAACCTGCAGTGACTATATCCCATTGTCGCTTTTGTCGCGAACCCCTCGTTGCTCAACGCCGAGGAAGAGATATAGGAGTCAATCATGACGCCGGGCTATCTGATGCAGTTGAGGAAGAGGATATTACTTCTCTCGCCTATACGCTACAAACTGCCCCTTTTGATAATCTTACCATAATTAGTCTACATATTGAAGACTTGGCCCCCTGAAAAACAACTTCGATCCATGTAACTTCTTCCTCGAGATGATTAAAACGATACCTTGAGTCTTGGTGGCTGCTAGATCTGGTAGCTACTGTGGTTATCAAGATAAGCTTATATGGCATCTGGATCTTTTGAATGGCGGCTTCTTTAGTTACTGTATTAACATCCTCGAGGCTGCATTCTTAGTCCTCTCCGCGTCATCCTGAGTGGCAGGGTGCCTCCAAGGACCTTCTCAGTATTTGGGACGCATAGGCTCAACACAACGCCACTATTGAGATAACACGTTATACTAGGTGTAGCATGTGGAGTGGCAATGCGTTGCGCGATATGGCGGGGTTGGTTGGTCAGGTTGGCCAGATTTATCTTCCCTAACTTACCTATTTCTATCACTATAACCTCTACTATTAGCTTCACCTATCTTATGTATGCTTCATATGAGAGTGGCTTTATAACCTTTTATTGTGCCTTTGCCTCTTGTATGCTTATGGTATCCCTCCACTTTTCTCTTCCAATAGGATTTACAGTTTGCCTGCGCCATTCTTCCCAGCGATGATACACTCCTCACCCGAGGAATCCACGGCCGCTGTGGATGCGTACCGCTCGTACATTGCATTGCACAATCACGATATCCTCGAAGTTATTAATACTATTCTTGGCAATACCACCTCTTCCTGCCTTACAGACCGAATTTGAACTGTCTCTATTTCTTAGTGCGATTCGTTGCTGCAGCGCAACTTGAACAAGACTCAGGCCCGGGCTCATAAAACGAGAACGACAACGGGGAGGATATCAACGAAATCCACATCGGCAGTCTCACCTCTCTGCTCACAAACAGAATCGCGCCCTACATCTCGTCCCCAGATGACCTCCACACGCGCTACGACGAGCTGGCCATGGGCCCCTCCCTTGAGAGTAATGCTGCGATCCTCGGCCAGGAGATCACACGCATCCTCGACTGGGGAGCTGAGAACAAGGTCGCTTTCGACCACAACAAGTCCGAAGCTATCCACTTCACAAGAAAACACAAGCAACAAAGAGACCTGCCAGGGATCAAGGCGGGAGAACTGGAAATTCAAGCATCCATTGTGCCTATCCGCTGGTTAGGGGTTTGGTTCGACAAGAGGCTCTCCTTCCGACACCATGTTGAAACGAAGCTGGCTGCGGCAAAGAAGGCGGCCCAACATCTTAGACACCTGACAAACACAAAAGGCGGGCTCCCGGCCGCTGCTGTACGTAAGGCTGTGATCTCCTGCGTCCTGCCAATCGCCCTCTACGGGGCCGAGACCTGGTATGGAGGCATGACCAAGCCAGCCTCTGGCAGAACCACCGATACCGGCCGCAACCTTATCCCCCAGACAGGCTCAGTCAGTACAGGCCAGAAGAGCCTTGCGCGTAAGGTTGAAAGCGTCATCACGAAAGCGGCAAGGGCTATCCTGCCGGCCTGGAAAACAACTCCGACACGCAGCCTCCTTAGGGACGCTGGACTACCACCAAGCAAGGTGGCTCTGGAAGCAGTCCGCCTCCGCTTCGCAGCACGTCTAAAGAAGGTTGACCTACAACACCCTCTTGTCGCGAGGCTCTCCCAACGAGGGCGACAGCAGACGAGGCTCCAACGGACTGCAGACCTTGCACCGAAATGCCCGAGACCCGCACTCATCCAACCGCAGTACCTCCCAGGCTCACAGGACCTGATAGTCCTGCAGAGTAAGAAAGAGGCAGCCAAAGCCTTCCAGGCCTGGCTAAAGACCGTACCAGACAGCCACATGGTTGTCTTTTCAGATGGCTCCAAAGCGACGAACGGAGCCACAGGATATGGGTTCGTTATCTACCGCAGCAACAGGCGCGTGGCCCAGGGCTGCGGCCGACTCGGTCTAGCAGAGGTGTTCGACGCCGAGGCTGAAGGGGCGAGGATAGGACTCCGGCGGGCCCTCTTAACCTCCCAAGGCCAGCCGATACACATCTGCATCGACAACACCAGTGTCATCCAAGGAATACGGGGCGAGGCACCAGACTCCTCGCAAGCAGCGGTGCTCGAGATCCAAGCTGCTGCTAGGATATACAACATCCACACCCACTGGGCGCCAGGGCACCAGGGGATTAAGGGCAACGAAGAGGCGGACCGGCTAGCCAGGGAGGGCACAGCGCTGCCGGTCCCTCTAGGCCAACTGGCTACGCTCTCCGGGATCAAACGGCTTGGTAGAGAGAGATTGCGAAACCAGTACAGACAGTGGTGGGGTAAAGAGGCGACAGAACGGTACACCCAGCTTGGACTGAGGCTACACTTCTCCTGCCCTCCCGAACTCGCCCTACCACGGAGCACCCTCCACCACCTTTTAGCGGCCCGGTCGGGTCATGGGGACTTTGAACACTATCACCGACGCTTTAACCACACCGAGGCCTTGTTAACCTGCTCCTGCGGGGAGGCAAAGGAGGTAGATCATCTGGTCTACTGCTCAGCGACCCTGGCGAGGAGGCAGCAGTGGCCCACCCTCTACCCAACTGGTCCGCTCGACCCCATAGGACCTATGGGATCCCTGGAACGATACTTCAAGGGACTAATGACTGACCCAAAAGGCTTTGAGGCCTTCCTGCGCGTGACACACTTTTTCCGGAAGATCTGTCCACGCTACTAGGGAACGGGCTCCGGCACGGGACCTGGACAGCCAACTTAAGCCCTGAAGGGAAATAGACGGGAAGCAATGAAACTGGGGAACCAGCGGGAACCAGGGACAGATAGAACGCATAGTAGCCATCAGGCAGGATTTGGAGGACGAAAGGGAGGGCGATGTATGAAGTACGTAGTCCTAGCCCACGGCTCTCCACGCCACATACCCTTCGGGAGGTCTGCGACAAGGGTTCCACCCTTGCCGCCATGGCGTTAAATACAACAACAACAACAACAACAACAGCGCTACGACGAGCTTGTTCCCGTTCTGGGTCTCGATGGAGTCGGCATACATGAACCAAACCTCCTGACCCACCCGGACTACGCCCTTGAATAGGTATCTTGCATAATTCAGAAGAATACAAATAGAAAAGGTTATAAGATTAAAAATTGGCCATCAGTGTGTTGCAGTACATTCTCATTAATGAAAGAGTCTTGGTCTACAAGCCATGAACCACTGATACTGGTGTTCCCTAAATGATTGCGACAGCAAACTACACTTTTGTATGCACATAAAGCATGGAATCTGTACCCAAGCTATTTGGAATGATAGCATTGTATCCAAGAAATTTATTTATTTCAGAAAAACAGCACCGTCACACTGTATGGTTCGTCTCCGATATCATTTGACCCAGAATCTGTGCTATCACAAAGCTTGTGCTACTGCGGGCTTTTACCATTGCTCTGGTCTATTTTGATGTTCTTCGCTGTTGTATGACGGCGACTTGAAGGACACTACTCTGCCTGTGCCTCCGTGATTATTACATCAGCCGCCTTCTCGCTCGCCATGTAAACCCCAGGCACGATGTAGGAACCAGGAATTTTGGGGGAAATAGAAGCGTTCACCATTCCCAGACGATCGACTCCACAGACTTTGAGATTAAGATCTAGGATAGCATGTGGGTCGTAATCAGCACCAATAGGGGTAGTGCAGCTAGTATGATGGCCCCAGCCCTCGTCTTTGGCAAACCGTTCGAGGTCAGTCTCGGAAGAGATCTCCCTGGGCTGCCATATACGCTCAAAGATACCATCAAGCGGGATCAGTTTTCAATTGCCTCGATGCCGTATTTCATATCCTCGTTTACTGCCTGAAGGTCCTCTCCGTCGCCGACGCCCTCGAACAAGGCGTGGAAGATGATGTTAGGTGTTTCGCGCGGGTTGTTGCTCTTTAGATTCACCACGCCAGCGTTATTGCGGCTGTGACCCTTGAGGTTCAGCCATGTCCAGACACTCAAGTCAGCCAAAGTATGCTCTGAGTAGTTCGGGAAGTGACCGTTGAAGTATGCTGGCACGCCGCCCAAGAAAAGGCCTGGATCGCCGTTCTCCGCCACCGACGAGTGTTACAGTATCCGAGTGCGATGCGGGTTGGTCGTATAGCCACCCTTGAGACCGCTGATACCGGTTTGCCACTGTTCAAAGCAGGGATCCTCGCTATCGCGGGTATCATTCATATCTAGGAAGGTACATTTTTCGAGCAGAGTGAAGTTAGTGGGGGCCTATCCCAAGATTTCTAAGTCGTAGCGATCTTGAATGTTGACGCCAACGCCAGGTTGGTTTTCGATTACAGGGATATCGAACGATTAAAATTTTCCGAAGCGGGGCCGACACCACTTAGCTTGAGAAACTGCGGAGTGTTGGAAGTACCGGCTGAGATGAGTACCTCTTTACTAGCAAACACACGTCCCGGAACACCACCGCCCTCCTTAGTAGTGCGAGGGTTGACATGGTAGATGCTCTTTCCCACGATGTATTTAAACTCGGGGGTCTTAGGCTTTCCATTTGTCTCTTCAAAGTTGATCTTAGTCACAAGAGTGTTGAGGGCCACGTCCAACTCATACTTACTGGATCCATTGTCGTTGGTGGGGGGGACAATGTCAAAGATGAAATCGCGGGGGGCCAAGCTGATGAAAGAGTTATCTTTCATCAAGAGGGAGAATTGGTAAGATGTTTCTCCATTGTCACGGTCGGGCGAGTCATTGTTGACATAAAAGGCTACAATGTCGAGGAGACCGCCGACGGGTGCTAACCACCTTGCCGATGAAAGACTTGACCATGGCGGTGGCAGCGGCAAGGACTAAAGGCAACACCTTCCGGTCCTCGACGATCAGGATGGGGGGAGTTGTCTGGGCTTCGAGCACAGCCGTCATGGCCATGGACTGAGCTACCAAGGCCTCGAGGGAGACAGCGGCACTTCTCAAGCTTTTTGTTACATACTCTCGCATTTTGGAAACCTTTCTCCTCCATAGTCGGTATTTTTCTTAGACATTAATCACGAGTCGGTCAGATTCTCACTTCCCACCAAGTGTCACCGGTGATAGTTCCAATGTCATCCCACTAATTGTTTTGCGGCAAGATAGTAGTCAGAGCATTGTGCTTTGGAGATTGTTGGTCAATAGTACAGAAGCCAAGACCAAGGAGGTTTAGCTGGGAACAACCGCCAAGGCCACCGACACGAGGGTGCAAGGTGCCCAACGGCTCAGAACCTTGGCGTGGGTCGAGACCAAAATATATCTCCCCGTCAGGCTTTCGGTAAGACATTTTGCTGTCTCTCTTAGCTTGCTTGGGGTCTGAGTTGTGGTTATCGATAGTCCCATGAGATTGGTTCATGCTGTGATGTCGAAATGTGCCGTGATGCCAAAACGTGCAAGACTGGTACCTGAAATACCGGATCCTCTCCTCGATCCTCCTCAACGTGAATGAGCAAAACAATGAAGCCGACCATGACCAGGCGAACGTCGAGATGTGCATACATAATTGTATGTTAAGCTATCTGAAGGTCCCGTGGAAATTGAGAGTCTGGCCGAGAATTTGGTCGACACTGATTGATGCAGACTAGTAGTAAACACTAAGTCCGTATGGTACGAGTACCAGCCGTAAGATTCATTATGTGTACTCACGCCGCATGGGCAGCTGCAAAGAGCGTCACGACGAGCAAGAGAAACTTCGTGGCCATAATCGATGACGCGAATTAGGATGAAATTGGATACAGGAGTAGCGAGTGACAAGCCAGCTTTTTTTGCTGGGAAATGCAAAGGAGTGACGACCGCCAATAGCTGCAACTTAGTGAAGCCAAGACAAAGTCTCAAGAGTCAAATCCGAACATTAGGTATGGGTTGATGGTCAACCGCTTCTCGAACTTATTTCGGAAACCTCACTACTGGTTAGCGATGCTGATGTGATAAAGACATTATCTCCAGAGTGCCCGGCATTTTCATGTATGGGGAAGGGGATGGAGCCTTGATCTACTTGTTTGTTTTCCTAACCGAGGCCTCAATATGCGTCAATGACATTGAGGTGTGCCTGTGAGCAAGGGTCCCAGATGAAATTAAGGCATGGGCCCGATGGGGGCCTCAGACCATCCACCCCAAATGTTCTCCGTTAACGGAAAATCATGGTCCACCTAAGAGTAACCCTGGGAAAACGAACATGGCAAACCTTGCCAAGTGAGAAAGCTTTGCTAGGGATACCCATAACCAAAGTGTACAAACTGGAAAACGATAGCCCTAGAGTTTCGATGCCATGAACGACGGTCCAAGCTGGCGCTTACCGCCTCCCTGTGGTCACGATAGCCCCGGTCTACAAAACCGTTGATCTCACTCTTATTACCGTTACAGTGCATAGCAATGGAAAAGTCAATTGCTGATCTGCTGTGGTCCATTGTCCGTTACGTGATCAAGGCATTTTGTCCCCTTCCAGTTGGGGCTGACTGTTTTCACAACAACAACTGGTCGGTTCAAGATCTACGTTAGTAACTTTGGATATCATGCCACTCTGCCAGAATTTGGCCTGTCTAGCGTACCGTTGAACCGGCACTTCTCCCCGGTGCAGGGCACACTCTGCCTCCCAAGCTGCTGAGCGGGTCTCTTTAGAGTCCTCTGATTCCATGAATTGACGGCGATCCAAGACGATCGTCAGCGAAGAGAAATATGAATGACTCGCTGGCTTTTGATTGAAGAAACTCAGGGACAGGAGAAAATCTAAACGCCAAGGCTCACGGCAGATGCCGCATCTACCAAACAAGTCAGGCATGCGAAGGAATAGCAGGCATTGTCACGAGGTTTTAAGTCGTCAAGCACGCCCTTCTTCTTTTGAGACGCGAGCGAATCCGGTTTTGCTAGTCATCTCATACGAAATCGACCCGTCAAGCTCCGTGTATATTCACAGAGAGATCGGGATACATGCCACTCCATCCGTGATTTCTCACCAGATTTATAGGTCGTCATGAAGCTGCTTTTAGGCATGCTGGCGGCCTTCGCCGTGACCTGCATGGCATCCTCCGCAACGGCCCAAGGTGCATCCTCGGAGGCAGAGGCGTTGGCCATGGCTCAAAAGCTATACCCTGAGTGTGCCGTAGGTTGGCGGATCTCCCGCTAGCGTCGAGATGGTGTTTGCTGATCGCCCACTTCTTTTTGATAGCTCATTTGTTTGACCGAACTTGTCCCAACGTCAGGCTGTCAGCTCACGGACACTGAGTGTCTCTGTACCAACGAGAAACTCAATACAAACCTCTCTATCTGTGTTTTACAAGGATGCAACTACGAGGATGCCCTCAGTGAGTGCTCTACTATCGCATGCAGATGAACACGATACCAAGAATAAGTTGGCTGACAGTTCTGACTCTTGCGCAGAAACCAAAAATGGCTCCGCGACCATGTGCAGTTATCCTGTACGGGACGTTACAATCAAGGCCCCTCTTGTTGCGGGTATGGGGTTTGGCCTGGCTCTCATCGTCTACATACTTCGGATGTGCTCTGCATTACCTGGATGCAACCGAGAACTCAGCTGGGACGACTGGACCATTACGGCTTGCGTGCTTCTCACAATTCCGCCAACTGTTTTTGCCTTCACTCGTAAGTGTCCTCTTAGATCCAGAAAAAATGGCTTTTGTTATTAGATACTAATCGTCCTAGTTTCTGCAAACGGGTTAGGAAAGGATATCTGGACTTTGCCCCTCACGAATGTTGAAAACGTACTGTTTGTGAGTATTCCCGTCTACACCCCTCAAGCTCTGTTCATCAACAACTGACCGCAATACAAGTTCTACTTCCTCGGTGAACTTTTCTACTTCCTCGCGCAAGCCATGAACAAAGTCTCCATTCTCTTCTTCCTACACCGCGTCTTTCAGCACAACAGCCTCGGCAAGGCGATCTGGTTGACTATTGGTCTCACCCTGGCATATGCGGCTGCGTTCTTCTTCGCGACTTTATTCCAGTGCTGGCCCATCAACCATGCGTGGTTGCAGCTGGAAGAAGATCATTTGGGCCGTTGCAACAATGTTCACCTGCAAGGCTGGCTGAGTGCGGCCTTCAACATCGCGCTGGACATCATTATCCTAGCCCTTCCTTTGCATCAACTCTATCAGTTGCAGATGCCCTTAGAGAAGAAGCTCATGGTCATGGTCGTGTTTTCCATGGGCATTTTGTAAGTGCCCCACTTCAATCGAGTTTCCCAGCCCAGTAAGACTGACCAACTCCAGCGTTACAATCGCAAGTGTCATCCGTCTTCGTACCCTCGTCGTTTTTGCGAACTCCACCAACATCACCTACGACTACGTAGATGCCGCATACTGGAGCACGATCGAGCTCTATGCAGGCATTGTCACGGCCTCCTTGCCCGCAGTCTACAAGTTCCTTTCCAGTACCTCCGCCAAGAGTCCTGCATGGTCGATGGTCAAGTCGAAGTTGTCCGGTGCATCGTCCAGTTCCGGGACCGGGAACTCGAACTCGGCGATAGCGAGTGGTTCTGGTGTTTTAGCTCATCGACTTACCCCAAAGAGATCGGAAGCAGAATTCGTCCTTCTGACGGATGTTGAAAGCGGCAAGAGTCAGAGATGGAATTAACCTGACACGACCTTTGTTCTCATTCTGCTGTACCTATTGGGCATATTGGTTCCATGTCAGAATACTCAACTGGTGTATACTTAAGGGGTTTTCTATACGTTATACGGTTTGTGACGTCAAGGCGTCAAAGGTGTATTACTATTACAAGAACAAGAAATGGAAATAAAATGAAGTAAAAAGTTAGAACGGTAGTCGCGGCGTTCATTTTGTGTGCGGAGCTTCCAATAGAAATTGAGAGAGTAAACTTTGTCTACCTCACTATGTAGTGTTTGTTTACTTTACTGACGACGTTTCTTTATTCTCCGCAAATCGATACTGATATTTCAGTTAGATGACAGATAGTCACTCAGATGGTTATGCAAAGCCTTTCTTTTCTTTTCTTTTATGGAACAATGCCGCTTGGTACAATCTCGACAACTAAGCCACAACAACCGAACAAAAGACTAGTCCTGTAAAGCTTGCATTCTTAATGATCATAATAGTTATAGGACATCCGGCTTTGTGTTGTGCTGTTCTGGCTAGATGATAATTTCGAATTCCATGACGATTCATTCAACAAACGGTATTTCCTTTTTCGTCATTCACCTGTCAATCGAGTCCTAAGCACTCAAGCCAGGTAAAACAACATAAACCACTGTCAACCCTGTCATTTGAGGACAATCTTTTGATTTGGCTCCGTTGTCTATGCGCTCTCATACATGGTCACCAAGTGATACGCATCGACTAGACACTAACACTATACCATTCATAACACAAAACTCCTTTGTATATGTACTCTGCTCACCATGAGAAGCCTAGTGATCACTCATCAGTGGTCACCACAGAAAAATTTCGGATTTAGATATGCTCCTGGTATAGTTGTAAGCTTGTTCTTTAACACGATGCAACAGCGCTGGCCTGTTTGTTGCTACAACTGCTAAATAGCTTCTTCAGAGAACACCCAATTTTGGGCATCTAAGTCTGCAGGTTATTAAGGATGAGCCCGTACTTGCCGAAAGGTCTCTAGAAGTCCAATTCGACAATTTGATATTGGAGACTCTGACAAAGCACGAGTAAGATGGCCTTCAGACGCCCTCGCTAGTCCTGGTGATTGATACTCCGGACGAATCTGAGGCAGAGAGCCACGTAGCAGATCCACCCTAGAACAGAAGACGAATGGTTTCCAGACTCCTGGTAAAGATTGCCGCTGTTATATGTACAAACGTGAGAATACGCGACTTCTTCACTAGCAGACCCGAGGTCCAAACTCAACTAGGAATTCGGAGGACGTTGTCAGGGATTTTAACTAAGACGTGGCTTTACACGGTATGTCGCAGTGAACAACCAAGCATGGCATCGGAGCCATTATGTTAACTCAAATGGCCAAGATACATTGATCGTATCAGATGCCTCGAGATTGGCCGGGCAACGGTTATATCGCAGAACTGTTCTACTCTTCTGTACCTCTCTTCATTGACACCGACACTGTTTGCAAGTTCAAACGATCCCAGGCGAAGTTTTAGCCCACTGATTCCATTAGAGAAGGTTCTCACTCGCGGTCAAAGGCAAAGAGCTCTCTCTTGAATAACCTCCATTCCGTTCTCAGTATCTCGAGAACCCCAACTGCGAGCAGTCTATTATATTATTCCACTTGTCGTTTTGAGAGCATCTGCTTGATAGTTTGGGCGGAAGAAGCAGATTCTGGATTGGAGGAAAGTCTAAGCACGCAGAGTTCCTCAAGCATTGCCTACAAGTCAAAGTCAGTGAACCTGCCAGAGACTTTTGCTTTTGATAAATAACACACGCCAGCTGAACAGACCCGGTGTCTTCAGAAGAGAGTTTATAGATATTCATGTCCACATTCCCAAGCATCCGGAACACGCCGGCAGCTACTGGGTACGACGTGCCTGGGGAATTGTACCGTTCCGACAGCATTGGCTATTTTTTACTTCTCACTAGACGGCAGGCACATCGTTGCTGCTGACTATCGAGAAATCGAGACCATCGGGGTCAGAGGTCTCGGTATTAGAGCTCGTAAATCTTAGCAACTACATTCTTGTGTATTCAGTCCTAAAGACATTGTCGACTGGGACCGCACAGTTGTTACACTTGACGGATCACGACTTTCTGTCTCTTCATACCTGGGAGAAATTAGATGCCTGGGATATTGTTAGATTTTACGAATTCACGTCGCCACCTATTCTGTCAATGACTTGCCAGCTATTGCTACATGAGGACAGCCAACACACCGATATCATGCTCAGCTGGTTCACAGACGGTCCTCTTTGGTTGTCGGGGTTTCCAGAGGACCTTTTGTTTTAATAAAGAAAGTAAACCGGGATATGGATCGCTCTCGAAGGTACGGTGTTCTCTATACGTTAACTCTTCTCAATCACCCACTGACAATACCATATACAAGCCTGGTAGATGCTTTGAATTTGAACCAAGCGGTTCTTACCTGGCGATGGCAGATATCGCAGCGGATTCGGTTACTTTATGGGAGTTTCTTAGCTTGAAAATGAGGTTAAGTCTTTGGTAAACCAACCCTAAAGGCGCACCTGAGCGAGCTCATCTATTCATCCAATGGCGCGCAGTTGGCTCTCTTGACCTCCTCGTCGCTCTCTATGATGAAAATGATAGGGGTGAACGTCGTCTTGTTATCACCAAGGATGGCTGCGCTAGGGGGTTCTTGTAGTTTACACGCCCACCCCCGATAACAATCACAACTTCGTCAGGCGTGTCGTTTGCCTTGATTGAGACAAAAAATGCCAAATACGCATCGTAAAACTGGAGTGGGCAGTGTGGCAGAATGCGAATCGAGACTGAGTCTCTTTCTTTGACCTCGACGAACTTGTAGCAGCGGTGTGCAAAGAGGGCGCCGTAGTCGATTGCTTCTGAAGCGCATTCTACGCAGAACACCTTGGAGTAGCCATGTTTCTACCCATACAGTGCCCTGGTATAAAGTGGTCTCCCAGTCATCGTAAGCATCATCAGAGAGGCGTCCTTAAGCAACGCCCAGCAGGGTATCCAATCGCTCAAACGGAATAGAAGCACTATCAATCTGCCCGTATATATCACCTAGATATCCGGTGCACTCTGCCAAGTCTGAGCCGTGGCCGACGAAAGACAGCGGAAGCAACATCTCCTAGGCCACAGAGAGCTCTGCGAGCTGGAGAAAGCTTGACGGACTCCATATGTGCCATCGAGTAGTCACGTCCCCATGGAAGCTCCGAAGTCTCGACTGCTGCCAAGTGTCGCTGTGATCCTACGGCTGAATAGGAGGCTCATCTGGAGGCTTGCTGCGGCTCCGCTCGTGGCGGTCACGGTTTCAACCCGGAGATCCTGCAACCTAGGAGTTGCCGTTCAACATAAAGGAACACCGGGGTTACTGCCGAGGAACTAGCAGTGTATATCTCTAAGAACTGTCTCGTCGATCCACGCGTGTGATGAGGTACTGAGACCCTTTTTGAGACTCGCGTTGCGAAGCACTTGGCCCGCCACTCGCCTCTCACAAGCGACGGATGACCTCTTGACATACATGATGAGGAATCTACAGCAGACGGCATCAATGCAAAGGGCCCCGAACACTTGCTCAGACCACAGGAAAAAGCTGTTCCGTTATTCACTAAGCTTGGTTCCGAGGCACTGTATTATCGACCGACAGGGCCCACGTCGGTGGTCAATTTACAAAGGTTCCTGCGAAGGAAACGTCGTTGGACGCAATCCTAACCACTGCTTGCACCTGGACCACGTTGTGGTATCATTGGAGCAGCTCACTCTACCATTTCCTGGTTTCAATCTCCTGCTGAACGGGCCATGCCGGTAGGGAGTCGACAAAAGAACCTGGAGACGGGATGTCGTGTAGACGACCCTGGATGCCTCTTGAGCATGGTTTCTGGGCGGATGGTTCCATTCGGAATGGTCCAAGCCCTCAGCGTCGCTGCTACGATGTCGCTGTTTGTCTTGATGATCGGGCCACCCGTGCAGAGCCAACTAGCAAAGGGACCATGGGAAATTCTCAAAAATTCGTCTACGATGGAAAAGCTCGAGCCTTGCTTCATCGCCAAGGCGTCAAGCGCTGACGGTAGGCCGTCAGTATGCGCTTGTCTCCACCAGGCCGTACAATCCCTTTCGGCACGGAAATAGAGTACGTAATAATGCCATTTTCACAAGAGCCCCAAGGGCCAACATGTGCCAGGTCGACAAGTCGGAAGCGATTATCGAGGCACGCACATTCATGGCGAGCGGAGCTCGTTCGTTTATTTCTATTCCAACCATCAAGGTACAGGCAGCAACGGCAGCAGTAGACGGGCAGCTTGCAGTCTTGGAGTCTTGGCTTGTAAGCTTGGCCGACCGACTGGGGAAAAGGCTGGGGGACCTTTGTCTCTTCCCCATCTCCGTCCCCATTCCCATCCGTAACGTTAGGTAGCTTGGCAAGCGTTTGCTGTTCATGTTGATAAAGGGGAAGAGCCCACTTGGACAGATGGGGCCCGCGGTGAGGCTGTGTAAGTTGCTCCTCGTCTTGTATGCCATTCGTGAGTGGGCTCGGCTCGGGTGTTACAAGGCCGTAAGCCCTGCTGTGCAGACGTCTTCTCTTGTGCACACATCTTTCCAATACGACCTTCTCGATTGAGACGGCGGTCACATCGATATTTTTTGCGGCTAGGTGGTACCCAGACCTGAATTGAAAATCGTCCCAAAGATGCCGTCTTTGCCGTCGAACCCCAGCTTCCTCGGGTGTTGACATTCTAGAAGGGGGTAAGCCTGCAGTTGGGTTGTATTATTCTCCGGCAGGTGTTCTAGGTCTTTAAACAACATGCTGTCATCGATGCTGGAAAAAACGACGCTTCGTGCATCGCGTAGGTATACCCGGGTAACGCAACATGCTTCAAGCGTGTGAGTGGGTGAGGAGGTTTGGCCCGAGCCGATCGCGCTTAGTTATGCCATCTTGGGCGGATTGCAAGCGGTGTCGCTGACGACGATCAAAGAGCTGGGTTAAAGTAGCAGATAAGGAACTGCCG